ACCCAGAAACAAGAGCAGTGAAGTTGTTTCACTGGGATTGGGTAAAGGTTACCTAGAAGTCACTTGGGTTGCAGTACAGAAGCTTTGGAAAGTGATTTTGTAGTTGATCCACATTTGGTAGGCTGGCAGATGCTTGTGCACCCCCACGGCACCCCCCGTGGCACCCCCCGCGGCACCCCCTGTGGTTGACCCCCCCCCCCCAACCCCTGCAAGGATTTAATTGACAAATGTCCTGCTCAATCCATTGTAAGAGTCTACAGTATTATTGGATTCAGTAAAGGGCCCAAATGGTGTGTAGACAAGAAGTATGAAATCCGGAAATCAACAATTATGACACCTCCACGGAATATGCTGCAAATGGAGAGAAAAATTTGAGTGCAGACAGACTACCTGAAGCAAACAGACAGAGAAAAGAAACATTAGCCATTTCTTGTTGATGATGTTGGCTGTCCCTGGAGCATGTACTTGGGAGATTTGCCTAACAAATCAAGTTGCACATTTTTCAAATTTTTAGTTTGACCTGACAGCTTGAGCAGACCATGCTAAAATGAACCAAGTCATATATATCAGTGCCCCAAGCCAAGCCAAAAGATTTAGGTAAATTTGCACAGTTTTGATATCCCAGCCCCTGCCGAAGCATCAGGGAGTCACATGGCTGTAGCTGCAGACCAACCCCAGACACAGCCTCCAAACTCCTGGCAAAATGAAGGATAATTATGCTGCATGCTATGACCACAGCGAGAATAGATAGATCAAAATATGATGCAATGCACCCCTACCCCTGCTCCTGTGGTTGACCCCACAGCGGGCCCTGCGGCACCCCCTGCGGCACCCCCCGCAGCACCCCCCGCAGCACCCCCCGTGGCACCCCCCGCAGCAGACCCCGCCAAATGATGGGATCAAGTGCATCACCAGTCCCATTGTGTAGGGTGCATTTTGGGCTTTCTAAGCTCAAATTCATGCTTAACTAGTGTATTTACCGATAGAAATGATACCAGGATGATTTGGGGAAGGCTTCCATTTTTTTGGGCGGAAAATCACGTGATTATGCGCCCATTGTCTGCCACAGCATGCAATGGATCAAGCAACACCTCCGAAATCATGCCGAATGGTGCACAAAAGGTGCCCCAAAAGTCACGTGATAATGCGCCCACTGCCCGCCATGGTGTGCGGGGGGCCAGTAGCGCCCCCGCCAACCCCCGCCAACCCCTGCTAGCCATTTTTGATAATTTTCATGCGGTGCATCACGTGATTTTTTTACCCTGCCATCAGCCGCCATCCCGCCCATTGGATGTGTCATGTGATTCATTTTTTTTTTTGCGCCCACCTGCCCGCTCCCAATGATAAATCACATGACATGTACAGACCCCCCCCTGCTGACCCCCGCATATGCCCCCGCCCCCAAATGGACCAAATCCCCCCCGCGGGCCCCGCAGGGGGGTACCTGTTAGGTACCCTCAGAGCTACGTCTGAGGGTACCCAGGAGGACCCCCGCGGGGGTGCAACCGGGTGATGGCGGTGGTAACTGAGGTGCAAGTAGCTCCAGGACTTGCACTGGTCACTTTGATTTTCGATTGAACCATACGGTTTGGCCTGACAGATGCATGTCACTCGCATAACTTTATTTATACCATCTCCCCGTCGGCTTTCACGCCCTTTGTTCTTGAGACAGATATTTGCCAGAACATTGAAGCATTCAAATCTCACGATTGCTCTCTCATCTTTGCGCTACAAATCAGCAGATATCACTACCTACAAGCATCAACCGGAAACTTCCGAAAAGTTAATGCAAGGCCTGGTCCACAGCATTGCCATGGGTTGAAAGTCTCAATCTCACTCGACGGAATCGCGACCTCTTACCTGCGTGTGGATTTGGTACCATTATGGATCTAGATACAAGCCTGCCGTGTTGTTCTGCAGGCAAACATCATTTCACCTGTACATCTGAATCGTGATTTGGGCAACTGTGTCCCGTTTGGTGGCGATCACCGAGTCGCTAATGAGGAGGAAATGGAGCTCGCTGGAATACCTGCAAACAGGCTGCAAATTTAGCACTTGTTCTTTGCCCAAATTTTGGACGAATCTGTGCGACTTTTCATGCGAGTGGAGTCAAGCCTGTTGCAAATGTAGCTGATTTTCCATTTCCTTTGAGAAATATCCGACTGGTTCTGACGACATATGGTTGTTTTCAGACAATTTCCATTTAGCTGTGCGCGAAACCGATCTCAGCACCGTGACCAGTCCAGATTATCCCTGCAATTACACACTCGTCCTGCCTCTACCTGTGTCGCCAGAAGTAGACGGCCACCTGAGTATGTTATGTCCTTGAACGGAGTTATGATTTTGCTGCAGTCGCGTTCAATCCATGCTTCCCTTCGAGTCCCCCGCACCAGGCGAGGCTGGCGCGTGTGTGCCCCTCACAGCTCTCCCCGGCCGGCTGCAAGCTTCCATTTGACCTGTGGACTCGTGTGAAGGGCTGCCATACTATGCCGACCATGTGATGTACAATCTGTCAACTTCACAAGAATCATCATTGTTTGGTTGAACAAGTAGTTGCACCTTCAATCAATCTGTTCTTTGCGCTATAATTACCATACATATTGAAGAAACTGACTGCGCATCTTCCGCATCTCAGTACAAAAGGGTTGACATCGTCCGCTAGATAATTCTACCTAGCTTCTAAATGAATGTTGACTAACATGTGGGTAATTCAGTGTATGTCACTCACGCCCAACCTATGACCAAGAGCCACAAACTTGAATAATCTGCTCGGGCTGCTACCGGCTACGCGCTGGCTGCGTCTCTCGACGACGATGGTTTGCCCGGCCCGGAGTCTCCTTGAGTCCTTATAATGAGGGATCCCCTACATCTCTGACCTCACCTTACATTTGCAGCCCTTTTCTCTTGTGCACAGACCACAGTCCAATCGACCATGTCCACTGCTAACATTGACCCCGCCGTCCTGGCTGCTCGACGCGCTCACGAACACACGATCGATTTGTCCAAGCTGCCGAAAAACCTCGACATGTCGGCGGGCAACATCACGCAGAACGTGCTCGCGGTGAACAACAACAGTGCGCAGAGCGGCTCGCGTTCGTGCTGTGTGACTGCGATGCTGATGCGATAATCCGCAGGTGAAAATCCGCGGCTCAAGTTCATCATGAACAACTTGGTGCGCGGCGGCAGTTGATTTCGTCTTCTCTGAACGACCGTGAATGCAGGTGACCCACCTGCACGACTTTGTGCGCGAGACCGCGATCACGACCGAGGAGTGGATGTGCGTAAAACGTGTGCATTCTCCAGCGCTGCATGGCTGACATTTTCCTGGCAAGGACCGCACTCCTTTTCTTGACCAAGACTGGACAGATGTGCACCGACATTCGGCAGGAGTTCATCCTGCTCTCGGACATCCTCGGCGTCTCTGCGCTCGTCGACTCGATGAACCATGCCAAGCCGCCCGGCGCGACCGAGTCCACGGTGCTCGGCCCCTTCTTCACCACCGATGCGTTGGACTGTCAGTTAATCCGTGCTTGCAGCGAGATGTAAAGCTTAGCTTACTGCCCCACAGTTGAGAACGGGGAGAGCATCGCGTCGGAAGGCAAGGGAGAGTACATGTGGGTCCAAGGCAAGGTCCTCGACACCAAGGGAAATCCGATCCCCAACTGCGTCATCGACACCTGGGAGACGGACAGCGACGGGCTCTACGACACTCAGGTGCGTTGCAAAAAAATAACGAGCACGTCGGAAGACTTGATGGTTGGTTGGCCAGTACTCGAACCGTGGAGGCCCTGACTGCCGCGGTCGTCTGCGCACCACCGACGACGGGTCTTTCTTCTACCGCGCGGTTGTGTGAGTGCTCCCACTCGCTTTCCTTCCTCTCGTCTCTCATACCCACGCCCGCTCAGTCCGGTGTCGTATCCCATCCCGGCCGATGGACCTGCCAAAGGACTGCTCGACGCGCTCGGCCGCCACGGCTTCCGGCCGGCTCATCTGCACATGGTGCTCGAAGTGGGTGTCCCATTTCTCGATATCAATAGCTGCTTCATGGCCAACATCTGAGGATCGGCAGGCGCCCGGATTCGAGAAGCTCGTGACGGCGTTGTATCCCGATGGCGACCCGTACATCTACAGCGATGTTGTGTTCAGTGTCAAGACCAGCCTGATCAAGGTGCGTGCCATTCCAGTCGATTTGCGGCACATCCTCACAACGATCGCTCCAGAAATTGACGACGGAGACCGATCCCGAGCTGACACGGGCGCGCGGGTTCCAGAACGAGACCAGCCACAAGGTGCTGACGTACAATTTTGTGCTTGCCACGGTCGAAGAAGCGGCTCAGGCCAAGGCGCAGACCATGAAGGCTGCGTCGGGGACCGCGTGAAGTGAAAACAAAGCGAAGCTTCTATAAATGTGTCCAGATCCTTTCAACACACAATCTGTCGAAATTGAAAATTGCTGCTCTCGAGATCATTCATCATAAGCAGTACGAGGCTACGCTGGTGAACAAACCCGCTTCTGGGAACCGGCGCACGGACAACCTGCACTGGATATCTCCTCTTTCGGCCAGCTTCCCTGATTTTTGTCTGTTACAGCCTGTCTGGAAAAAGCTCAAGAATCAGATTTATGAGCACTGGCTTGTTCCAACAGTGTTTGAGAGGCTCAAAAAGATGGGGAATGGGAAATGCTTGGCATTGCTCATACAAATGAGCACAAGCCAAAGATGGTTGAGCAATTGGAGGCCGTACAGAAGACAAAGGTGGCCACACACACAAAATTCTGAGGGCAGTCAGGCAGTAGACACTGAGAGTTCATTTGAAGAAAGAAGAGAATCGCTTTGTTGTCACACGTGACCGTCCGTCACTTGGTGTCATAATCGGTATTGCATAAAGGTCGTGGTTGAAACCTAAGTGCCAGACATACAACACCGCGAACGCGGACCACATTGCCCGTTCATGGCCGCAGATGACAGCATAATCGGCCACGGGAATGAATAATCGTTCGTGCTATCAATAGATGGATGAGATTTGCAGCTTAAATAGTGGCCATGGCCCATCTTCCCAGATTACAGTACCTTACTCCCGCCTCTAACACTCATCCAAGCCCACCAAACATGAGTCTATGCAAGGACTGCATCAGCGGTGCGTAAATACCGCTCCCCAAGAGTCGACAAGTGCCCAGCTGCCGTGCGATTTCAGGTGTCACCCATGAAGGAACTCCCGAAGGTTTGATCGCAACTGAACGGGAGCGATTCGACCCCTGCTCATCCCCGCTCACAAGGCAAGATCGAGACCATCGGCGGGATTGAGACCTACGTGTCCACGCCAACCGTCGACTTCCCCAAGGACAAGGCTATCCTCTACCTGACCGACGGTTTCGGGCTCCCATTGGTCAACAACAAGGTGCGCAGCAAAGATCGTCGGCCAAAGATCTGGGGACTGAGGTGGAGAGGCAGCTCTTGGCAGATGACTTTGCGCGCAATGGCTTCAAGGCGAGTCGATTGGACATCGCGCCGTGATTGCCTGACCGAATAATTCTGCAGACATATGTGCCGGATCTGTTCTCCGGAGACTGCGTCGAAGCCGATGCCCTGACCGTGCGTGCTTCCAATATCATCCCCGGCGCCACGTTTATCGATGCCTTCACCCGCAGACAGGCAGATTTAACCTCGAGGCGTGGTTCCCCAACCACACCCAGGAGAAAACGCGCCCCATCATCGACAAGTTGATGACCGCGCTCGAGGCGCAGGGCGTGACCCAGTTCGCCGCGGTCGGGTACTGCTTCGGCGGGCGGTACGTCTTCGACCTCGCGTTCGACCACAAGATCGTCGCCGCCGCCGTCGCGCACCCGTCGTTTCTGCATGTGCCAGCCGATCTCGAGGTGCGTTTCGTTTGCGCCGATGTGTTTGACCGGTGTCTCATCTGCGCTTGTGGATGTGCAGAAATACGCCACGACCGCGACTGCGCCGTTGCTGGTCAACAGTTGCACGTTCGACGAGCATTACCCGGTCGAGGCCGCGCTCCAGGGCGACGTGATCCTGAAAGACTTCGCGCCGGGCTACAAGCGCGAGCACTTCGAGGGCTGCACGCACGGGTTCGCTGTCCGCGGCGACATGTCGATCCCGGCGGTCAGGGCGGGAAAAGAGGGTGCCTTCAAGTCCACTGTTGACTGGTTCATCAAGCATCTGTAAACGGCAGAGGAAGGAAGGATGAAGAAAGAAGGAAGGAAGAAGAAAGATGCGAATGTCTGTATACATATAAATGTGACCCGTATCTCAACACCACACTGCGCTTGAGAGACAAGCTACTATGTGCAAAAACTGGTGATATATAGAAATGATTGCAGCGGAAGACAATACAATGCCAGGGATGGTCCAAGTCAGGCTATTGGAGGGGGCTCCTTCGCCCTGGGTGCCCCTCGACCACGGCTCTTGAAGCCGTCACTGCTATTCGACGGGGATGGCCCGTGGGGGTTGCGCGTGATATTATTCGCCGCGGGACTAGAGGCGCTGGCTCCTCCACTTGGATTCGGCGATCCGAAGATGCGCTCGCGTGCAGCGTGGTACGCCGCCTCCCGCGCCTTGAAGCTGGACTGCGGAACCGCGGGCAGGGGCTGGGGTGTTGCGACAGCGGGCATCGGGCGCTTCAGGATCTTCATCTGAGGCTGAAACGCAGCGGGAGGCGGGGTGGAGCTGGACGACGAGGAACGTGACGAGAGAATTACAGTGGGCATCGGCGCGGGCGGAGCGCGGTTGTTTCTGTGATTAGATGGGTAAGAGCTGACCATCGGTTATAGGGGGCAGTGTGCGTACGCATCGTCCCATAGCCAACGATTAGAGTCTTCTCCCGATCCCTGCGCGCCCTGAGGCGAGCGTTTGTCAGCCCTTCTCTGGTCCTCTTCTCCCTCCTGCTCTGGAGAGCACACGACATCTTCCAAATCCTCGTCGTCCTCCCAATCATCTACGACTTCTTCCGAAACCTGTGGCTTCTTCATGCGATCGGGGTTCGACTGGATGCGCAAAACGACCGGGGAGGTGTCAGGAACCGAGAGCTATCGCGACTTCGTTTGTCCACATACAGAAACACGTGATAAATTGGATCTCCAGACAGAGTTTGACGCAGATGGTGGCGGAATTTTCGAGGAAGATGCTGGTGTGGATGGGGTATTGAGCATCGGTGAACGGAGGAGCTTATTTGATCATGATGCGTACATACTCGGCTGCAGGCTCCCTCCGGGCCGGGCTTCGCCATTCTCTCTTTCCTCCACATATCCATTCTCCGTACGAATACTGCAATGAACCTCTAACAGAACATCATGTCATCAAAGGGAATACCCACCACAGTGCCGCCATGGCCTTCGCTATACTCCCCCGGCATTGAACTCCTCAGAATCGCCCACCATATGCCCGCCCAGCCGGATGGCGCATACCTAACACATCCTGACGGTATGCCCGTCCTGCTTGCTAGCATCTCTAAGCTTCACTGCTCGCAGACATATTTCGTTTCACACTCTACTGGACTCTCATCTTCTACACCCCGATCTTCCTCCTCTGCGGGCTCTTCGCGTTTCTGAACATCACGTTCCCGCCGACACCGCGCAGCGCCGTTCATCGACTGGAGGCTCCAGAGCATTCTGCATACCCTCTCACGCTGCTCCCGTACTCCCCGAGAGAAAGCACAGCCCCGAAGCCGCGCCATAACGTGCGGCGCTCGAGGACCACGTTTGCCTTACTTGTACTCCTGGCGTTCATCGCGCTGAGTCTAGCCGGGGCCCTGCTTGTTTCGTCTATCGTCGGATTTTTTCTGACGGGGCTCTACAAGCTGGCCAAGTTCAATATGTCTACGTGCGTGCTGCTGCTGCTGCTGCTCGTTTCTCTGTTAATGGGAAGCCACTGATCCGCACGCACAGATGGATCCCCTTCTTGTGGTCCGTCATCTCAGTCCTCGTTGGGCTACTAAGGTGTGTGTCCATGTCCTCTTTCTTTTGACAGTGCGCACAATGACGCATGTGTTACAGCATATGGCCCTCTGTCATCGACATCATCTAGCTGTATTAGTCTTACTGCACACCTTGTACCCTAGTAGTCTTGCGCGGCAAGCGGAAACCCACAGACATCTGAGATATTCGAACGGACGGTGTCGACGCCAAACGGGGGATTCATCGTCACGCTGGTGAAGATGGGGGGCAGACAGAGCGGGGCATTGGCGAAGATACTCGTGCGCATGTCCTCGAGCGACGCAGCCATGTGTTTGCTCGGGATGAGGTCGACCTTGGTGACGACGGCTTGGACGGTGAAGGGCTGGATTCCGCGGGCGTCGACGAGTTTTGTGGACAGGTATTCCAGCATTTGCACGTCCGACTCTTTCACCCCGTGGACCCCATTGATCAGGATGTAGATCCGCTTCAGTCTGCGGACATGAGAGTCTGTGGGGAGGATCGACAGCGAAAGAGACCGACTGGGGGCGCGTGGTGATGTATTGCGTGAAGAGATCCCCCCACTGCGACCGTGCCGACCGGCCATACCCAGGCGCGTCTACGAAGATCGCCGAGGCCTTCCCTTCCCCGACCTGATAAAAGTCCAAGGAACGAGTGCTGCCCTGCAAAGATGTATCATTCAGCGGACGTTCCTGGACGCGGGTGAGGCCGCCTACAGCATGTTTGCTTTTGCTCAATAGATACTTCCTCCCCAATACAGCATTGAGAAGCGACGACTTCCCACAGTTGGCCCGTCCTGAGAGCAGTCAATGCGCGCGGAGGTCAGCGGTTGGGATGCTCACCCGTGACTATCACCTGGGATCAGCTTCAGCAAGGAACGGCTCGACGCGTAAAAGGACGTGGCTTGACTTCGGGAAGGACTGGTTTTCCAAAATCGGGTATCGCGGTGTCGGACTTGGCAGATGCAAGGAAGCGCGCGAGGTTGAAGTCTATGCCTTGATGGTACGCTCGCAGAGTTGTGCGTTGTTTCACTGCAATGGCATAGCGGTTCAAAAGCATATCCTTAGTCACACGTGACCGTTACTCTGTCCTTGCACTGTGAGCAACTTGAAAGCCTGATCACTAGCTTCCCGCTTGTGTGGGCGCTTCTCTGCAATCTCACGACGCGTCTCATGACTTTCCACGTGAATATTGTGCTGCATACCTATCTTGACGAAATCTCGCTGGCTCCACTGCCGTATCAACCTTCCATGAGTCTATACATTCCGATTGGGCTTCAGCAACACTTCGGGCACTGATTCGAAACCAAGGAGTCCGAAAGGAACATGTTCAAGAGTTCTGTAGATGCTTCCTCTGCAGTCGTCCTATTACACACCTCACTTGATTCCCCCCTGGCTGTTTGTGTGAGTAACAAAAAACTCGTGGTCTCGCAGGCGTCATAATTAGAAGCAGGCGAACACACAGTTCATAGCGAGTGCCGATCGCGTGTGAGCAGCCCTGATGACGTCCTTGAATTCGATCCTCCAACTTGTTCATCCAGTTATCCAGTACCCTCGACTTGATTGAGACCGGAATCCGGTGACAGACAAATATCATCCGTTGGACCACTGAATGTATCGAAATTCTCTCTCGGCCTCTTTCTTACGCGTGTCGGTCAGAAGATGGGTCAAAGCAGAGCTAGTTGTTAGCGCCGGATTCTTATCGACTTCCCTCATATCCCCGGTGACTTCCCACCCCCATAACCACTGCCTCTGCCCAATAGCCAATTCATATCAAGTTTCCCGCGGACCGCCAATAGAGTTCATCACAATGTGGTTTGCAAGAACAAAAAAACACCGTCCCAGATGGGGATGCGCTTAGATAAGCACAATCACAAGAAAGAAATCAAGGGGAGGACCCGGTTCATAAACGAGATTGTTCTTGTCTGCACCCTCTTCCTCGACCGCGCTGGTGCAGATGAGGGGCCATGCTCTGAAACCGCGTGGCCTGCTCGGTGTACCCCAAGAACTGTTGGATGAGATTCTCTCTGACCTGGAGCACAGCGACCTGGTTTCCTTCGCTCTGGTGTCGCACGCCTGCGCCGCGCTCGTCGTCCCCCGACACACGCAATATCGCACGATACGCACGCGTCATCAGCGCCACGACGAATGGCGCCATCTCTCCCGGCGTGTGGATCTGACGCGCAACATCCGCGAGGTGCATATCTGCGAGCCGGGGAACAAGACGGCGTCCGACCGGGTCCCGACGACGCTCGTGGAGAATTGCGGTGCGGAGGCCAGCATGAGTGAAGTTCAGAGAGAGAATCGACGGATACGAGACATGTGCATCGCATTGAAGCACATGCGCCGCTTGCACACGTTTACCTGGACGTGGAACGTCACTCCCGCCGCGGCACCTACGATCAGCCCTGTCCATGAAAACGCGGTGCTCGAGGTTCTGTCGAGGAAAGCAAGGCTGAGGCATCTGGGGCTCATGGGTTTATTTGGAATGCACGCTCCGGGAATCTTGCTCGACCCAAATAGCGCCGGATATCCCGTTTGTGCTAACTTGCCTTCCGCGTGTATGCCACGGCGCTGATGCATTTCTTGATCAGCTCTGGAGATTCTCTAATCTAACCTCTATCTGTCTTCGCGGTGATGCCTGGATCAAGCCGACCAATGCAGCGCATCTCAAGCAGATGTTGGAGCGCTGTCCGAATCTGGAGGTGCGCGCTGAACTAGAACATTGGATCGGGTCTCATTCTTTTGTCCAGTACATTGAGATGCCAATGGAGTTCTCAGCTTTGTCCGAGTGCACGTTCCCAGAGCTTAGGAAGCTGAACCTCTATCTTCAGTCCGGAGGCATGCGTTCGATCGATCCCTGTTTTGTGCGATTCCTGAATAACCACCCGTCCATCGAGGATCTTTCTTGGCTTCCGCTGGGACCAGTTTACCTGTCCCCGCAGACATTGCCCGCCCTACGGCGGCTGCGGACAAACATCCATGTGGTCGGTCTGCTGGAAAGCCGGCTTCTCGAGAGTCTAGACGTGTACCAGCTCGACCCTGCGACGTTGCTCGGCCTTGGAAACCTGCCGGTTACGAACATCAAGCAGCTGACGTTGCACGAGTTTGGGGACCTGGAGACGATGCGTGAGCTCGCTGCGTTGTTTCCGAATCTGGTCTGGCTCTCGATGCCGTCCCGATACGGGCATTTCACCGTGGTGGGTCGGTCGGATGTCTTCGTCCCGATGATCGCTGTTTTTTATGAAGAATCCTTTTATGGCAGGAGGATTGGCTTGATTTGCTGCCGCGCTTTACCCAGCTGCAAGTGTTCCGTGGACAAGGCTTGTGGGCGGCGGTGACCTTGAATATGCAGAAGATGCACGGCGTGATATTGCAGCTCGTGCAGGCGTGTCCAAACCTCCGACAGCTTGATCACTCTGCATACAACCACAACCGACTCGACTCGAATCGTATTACGATCATCCGCGAGGGGTTTATGGGAGAGAATGTACGCTATACGGTCAGCCTACTCAGTCTCAGTCGCATGTCATCGGATCGCGCTAAGCAGACCAATTCTACAGATTGATAGACCACCCCCGCAGTATGTATCTACCTTTTTACTGTTGTCACAAGTAACGCTTCTCTTACTTGATCTCACAGTCGATGGTTTGATGCCTTGCAGGGTATATTTGATTGAAGCTTATCTTATCTGTGGCGGAATAGAATCTCAGAGGACGTATCTCTTCCCTCATCTGTATCAAAGCCAACTGTAGCCTACAAACCCCCGATTGTGTATCTCGGTCTGAGCTCTATTTAAATAGCTTCGCTTCGCCATCATCCGGAATCATTAGTTACGAAATTTGCATATGTTTATTTGAGCCGCTGCTAACACCTCCGCACATACCTGCTCATCCTCACCGCATATTCATAGCACGGGCGCTGGCGCTGGAGCACTCTCAGACCGCATTCTAGTCGCCCCCCATGTCTACCATCTCCACCGCGCTGCGCAACTTCAAGGAGCCCACCAAGGAGGAGCTAAATCAGATCTTCTTCTCTCTTCCCGCGTCGGGCTTAGTCGATGGCGTTGTTGGAGGTGGATCGGAGAAGACGTCCAGCACGGAGGTCGAGAAGATGGAGATCAATGCGGTTCTGAGTCTGGGTATCCAGGGTGAAGAGGATGCCTATGTGAGTGCGCGGGCTGCGGGGCCGTCTCACCGCATGTCTGCACCCGAGACTAACGGTTTGCTGTGCAGGCAGGGAAGCTATACATTCTGGCGCCCTATCTCGCCTTCGCCTCCATCGACCGTAAATCAGTCCGGTTCACTGTTCCGCTGTCGACTATCCGACGTGTCGAGCGGCTGAATGCGCGTGCGGGGATATACGCATTGAGTCTCTCGACGTGGCATGGATCCAAAATTGTACGTGTCGGACTTGTTCCGTGTCTCTAGGGCTGCCAGATGGCCTAGGACGCGTTATTTCGCTGTCGAGACTGGTGGTCCGCCTCAATTCCATTCACTTGCCCTACACTTCTCGTCTTGCTACGATCATTCCATTGACGACTTGCACAGATCGTTCAGCTCACGTCTTTACGACCAACCGCAGATCTGTTCTGCTCCCTCCTCCGCGATGCGCTCAAGATCGAGTTGCAGCGCGGACAGATGCGGGCCGTGAAGGGATTCGTGAAAACATGCTATTCAGAGGCGCTTATAGCGTCTGGATCCCAGCTCGCTGAGAATGAACGAGAGGACGGCAGTTTGATCAGCGAGGAGAAGGACGACGCGGCCCCTCGCGATTCGACGTATCATGGAGGCCTTGGACTCAAGTACAAGTTCCCCGGCGATGCGAAGAAGTGACTATTTACTGTGCTTGTTCAAAAATCCACTCGGCTAATTTCTCTTGCTTTTCAGACTACGCGAGACCTCGAAGATCAAGCTCTGGACACAGTACCTGAAAGGTATACAGTCTATTCGGATCGTCCTGGTGTGCTATTGGTTGAATCCATCCAGTCCATGGACGTAATCTGACGCTCTTGCGATATCCTCAATGCACTAGACTCGTCCAAGTCGGTCTGCCGAATCGGCTCCGTGGAGAAATGTGGGAAACACTCTCGGGCTCAGTCTTCCTTCGATTCTCAAACCCCGGATTCTACGAAACGCTGTTGGAGCGGAACAAAGGCCGAAACACGACCAGCACCGAAGATATCGAGAAGGATCTCCACCGAAGTTTACCTGAATATGCTGGTTATCAATCGGAGGAGGGTATTAGCGCACTGCGCCGGGTCTTGCAGGCGTATTCGTTCAAGAACCCCGAGCTGGGCTATTGCCAAGCTATGAACATTCTTGCTGCGGCGATTCTTATGTATGAACGACGTCCCTTGGCTATCCGATGCTCACATCGAATATATCTAGATACATGTCCGAGGAACAAGCTTTCTGGCTGCTGGAGGTTCTCTGCGACCGATTGCTGCCAGGCTATTACGCGTGCGAACTGGCTTTATTCTCTGGACGCTCCTGCTCATGATCTCACAGACCTTCGATGCATGGCACTCTGCTCGATCAACGAGTATTCGAGTCTCTCGTGCAACGCTGTCTTCCGATAATCCACGAACACTTCCACAATGTCGATGTCCAGCTGTCTGTCGCATCCCTACCGTGGTTCTTGAGTTTGTAAGTTGATGCTTTGTTTCCGTTGAAACTTTTATCGTGCTCATCACCGTGACAGGTACATCAATAGTATGCCTATGATCTTTGCCTTCCGGATAGTGGATTGTTTCTTCTGCATGGGGCCTAAGGTTCTCTTCCAAGTTGGGTGAGTTCGACGTCTGCTTTGTCCCTGCTCTCGTGCTTACTGTCTGTGTCACAGCCTGGGTTAGCCCGTCTCTGCTCAGAATATGTTTCTTCTGACCCTGCATTGCAGCTATCTTGAAGATCAACGGTGAAAAGTTGTTGCAAATCCAGGATGACGGAGGCTTCCTCAAGTATGTTCGCCTTGAACGCTGGGATGCATCTCATCTAATCATCCTCTAGTCTGATGCGAGACTACTTTGCGTCTCTCGGCGACTCTGCTCACCCAGACTCCCCCGACCCCCGAGCTCGGGCGATCACGCGTTTCCAGGAATTGCTTCTGGTCTCGTTCCGCGAGTTTTCTGTGATCACTGACGATATGATCTTGTCCGAACGCCGCCGGTTCCGGTCCGAAATTATCCACTCTATCGAGTCCTTCTCGAAGCGTTCGGCGATCCGGAACCTGAAAAGTCTTGGCCGGTTCTCCAAGGAACAAGCCGGGTTGGTGTATGATGCGCTGTACAAGGCGATGTGGATTGTTCCGCCGCCACCAGACATGCCCCCGCCGCCGTCACTGGTGACGACAGCCGAAGCGACCGAGGAGAAGCCGGAGACCAGGATCGGCTTGAAGACGTTCCAGTTCTTCATGAGCGAAATCGCAACTTGGGCTAGGGATGAACGTATCGTGTCGAATGGGTTCCAGGTGCGTGTGCACAACATTCTTCTGTGGTCCCTGTTGCTCATGGGTCGTTGCTACAGAGGAGAATAGACCGGGAGATTGCAGAGCATGAGTTCATTGACCGGCTGTTCTTCTTCTGGGACACATCGTGTCGTGGAGCGCTGTCGTTCCAGGACCTCATCTCTGGACTGGACGGAGTGATGTTCAACGACCTGATGGAGAACATCGAATGGTTCTTCAATATCCACGACAAAAACAAGGACGGATATCTGACCAAAGACGAAGTGCTGACGCTGTCCGAGACTCTGCTGTTCATCTTCCGATACGAAGTGGGGGACGCGTACTTGGGCGCTGTCAGCCGATTCATGACGAATGCGTTCGAGTACGGGGATGCCTTGATGCCGGAACCCGAGGGCGAACCAATCATCAATGAGCAGGGCGGAGAGACGCCGCCTGCGATGCCAACGAACCAGCCGTACTTGAATCTTGCAACGTGAGTGGCCGGATGGGATACATAGTGTGTTGGTCCTGACCTTCTTACAGGTTCCGTATGGTTGTATTGGCAGACGAAGTGCTCGAGTCGTTCTTCGAAACAGATCTGTCGGGTTCATTCAAGCTAGAGCCTTTACCCGAGATGGAGCTTCCGGTGTCAAGCGGCGGACTGCTTGGTGATATCTGGTCGACCATTGCGACAGACAACAACAAGAAGATGTTCCACATGGTCACAGACGAGATTGGGAAGACAATCGGGAAGCATCAGGTGCGTGGATTTTTTCTGCGCTATGACTGGCTGTCCAAGTCCTCGAAATAGGTCATTCACAGACCGTCGATCGGACGATTTAGGAACATGGAAGAACCCAAAGCTCGCGAATCGCTTCTGACGCCCGGGATGCGGCATTCTGCGAGCAAGACAAGTTTGCGGAATGGGGGCGGTAGTCAGCCCGTGTCGCCCAGCCAGCCGTCGGTGTCGGGAGCAGAGGCAGCAGGATCTTCCCCGCCGACGCCGACGCCGACGGCCAAGCCACTCCCGTCATCCTCCGCGGCATTGACGGTCGATGTCGATGCTCTGCAGGCAAGCCCAGCCCCGGAATCTGCGTTCTCGCCGTATCCGTTGATGCACGCTGCTGCCCTGATGGAACGGACGCCGTTTGCCATCGACGATGCGAACGAGGACGACGAAGACGACGAAGACCTCGAGGACGATGGGGACAACGACGACCAGGTGATGGACGAGGTCGATGCGTTCCTGGAAGCACACGACTCGGGGCTTACAGACGCGGACAAGGCTGTGGCGAATGGCGAGTGGCTCGAGTTGTTTGAGGTGTGACGCTGACGTTTTCTCAGATCTTATCAACGCGAAGCCGGTCAAGTAGGCAAGTACCACATGCATGCACGCTTTCACGCTCTGTTTCAACGCATACGCTATCCGAATTTACCCTTAGATTAGTTTCTGTAGTAAGTAGTCATCGAATTTCTGCAGTTTGGTGTTTCCGGAGACGTGCTTGGGTGATTCTAAATCGAAGAGAAAAAGATCTCCCAATCGATGAACTGATCTCGCTTAGCGGACCCGCTTGGAAAACATTAATTGATATATCACAGCAGATGGATGCGCCGTAATACTAAGGTCGACGACAAAGGACATGGTCTGTTTCGACTGATAGATCGATCGGGTGTGCTGGGGTCCTGGCACTCCGTGACTCGAGGACGTGTATATGCTTATTCGAAGCCTCTGATGACCGTTACCGACGTCATAAGCGTGCTCGTCGTTGATGGCGGCGCGCTCGAGCCCTTCGGCTTGCGCCGCTTTCAGGGGAAATCCCCTGCCCTTGTTTTGAAATATGCACTCAGTATATAGCTCCTGGCCTCGGAGGAGGCGCAAGCGGAGGTACGACCGGGCCAATCGCTGTCGATGTCTCAAAAATATTTCATTTATGATCAGTTCTGACGGACCAATATGCGAAAAAACGGCTGAAATCAGAGATTCGGCAGGGCAATTATATTGCAGACCATGTCCTCTAATTTGGTGCTTCTGATCCGCGAGGTAGCTTCAAACTCCGCTAGATAACATAAGGCACCTGTGATGAGCCTCCTGCCAGACGGAAAATCATGTAATTTTTCTAGTGCCATTCTAAGGAGTTATTTTGACAAATGGAACAAGTGTTACTATCATTGACCCACTTCTGCAAACACTTTGATGGTGGCCTCGCTAGCTTGCATAACACACACCGAGAAAAAATAAAATTGAGGATACTAAAGTTAGAACCCTTGAGACTGTCTTCATGAAATTTACTCGCTATCTGTGGGCAGAGGATGAAGCCACGCAGTTGCCGAAACGATCACTTTTTTTGGCAGGGCTGACCCCCCTTTTGCAATCGCTTGTCACACGGGGTCACACTTTGATGCAATCCGGCACGTCTCGGCAATGATGCGGCCTGACTGGACGTGGTCTCGGTTAAGGCTTGAATTGATACCCTCCGTCACGCATGCTTCGTTCTCATGAACTGCAAAGACTGGACTCAGGATGCATCAACCATGCGTTACCAGTAGCAAATCTAAGGGTGTGAGCTTTTTTCCGCATCGAAATCCGAAATCTCTGAGTCAAGATAAGCAAAGAAGTGTTCTGAAAGTAGGTTTATGGTCTCAGGTGTAATTATTTCAAAATATGGAATGTATATATTTTACAGGAGCATTGAACAGCTATATATTAATCTCTGGGAGTCCATCCGGGACACGTTGAGGGATGTGGAAGCCCAGGAAATGTGTGTTTATCACGGATTGCAGATCAGGGTGCAATTGCAGAAGTGGGTCAATGATAGTAGTGGCCTCTGAGCTCGAGGAACAGATCACGGCACTTTTTTTTTTGCTTACACGTGGTTGCTGTGCCGCCGGCATCCGAACGCCGACGCTTCCGACATCGACTGTGATCGGGGCAAACTGTTCCGATTTCCTCCCCTCTTCCACTTCTTCCTCTTTCGATTTACTCTTTTATTTTGATCTTTTCCAAGCACCTCCACCAGTATCGAGCCAATATTACCATTTAGAACGCGTCCGTGCGCATCCCGAATCAGGGAACGCGTCGTGTCTACTGGAACACGTGAGGGCACGGTCATGTTATGCAGACGTGATGACATGACTATGACACCGTAACATTGTGACACTGAGACCCCGACTTTGCATCACGATCATCCTTTCCTAAAACAGACCATGTCCTTTGTCGTCGACCTTAGTAATACAGAAGTCATAGCAGAGTAGTAAGCAGAGATGGTGCAGATACAGTGCAGATTGGGACTCGTTATCTGGTTGGATCGGGTACCCAAAGTCGACTTCCCCAACCGCAGCACTCTCGTCACCCGTGGCGCAGTTCCGGCCCGGATCTCACGACATTGAGGGGTCTTCCCCATGGCACACTTGCCAACCTCGGCAGCGACCGCCGATGGCCAAGACAAACGGAGGCGGAGGGATGGATATTCCTGTCCCTCTCCTTTTTTACAAACCGCTTTCCCTGTATCCTTACTCCTTATCTCTCTCTCCCTCTCTTCACTCCTCGCCCGTAACAAACACAAATGTCTGCTCCGTTAGGAAACCAGTTCTACCTGTGCGGGTTCCCCATCGCCCATTCGCATGCGCCCAACCTCCACAACCACGTCTTCAAGGCGTTGGGGACGGACAAGCAGTTCGGGCTGTGGTCGACGAGCAAGGTCACGGAGGAGATGCTGCAGCTCGTGCGGAGCGGTGAGCTCGGCGGTGCCGCGTGAGTCGTCCGTCTGCCAGCAACCCCTCCCCGGGATAGACGCGGACGCCGCCACTGACGCCTGCTATCCATCGCACAGGGTGACGATGCCGATCAAGACCGCGATCATCCCCTTCCTCGACGAGCTGTCGCCGGAGAGCCAGGTGACGAACGCGTGCAACACGATCGTGAAGGTGAAGACCGCGGACGGTGGCGTCAAGCTTGTTGGCCAGAACACCGACAGTGCGTGGCTGCTCCTCGCCCCCAGACTGATCGCGACCAGGCTCTGACTTCACTCCCCCCCCTCCCTCCCTCCCTGCAGTCCTAGGCGTGCGCAATGCGCTCCTGACCGCCCTGCGGGAGCAGTTCCCCGCCAAGCCGATCCCCTCCGATGCATCGGCCGCGTACCAGAAATCGCAGGGCGCGTTCGCCGGCCTGGTGATCGGGGGCGGTGCGACGACGCGCTCGGCGGCGCACGCGCTGACGCTGCTGGGCCTGTCGCCGATCTACCTCATCAACCGGGACGTCGAGGAAGTGAAGGCGGTCGTGGACGCGATGCCGCACCTGGCCTTCGTCCACCTGCAGACACCGGCCCACGTCGAGGAGCATCTCGTCGGGGAGGGGAAGCCCAAGATCCTCATGATCGTGGGGTGTATCCGTGCGTGCATTCCGGGATGGGCGGTGCGACGCGTTTGCTGAATGAGCTGCCAGCGAGCTTCGCGCCACAGACGTATGCCGAGCGCATGGTCTATACGACTGCCTCGGCGGTGCTGACCGTCCCGTACGTGGTGCCGACGGCCGAGTCTCCTGTGCTGCCGTACCCGACGCAGCGATTGTTCCTGGAGATGCCGGTGGGTGGATCTGCTCGCCCGTCTTCGAGTCGAGGCTGACTGGGTTCCTTGCTACAGTACAAGCCACTGCACACGACGATGTTTAAAGTTGCTCAGGCACATGGGTGGTGCGTTATCGACGGCATCCAAGTGCGTACCGTACTTTGAGCTCCGTGCGAACTCACGGGCTGACGTCCTTCCAGGCGATGATCGAGCAGGGCCTCGCGCAACAGCGAATGTGGTTCCGCGGTGTTGCTACGGTCGAGGTCGGGTCAGATCCGAACGTCCTTGGGGCTGAACTAGAGGGACTGGCACGAGCCGCTGTGCGGGAGAAAATCTTGGCCCCGATGAACATGACTGCGATCCACGCTGAGGTCGATCACGCACAGGGCAAGGAGAGTGCTGTCCCGCCGAAGAAAGCATAGAGAACGAAATGTATACATACAATTGTAACTAGACACATAGAACCGCGAGCAGCTTGTGAATCCTCACACATTCCCATTGAGCTCCTGGACCCACACATCCCAGGCCCTCGTAATCTGACCCTCATTGCTCCTCGTCGCAGCACGGCATTCCTCAGCGTTCAGAAACCGCGCGCCGTCGGCCACCCGATCGACGCCGCCGGCGAGTGCGCTCAGACTCGTCAAGATGCGCGCGTTGTGCTGCGTATAGACGGCACGGTAGACGACAAGCTTCAGCGAGCTGGCGACGAGCGTCGCCCCATGCCCGCGCATCAGCACCAGCGGACGCGGCTCCGCATCCGCATCCGCATCCGCCGCCTCGGAGGCGCGGAAGTGCCCCGCCAGCGCGGCGCCCATCGCGGTGTCCCGGATGAGCATGTCCGTCGCGGGCCCGAAGGCGTCGCGGATCTCGAACACGGGCGGGGACGCGGGGCCGAGGAACGACGCCATGTGGTACACGGGCTTGAAGGGGATCGGGAGGAGGCCGAAGGGGAGGATGTCGGGCGAGTGGAAGTGCACGACGGCAGCGACCGCGGGATACAGCCTGTCCAACGCGCGTGTGTGAGATCCGGGCTCTGCAGGGAGGACAGACCAAACGAGGATCATGAGGGGGATGTACTGTACTTGTAGATCTCGCTGTGGATGCAGCGCTCCAGGAACCCCCGCGGCGAGTCCGGGACCGTGGGCTCCGAGTTGTCGATCCGCCAGGCCACGATGTCGTGCGGTTCGACGAGGGCCGGGGCGAGGTTGCGCGAGAGGAGGAAGTGGTCGTGCGGCTGACGCGGGTCGCGGCATGAGACGTGGCCGAAGCCGTCCACTGTCCTGTAAGTATGAGGCTGGCGGGTATGGCAGGGGGGCGCGGGCAGACGCACCGACGCCGTGGTGGGCGAGGATCTTGGAGGCTAGAGAGAGATTCTTGATCGCTTCGAGATACTCGGGGGTTTCGTGCGTAGCCATATCGGGCAAGAGAGAGAGTGAGAGAGAAAGCAAGGGCGGCTGCCATCGGGCCGAGCGGCAAGGAGTAATACGTGACACATCGACGTTACTAACCAAATAGCTTGCATTTTGGCTGGGAGTGACGTTGTGAGTCTGATTTTATAGAAGGTGATGGAACGGGTGTACATACGACAAAAACGTTCTGAAGCTCAGGACGAAGACGACCGTCAAAAGGACGATAGATTGTGACGTCATTGGCATCAATGGAAGCGTGATATTCACGTGGGCGCGTCGCACAGACGCCACCACCATCCCATCAAACGCGTTCAGATTGTAGGTTCAGGGGGTCGTAAAGCGAATACAGATGGATGATGCTCTGATCGTACAATACATATGATGGATGTCGGCGTATGTCTCTACGTGTCTAGATGCCATTCCACTCCTCAAGCGTGCTCCTCCTGGAACACCGTCGGCTTGTCGTCGTCGATCGAGGCTGCGTCGTCTCCAGTTCGAGCGGCGTGGCTTTCGTGGACACGGGCAATGACGGTGCTGTGCGCGCGCCAGGGCTTGAGATCCGGTGCGAACAGCTCCTCCATGCGCTCGAGCGGGATCTGCTTCGTCTCGGGGATGAGGCCCTGCGAGGATGTCAGCAAAGAACGCCCACCGAGCGCGCAAAATAATAAAATAAAAAACGCACGACGACAAAGGGGATGGAGAGAACCATGAGCGAGGCAAAAAAGAGATACGCGCCGTAGCCCATCGTCTGGAACATCTGCGGCGTGAAGCGCGTGATGAGGAAGACGCAGAGCCACAGGCAGCCTGCGATGCACGCCTGCGTGAACGTGCGGAGGTGCTGCGGGAAGATCTCCGCGCCAAACACGAACGGGGTGCCGTTCCACGTCGGCCCGTAGAACACGGTCCACAGGTAGAAGAACGCGATCGCGCTGCGGCCGCCCGGCGTGATCGTCGCGGTGACGTGGTCCTGGGGCTTGGCAATCGCAATGTACGCGCCGATGTAGAACATGCTAATCGCGCCGCCGACGGAGCCGACGAGCAGGACGGCGCGGCGCCCGAAGCTGTCGACGAGGTACAGCAGCCAGACGAGCGCGCCGGTGAGCTTGATGATGCCGTACACGCCGGTCGTGAGCAGCGGCGTGCTGCTGCCCGTGATGCCGATGGACTTGAAGATCGTCGGTCTGCAAAGCGGTTGGAACTGCGCACAGGTATCGGGACTTGTGCTTACGAGTAGTAGTTGATGGCATTGATGCCTGTAGCGTTTTGCCAAACAAACAGGGAACATCCCAGGAAGAGCCGGTATGTCAGCGCAGGGCTGCGGAAGACCGACAGCATGGGCCCGAAAAATCCAGCGCCGGCGAGACTGCGCTCGTGGATGATGCCGGCCTCGATCTCCGCGAGCTCCTCGACGACGTACGGCGCATCCGCAGGGAGGTTGCGCAAAATGCACAAGTTGCGCAGTGCTTGGCCGCTGCGGTCCTTGATGGCGAGCCACCGGGGGGACTCCACCAAAAACAGGGCGCCGAGGAAGAGGATGCCGCCGGGCTGGAGGCGTGTGAAAAGAATATTGATGCGCTTAGGCCACTGCGCTTACGACGAGCTGAACGGCGAACGCGATCAGCCACTGCTTGCGACTGGGCGGAATGTGCTGCGTAACACCGTAGTTGATCCAGAACCCGACCACACCACCCGCCTGCCAACACAGTTCGTAAAGGCCAATCAGCCGACCACGGATCGCAGGGGGCGAAATCTCAGCGATGTAGATCGGCTGCCGCGGCGGGATCAGACAAGTCAACGAGCAGAGGCGAGTCATTTCGGACGCACGGCGAGGTTGGACGCAATGCCGACACCGACGCCGACGATGACGCGGCCGGCGTACATGATGCCGAGACCGGTCGAGGAAGACGCGGCGCATTGCAGGGCGGCGCCGACGACGAAGATACCGCTGGCGATGACGAGTCCCAGCTTGCGTCCGAAGAAATACCCGAGGCCGTAGCCAGCGAAGGCGCCAAAGAATGCGCTGTATGTGATATTGGCATCCCCGTGCAGCTGAGGAGGGCTGTGCGCGCACGCACCCGACTTGGAAGACAGAGACGATGTTTCCGGTGATGATGTTGAGCTCGTTCGTGGACAATTCTAGCATGCCAAACTCGGACTTGAAGCTCGTCAGACTGATCGACGTCCCGATGAAGGCAGAATCATATCTGAGCAGGGCTGCGAATCAGCTTCCGTGCATGCTACATCATCATATGTATGCCGACTTACCCGGCCCTGGAAGACGCGTCGAAGAAGAAGAAGAAACAGCAGATCAGAGAACTGGTCGCCAGAGTATTTTTTTATCAAGTTCTCACAGGCTGCGAGCGAGTCCATGTCAGTCAGCCGGTAGACTCGAGCGCGCAGAACTCAACATGACTCACACAGCACCCCACGCAGCAACAATGGCATTGACATACACCCTCCAGTTGTACACCGCCTCCGGCGTCGGGCGGTCTTCGATGCGGCGGAGATTGACCATGGTGTGGGAGGGAGCACGGGGACAAGGTCGATACACCCACCCACCGCACCCACCCGCGCTACTTATATGTATGGTTTTCCTCCGAAATCTCCCATCAGCGGCTGTGCTGCTCGACATGGGGTTCCGTGGGACAGGTCGACGACGGCACAACGCGATTGGTCGCGAGACTTGGCGACGCCAAGGCCCCAGGCGGCTTCTCCGCGAGTTGCAGCTCCCTGCTTCCTGATAGGCCAACCCCGCTTCCGTGAATTGGGAGCTAATCAGAGCGTGTGGGGCGGGCGAATACCTATCGCCGGACGGGCAGCGAACCTCGGTCAGCTGCGAGCAGCGGCCTTCGGTGATCGGCCCGCTCCGAGTGCTCTCGACGGAGTAATCCGAGAACCAAACCGGATTGGGTGGCGGGTCCCAGTCTTCGAGGACAAACAGCATGATCGGCTGCAGTGATGTCAGCATGCATTGCGATCCCCAGAGTTGTTATCCCCTCCAAACGGCCGTGGTTTTACAGCTGGCACCCGTGACGACTTTCTATCTCCACTGTGGATGAGACTTCGACGCGGTTCCAGGCCTCTCTGAGGCACGGGTCGCGCTCGACTAGGTGACCGTTGCAACAGCTGATGTCTTGAATCACTCCCGGCCGCCATGGTTAATCGGACGACGAATCCACAGCTCTTCCGTGCCCATATGACATGGTCATATGTTCGCTTCGAGGATGCTGTAGTAAGTAGGCACAATAGAACACTGTTCAACCTATCTCACCAGATCTCACCCTGATGACAGCCCGTGGGAGTATTCTCACGCTCTCGTCGGTCAGCACGTGATGGAGCTTCTTTGATCGTTGCGGCTTGCCACCCTGGACCCCTGATAATACAGTCAAATGTTAGCCCAAAATTTGGCTGATGCCCCCCATATTTGTCCAACACGGTTCGAGCCTGAGCCCAGGATTTTTGTCCAACCCGTACATAGGTCTCACAAGTTGTTTTTTGATGCCTACATGGATATAAGACTGAAACTCAGCCCTTTGGCTCGATTTTCGACCTTTCCGAGACGCTATACACCGATTCAGAGACTATTCCACCTCCTTATCCCAATTCGTTGAAAATTTCCAAGGCTGCTGGGAAGCGGATTTTGGGAAGCAATTTCGATTCGGTGTGAAAAAATATATATCCTAGACTCGAATTCGAGACCTCATAGGACCTTCCTGGTCAAGATTTAGACTCACATCCTCATGTAATCGCATGTTACCACTGGACTGCCATGGAGAATTTTGTCCAACCACGATCTAACTAGATCGACCATGCGGCTCAATTTTTGTCCAACCCCCTACTACTTTGGGCTAAGTGTTTTGCCTAATTTCCCCCAGAATTGTCCAACGCGGTGGCTAACATTTGACCGTATTATCAGGGGTCCTGCCACCCCCCGCTTCCGATCGTCCACTCCAAGTTCGAGTGACGTATTTGGGCGGTGATCACCACGAATCTGGAGTGCATGGAAAAATAACCTCGGCCAAGGGGGTAGGGAACTCGAATTTGTCCTTGGCTCCAGGTGAAGATAACGCTCGCTGCGGCCGAACGTTCCGAAATGTTCCCAAGGTCGAACTTACTCGTTAGGCCTCAAAGGGGTTAAATTATGGGCTGTGGCCGGTTCAGATCGATTGCTCTTGCCACACAGCGGGGAAGTCTGTCTGGACTACGCATGGTTCCCCGACGGTTCGTGCACGGGCACAGTTACGTTTGGCTTCCCAAGGCCGTAGAAATCTATACCATATCTGTTCGCAGCGATTATCCGCAACATCAGACCCACAAGCCACTTGGTAAAGCACAACTTTGAATTGGCGGGAATCTGCACAAGAGGCAAGATAAATGTTATTCGTAATTTCTCTTCTATTGGATTTCATTTTGGCTGCGTCGTACTTTACATTTGTGTCCAGTTACTGCGGTCATCTAGAAGCTAACACATCCTCCATCGATCTTGAGGAACCCGCCGGTCATGAATTTCGAGTCGTCCCCGAACAGGAAGCACACAACGCCAGGGATGTCGTGCGTCTCCGCGAACCGGCCCAGCGGCATCGCCTTCTTCAGCTCCGCCATCTTCTCGGGGCTCCACGAGTTCTGGAACATCGGCGTGTTGACCCCGCTCGGGTGGATCGTGTTGACGCGGATGCCAAACGGACCGAGCTCGCCTGCGGCGGTGAGCGCGAGCCCGCGCACCGCGAACTTGGACGCCGAGTACGGCGTCATCCCGGGCGTGCCGCGCAGCCCCGCGATCGACGAGGTGAGGACGATGCTGCCGCCCGCGCCGGCCTCCTTCATCGCCTTGCCGATGTGTTTGATGCCCAGGAACGCTGTGGATCGGGTGGGTCAGATGAGACACGCGCATTGAGAGCAAGGTCGCATCGAGACGGACGCCGACCCGCCACTCACCCGACGTGACGTTCACGCGCATGATCTTCTCGAAGCGCGCCTCGGTCGTGTCGAAGATGCTCGTCGCGGGATCGTTGATGCCCGCGTTGAGGAACGCGCAGTCGACGCGCCCGAACTTCGCGACCGTCTGCGCGGTGAAGTCCGCGACGGCCGCCTCCGACGCGACGTCCGCGCTGACGCTCAGGATGCGCGTGTCCGCGGGCTCGTCCGGGGCGAGGAACGGCGCGAGTTTCGCCACGGCGGCCTCGAGCGCCGCAGCGCTGATGTCGACCAACACGAGGTTCGCGCCCTCGAGCAGCAGGCGGCCCGACGTCTCGACGCCGATGGCGCCCCCCGCGCCGGTGACGATCACGCTCTTGCCGAGGAGGCGTCTCGACGGGAGCGGGGCGGAGGATGAAGCGGCAGTGTCGGCCATGGCTGCTGGATTGCTGTGGAGAAGGAGGAGGGGGGCTTTGGTGTGGGGCGCATTTAGTACTGCTCGTGGTCAAATAGGATCGATGTGCTGGGTCACTACCCCGCGTGAAAGATGGAGGGCACAGCCACCCTGCCAAGGACTCGGCCCGCTGCCCTTGATCGAAGAGAAAAGGAAACGAAACTTCTAGGAGCCGTCCCTATCATCCGACTAGCAGTGGCCAATCATCGACTTCCCAACCCAAAGATCGAGACAATCCAAGTATTTTGGCTGAGCGCGTTCGACCTCCAGTTAAGCCGTCCGTCGTGCGAATTTGAACTCGTTCTTGCGCCCGATCTGTTGCTCGACTGGTTTCCGTGTGCTCCTGGTTAGAATATTATTGTGAAGCCAAGACAGTTTCGAGCCCCCCACCGTCGGTACCGTTGTCGGTGGAGTTCAAGGTCTGGCAATCATCGGCCGATCACGCAACAGTGATGGGGTCCAAGTGTTATGCGTGACACGGATGCTTATGGTTCCCTGCTTACTCTGTACCCTACCAGACCCATGATATAGAACTTGTTGGCAGTCGCGTATGGAGGCCGGGAACTATATGCTGATAAACGGAGGACGTATCACTGATACGCGATAGTTTGCCGACATAGGATCAATTTCATGATGCGCTCCATGTCATGATGCGCTCTATCTGGACGGCTGAAAACGTTATACTAATGACCGATGTCTGAATCGTGGATGGCCGCTCGGCAGATATTGATCAGATGATTGACGCAATGATCAAGACCCCAGGTAGCCGACTATCGCAATATCGCAACATCGTAATATTCGAAAAGCGCAACATTCAAGATAGTGTAATATTCGAGATAGCGTAGTGAGCATGTAATTACTGTAATTCACTAATCATTTTCGCGGGAGTCTTCCTCATCCGAGAACCATGCGTACAGATCAGGACCAACAGCTTGCCGCAGCTGATTGATACGACACGCACCCGAGCGATCCGTTGGCCGAGAAGCCCTCTAGCAGCGGCGACTTGACACTCAAGTTGGTTTCCAGCATGTACCCCCACTCGCGCTCGATCAGATCAATTGCCCGCTCGCCCTTGCCGGCCACAAAATGCGCTTGGATCTGTCGCGCAGGTGACACGCAAACCACAAACCACCAGCGCAACACGCACCTCGAAGCCACGGCCTGATGGGCGTCCAGAACTTCATCAGCCCGGCGCTCACGGCCTTGTTCTGTGCGTCCGATGTCGTGAGGTTGTACAGGACCGCGAGCGCGTTGCCGTCCTGCGGGTGGATGCTCCTCGGCAGGTCGTTGCTGCGGAACCGGCCCGCCGCGGCGTCCCACAGCAGGCTGTTGAACGCAGTTTTGATCTTGGTCGCGTTGGCGAGGTATGTGGCGGGGAGGGAGACATTGCCGAGATGCGTCGCCAGGTCCGCCGTGGTGACGAGCGTCTACGAGCTTGATGAGCGCGGATACATGATGCGAGAGACAGAAATCAATCCTCACGCGATAAAGCAACGCGTTTGCCGCAGAGTTGTGTCCGGCGCCGCTGGCCCTGCCCCAGTCGTTCGAGAGCGCAGACGAGACGTTCATCAGGCCGGTCAAGTCCACCTGGCCCTCAAGGAAGCCAACCGCCTTGGTGTAGTTCGCCCAGACAGACTTGATGAAATCGAGGTCGCCCGTGTACAGGAAGTAGTTGTGCGTCCCAATGAGCGACCACGAGATGTACGTGTCGCTTCCCTGGTTGTTCAGCGGCGGCCCGGAGTACTGCAGCGCGCCAGTCGTCAGGTTTTGCGTGCGGAACATCACCATCAACGAGTTCTTGGTCGGCTCCATGTCGCTCAGCGCGACGAGCTCCGTGTGTGTGGAGATGCCGCAGTCGCCTGATCCGTCGCATGAGTCCGAGGGTTAGATCGCGTCCATGAGCATGAGGGGTTACCTGGCCAGATGTTCCTGACAGTACCAATGTCATCAGCAGGGATTGCACACACAGATCGCGACCGACCATTCCTCACCTGTCGCGTTTTGCACCATCGACGAGGATAGGCCCAGTGGCAGCTCCTCCCAAGGCATCGTTGGACCAGCCACCTACAAATGTGATCGCACAGTTTGAGTCCAAAATTCAGATCCACGCCGACACGAACCTCCTGCTGGGCACGGCTCCTGTCGCGCCGTGTGGGGAGGGATTGTGTTGGTCTGCACCCTATAGTGCCTGCTAGCGGTCAGCCCCCACCCACGCCACGCTCTGCCACATCAGCCAGCAAACAGGCGATGACGCACCGGCGTACCAGATCTTCGTGAGGAAGTCGATGTCGTGGAACCCGGGGTCAGGTGCAAAGAAGTAGCCCGGGTACGCCCTGAGATCATCCCAGTGGGGCATGAACGTGATCGCCAGCGAGATGTTCGAGATCGTCAGCGGGTCCGCGCTCGCACTCACAATCGTCAGGAAGCGGAACCCGCCGCGCTGCTGTCCCACGGTCTGCGTCAGCAGCCCCGTGGCTCGCGGCACGTGGAACGTCTGGATTCTGTCCCAGTTCTGCAGCCGTGCGGGCTGGCACGAGTCGTCCAACTTGAGCGGGCTGATGAACTCCGCGGACTCGGTGAACGACAGTGAGAACTGCGACTGGGCCGTCGCGTTGTTGATCGTCAGCGACAGGATCCCCCCAAGCTACAGTATGGGTGTGTGAATTGACCCTCGACGGCGCTGTATCAGGGAGGCCGCGCACCTCCTTCCCCAGTCGAACACGACGTACGAACCGCTGCCCTGGAATGTCGCCTGGGAGTCCGGACTTGCGACGAGCCTGCTCGCGCCGGCGACCCGGCCGCTGATCCTATCTCGAATGTTGCGCTTTTCGAATATTACGATGTTGCGATATTGCGATAGTCGGCTACCTGGGGTCTTGATCATTGCGTCAATCATCTGATCAATATCTGCCGAGCGGCCATCCACGATTCAGACATCGGTTATTAGTATAACGTTTTCAGCCGTCCAGATAGGCGCATCATGACATGGAGCGCATCATGAAATTGATCCTATGTCGGCAAACTATCGCGTATCAGTGATACGTCCTCCGTTTATCAGCATATAGTTCCCGGCCTCCATAGTCGCGTGCACATACATGTTACATACTGAAAAACGCTCGCTTTGACTATACTGTATTACCTATCATATTTTTTTATAATCACTGGTACTGAGCTTTGAAGCCCTCTGAAACTCAAGGTCAAATACGCGAGCAGGTCACCTTCTCTGTGCTGGTTTTGCCCGTTCGAAATCCAATTGTTGAAGGACAGGGCCCCAAGGCTTGGGGTTCGGCGCGTTTTTGTCGAGCACGTGAAGGGCGAAGGGAGATGTGATCCAGATCACTGCTTTATTGATGCGACAACGGGCGCGGAGGAAGTAAGTAGGTGAGTAGTAAGTTCTCGAGGGGACTCAACTTGACTTCATCCCTGAGTACGCCGCCTCCCCCGCTCACTGATCATCTGGGAACATAGATCGAAAGCTCGTGAGAAGTGCTAGCGAACAATGGCTGGCAGTCCCTAGTGCGGTCATGAAGGGTGAACCAAACGAGTCACCTGAGTATTCAATTGCTGGCCAACCACAACGACGGGAATGTCAACTTTGCAATGCCCCTCGCAGTGCTTGATTTCCCATTTGACACTGCCACCGTCGTTATAGGGGCTACTTTGGCTTCGACAGCGTGCTACGCATACACTGAGACTTTGATTCTGGGAAATGTTACCGAATTCCCGCCGTTCAAGCTCGGAAAGCGTCACTCGCTTGTGGCTTACCCGCCATCCCGCGTCGGCGGCAGCGCTGACTACGTCAGCATCATGAGTATTGCAGTCACAGAAACACGTGATGGGTGCCAGCCAAGAGAAGGACCCCAACTACTTAGTGATACCATCGCTGATTTTCCTTATTCAGACCTTGAACTCCACCGACAACGGTACGTCGGCCGATGTACCGTCGTCCATAAGGGTCAAGGTCTGTTTTAGGAAAGTGCGATCATGATCCAATGCTGGGGTCCAGTGAGTGATCTCCAGTCACACCGAGGCCAGGCCCCCGGCTACTACACCAAAGGTCAGTCCGTCCCGGTGCCTTGATTTGCACTAAAAATTTGGGCGCTTGCCACCTTGATTTGCACTATTCCGGACCGAGGTCACCAAATTAGGAAATTTTTGATGTACCGCTATTTTAAATATCTAAGCGTTTCTGAGCGTCCCTGGCGCCTTGCTGGCGCCGATAGCACTACTTAGACCTCTTTAAAACACGCACGGAGACTTTCGAAGACTTTTTGGACGTCTTGGACGCTCTCGCGTTAGTCTTGGCCGTTGTAGCCTTGGATTGGGAGACTGTACATAGATGTAGCGTAGATTGGCAACAAAATCACAGATGCTGCTTTAGTGCGGAAAGCCAGGAGAATTGTCTAAAATCTGGGCTCTGGGAGACATATAATCTCAAAAAGATTCCCCGGCAGAGCCGGCGATTTGCACTATATACGCCTGGGGTCGGGGCCTCCGGCCCCGATTTGCACTATATCTCCGCCTGAGATTTGCCCATTTTCGGGCCTTGATTTGCACTATTCCGGACTGATTTTATAGGGAGTAGCCGGGGGCCTCCGAGGCCCCTCCTCGGTGTGTCATTCGTTGTTAGTCATCGCCTGGTTATCTCTTCATCCCATCGTTATTTGTCGCGTCGCGCTTGGACCAGCGCGCTCTATGTGTTCTTTGTGTGTACGGCTACAACCTCTCATTCATATATATCCCAGTTAAATATGTACACACCCTCTGTGCTCGAACCCAATGAGAATTTTACAACTCTTATTACCCCTCCGTAAAACACGACCCTATCACTTTTCAAGGGCAAGGTCTGATTTACCCACGGAAGAACGCGAAGACCCCTGCACCGACTCTCCCCCTCCTCCACAGACGATGGGCCATTGCGATGGCTGCTCAAGCGCTCACAGCTTGCCCGCCGTATCAAGCGCTCAACGACAAGGGTGTCAAGAACCCCAAACCGGTCTTTTTGACGCGCGACAAGTCAAACTCACGTCATGACCTCAGATTAGCCGACAGGCAATGCTTTTTCCTCTAAAGCATTGGTCCTAGGATCTCTCAACATACTAATATTTACTGTACAATGAAAAAAAAAATCACTCTGCAGCGCGAAATTACTAGAAGCCGTCGTTGCCATCGACGACGACGGCGCTCACTGTACCGAAAAATGTCTCCCGATATCACCTCACTAAGCAGATATGAGGCATAGGGTCACGGAGTGCCAGGACCCCCAGCACTTAGTAAATTTCCATCATCAAGATAGACCTTGACCCTTATGGACGACGGTACCGATGTTGTTGATTCCGTGGAGGCGCCCGAGACATTGCGGCGTTCCCGGGCCGGGCCGAGGATGCACGGCCACCCAAATTCTTGAGAGAAACGCCGCGACGATCAAAGAAGCACCGTCCCTTATTGACCGATGAAAGCGTGAGAGCGTTCACACGGCTGTCGACCGGATGCAGGTGGGATAGGGGATGCGGAGTTCTGCGTGCACTGGGGCGTTCCGCAGAAAGCATCTGACCAGGTCATATGGAGATGGGCAACTTGGGACCTTCATTGGAGAACCAATGCGAGGAAGCATGGAGATGGCGCGAAATCTGATCAAGAGACGTTCCATGGCAAATCTTTCCTGCGCGCCCAAGTCGCAGCGGACCGAACCAATCCGATCTGACGATACTTGACGATTCGGCGCTGCTATGCATGCGCTAGTTCACGTGACAACATCGGAATCCTACATGTAACTCCCCAAGACCTGAACAGGTAATATATTGCTCAACCCCTCAAGTCCCCACTCGCAGAGGTAGACGCAACAGCAAACACGGCTGCACCATCTCCCAACATCAAATGGGCCGTTGCGACCGTCTCCCTCGGCAAGCACGCGTCGCACACCCTGGACCGTAAGCTCGCGGCAGCTGCCAAGTTCGGTTTCCAAGGGATCGAGCTCGTCTACGCCGACCTCATGGGCTACGCGGCCCAGAACCAGCTGCCCCCCCTACAGGCCGCGGAGCAGATCGGCGCACTCTGCAAGCAGCTCGGGCTGCAGATCCTCAGCCTCAACCCGCTCAAGAACTTCGAGGGCAACCTCACCGTCCCGCTTGCCGAGCGCCTCGCGCAAGCCGCGGAGTGGGTCGACCTCGCCGCCGCAGCCGGCGCGCACAGCGTACAGGTGCCGTCGCAGTTCGCGCCGCACTCGACGGGCGACTTCGCGGTCATCGTCCCCGAGCTGCGCGCGCTCGCGGACCTCGCCGCCGCGCGCGGCGTCGGCGTCGCCTACGAGGCGGTCGCGTTCGCCGCGCACCACGCGACGTGGCAGGACAGCCTGCGCATCGCGGCCGCCGTCGGGCGCGCGGGCTTCGGCCTCTGCCTCGACTCGTACCACATCCATGCGCGCCTGTGGGGCGACCCGTGCGCGGCGGACGGGCGGCGGCCCGGCGGCGAGCGCGCGGTGCGCGACTCGATGGCGGAGTTCCTCGCGAGCTGCCCGCGCGAGACGGTGCGCTACGTGCAGCTCTCCGACGCGTCGCGGCTGGACCCGCCGCTCACGGACGACTCGCCGCTGTTCGACGGGCTCGAGGTTAGGGACCCGCGCCTCGCGTGGTCGCGGAGCGCGCGGCCGTTCCCGCTCGAGGCGCCCGGGTACCTCCCCGTCGTCGATATCGCGCGGACGTGGCTGATCGACTACGGCTGGGATCAGTGGGTCTCGCTTGAGGGATTTCTGGCGGAGACGGAGAGGGAGGAGAACGGCCCCGAGGTCATGGCTGAGCGAGCCAGGAAGTCGATCGACGAACTTTATAAGCGGTTGTGAGGATCTGGGAATCCCGTTTGTCTCATAGAGGGTCAAGATATCTATTCCCGCATATGTTGCGTGGTGATGTATGTATGTACAAGCTAGCGAAGCCATGGGCGCAATTTACATGCACTACACAACATTCCTCAAACGTGCTCCTGCTCGGACTGAGCGGGCTTCTCGTCAATCGATGGAGCGTCGTTCCCGGTTTTCGCCGCGCGATTCTCGTGGACACGAGCCATGACGGCGCCATGGGCCTTCCAGGGCTTGAGATCCGACGCGAACAGCTCCTCCATGCGCTCGAGCGGGATCTGCTTCGTCTCAGGCACGACGAACTGCCAGATCGTCAGTGGGGCACGCAGGGAGAGGGGGCCACGCACGATCACAAACGGCACGGAGAGGACCAGCAGGGAGGCGAAGAAGAGATACACACCGTAGCCCATCGCCTGGAACATCTGCGGCGTGAAGCGCGCGATGAGGAACGCGCAGAGCCAGTGCGCCGCCGCGATGCACGCCTGCGTGAACGTCCGCAGGTGCTGCGGGAAGATCTCCGCGCCGTACACCCAGGGCGTGCCGTTCCACGTCGGCCCGTAGAAGATCGTCCACACGTAGAAGAACGCGATCGCGCTGCGCCCGCCCGCGGAGATCGTCGGCGACGGGTGGTGCGTGGGCTGGGCGATCGCGATGTAGGAGCCGATGTAGTACATGCAAATCGACCCGCCCACGGAGCCGATGATGAGCACAGCCCGCCGCCCGAAGCTGTCCACCAGGTACAGCAGCCAGATGAGCGCGCCGGTGAGCTTGATGAGGCCGTAGACACCGGTGGTAAGCAGTGAGGTGCTGGATCCCGTGATGCCGATAGACTTGAAAATCGTCGGCCTATGGCAAGCACGATCAGTATTGTCGGCGAGATACAAGCCAGCGCGGATCTCACGAGTAGTAGTTGATGGCATTCACGCCGAGACCGACGTTTTGGGCATGCCAAACGGGCATTCGCCCGCGCAAACGGGCATTTGATGGGCATTTGACAGGTTTGGCGTGAAATTGATGCAATCAGGCATGCATGCCCGTTTGCGGGCATGCCAAGCCAACATTTTGGCATGCCTCAGGCCATAGATAATTTGTATTTACTCGTTGTAGGCTTCTCTATGGGCTGTATTTAAGCATGTCAGGCCTACCAATGCCCTTGGCAATGATGTCTCGCGAGATTTGCCACGCACTACGTTACTGATGCTGCTTCGACGCGGGCTTTCACCAAATCGGACCGCGTGGGAGTGTTATAACTTGATTCAGATACAAAATTATGTGGGCTTTTCGCGCCGTGATTGTTCTACGGGGCTCTGCGGAGATGTGATTGACCTCACCGCTGAGCTTTCCTCTATGCAGTCAATGATAACTGACACTTGGGAGAAAGGAAGCATCTCAAAGTCACGGAAAGGTCTCAGATTCATGGCTTAGGACTACACCTCACCCCTACACCTCCATCGTTCAATGCACACGAGGCTACAATGTGTGCTGGTCGGGCTCGAAGTCCAAATTGATCCCATCCGACAAACGGGCATGCGTCCGCATCTCGATTGCTTAAATTCCAAGCTTATATGTTGCAGCGCTGCCGTGATCTAAGTTTCTAGGACACATTATTTCGTCCTTATAACTCCCTTACTAGCCCACAAGCTCATGAAGTGCGCAGAATCGAGCACATGCCCGTTTGCTTGATGGCATGCCTGATTGCTTGATGCAATCAGGCAAGCAGGCCTGTGATCCATCCATACTATCATGCGTCAGGTTCTGCTAATTTGGAAGCCGAGTATCCCATCTATCCAATTCCTGTGGCTCTGCTCCCCCGCGACGCAAAGGACAGAGAACAGGTTGGGGAATAACAGTCGAAGCCGAGAACAAAACCCCAAGCTCGGAATGCGGCGGCACGCGCACAATAGATCAATAGCAACTTGGGCGCTGGCGCAGAGCAAAGCACCGCTGGCCAAAAAAGCAAAGATAATGTGTGGAGTGGAAACAATAGCGACGAAGGGAAAAGGGAAGGCAGGGCGTGGTAATGGAAAGAAATAGGTTGTTATATTGTTCATTGACTCGTACAATATCTCATATTAGTCTATTAACAATTCAACATTCCTCTGAGGCCACCCGACGGCGACGACGAAGGTTGATTAGCGTGGGAAGCCTTACATCACCACCAGTGCCGATCTGGACTTGACCGATCGCAGAACGACCAACACGGCAACAGCGCGATGTCCGCAGCGTCCGTCCGACACCAAACCATGTCCTAAGATTAAAAAAGTTGGGCACAAGCCATGCCCATGCCCATGCCCGCCATCAAATGCCCGCCAAGCCAAATTCAAACTCCGCTTGGCGGGACATGCCCGTTTGACACGCCCATATAATAAGTCTGCATTCACGCCTGTAGCGTTCTGCCAAACGAACAGGGAGCATGCCAGAAGGAGCCTGTAGATCAGAGCAGGGCTGCGGAAGACCGAGAACATGGGCCCGAAAAATCCGGCGCCGGCCAGGCTCCGTTCGTGGACGATACCAGCCTCGATCTCCGCGAGCTCTTCCACGACGTACGGCGCATCCGCAGGGAGGTTGCGCAGGACGCACAAGTTGCGTAACGCTTGGCCGCTGCGGTCTTTCATCGCGAGCCACCGGGGAGATTCGACCAAGAACAGGGCGCCAAGGAAGAGAATGCCACCGGGCTGGAGATCCGTGAGCAAAGGCGGACGCGAAGCGGGGGACATCTGCACTGACCACCAGCTGAACGGCGAACGCGATCAACCACTGCTTGCGACTGGGCGGGATATGCTGCGTGACACCGTAGTTGATCCAGAACCCGACCACACCACCCGTCTGCCAGCACAGCTCGTACAGGCCAATCAGTCGCCCACGGATCGCAGGGGGCGAGATTTCGGCAATGTAGATCGGCTGCATGGACGCGATGAGTCGGCTACGCGCGAACGAGGAGGGCAGTCCGGACGCACAGCGAGGTTGGACGCAATCCCGACACCGACACCGACGATGACGCGGCCGGCGTACATGAGCCCCAGACCGGTGGAGGAAGACGCGGCGCATTGCAGGGCAGCGCCGGCGACGAAGATGCCGCTGGCGATGATCAGGCCGATCTTGCGCCCCAGGAAGTAGCCAAAGCCGTAGCCGGCAAACGCGCCGAAGAAGCATCTGCGCTCAGAGGACTGAGATCGCAACTGTGTGGAGAGCAGCGATACGAGGGAGGACGCACCCTGCTTGGAAGACGGAGACGATGTTGGCCGAGATGAGGTTGAGCTCGGTCGTCGACTTGTGCAGCATGCCGAACTCGGACTTGAAGCTCGTCAAGCTGATCGAGGTCCCGATGAAGGCCGAGTCGTATCTGGGCAACTCAGAGGATTAGGTCGTGTACATCAGACATCATATACAGACGCACCCGGCCCTGGTAAACGCATGGGAAAACGACGGTCAGCAAAGTGTTCCCGCAGATATGTCTGAAAGCCCTCACAAACTACGATTCAAGTAAGCCAACACACTAAAGAAAAGAGGACAACAAACGACTCACACAGCACCCCACGCGGCAATAATAGCATTGGCATACACCCGCCAGTTGTACACCTCCTGCGGCGTCGGGCGGTCTTCAATGCGGCGGAGGTTGACCATGGCTGTAGCTTTGGATGCACGGACGCACGGACAAGATCCTGAGTCTTTCCCCCGCTCTCCAGATAGTCTCTTTATACCCCCACGCACCCCCACAGCAGTGGCAGTGCTGTGGGGGGTCTGGGGGCAGACGCCCGCGCCAAGACTCGAAACCAGCCCCTGAAGGACGACAGCGTGACCTGGCCGCTCAAGCAGTGCTTGGTGAAGGAGCGTGATTGGTCGGGGTCTGTCAGCTGAGCCGTAGGTGTGGGATGTATTAGCGGCAACGGTGTACCTACCATTAGTGATCGCGTTGGCTCTTCTCAGAGGGGGCGAGGGTAGGCGTCGTTATCCACAAGCGGAGCCGGGTGCCCGTCCTTTGAGCATAGAGGAGTGGATGGAGCAAGGGGCGCCAAATACGCCGTGGATGGGGCGCTCTCCGGAAGGATGTGTGGCTCGGAGCACCCGCATTCATCCCATCTTCGCGAGGTCATAATGTGGGCGACAGAGGAAGCGGCGGGAAGAGACTGAGTGCACATCGACGCGAAGTTCGGGCTGGATTGGCTTGGCGCATGCTCAGCGTCAGCGAAAGAAAAGGGATCTGGCATCCACGTGATGCAAACACGTGATATTCATGTGATCTCGAGCTGTGGTGGCGAGGGTGCATTATGACTGCGCCATATGTTATCCGGAGATTTATTGGGATGAGATCACAGGTCCCCTGACGACGGGGGAGACGAAGGACGCGGGAGGCACAGATGAGGGGCGGTTTACTTGCGGGGAGATGAAAGACTTGGCTGTGGAGTCCGCGACGGATTTGTGGCTGTTCCATAGAGTTGTCAATTCCCGGCGGAATGCCGCTCTCATGGCGGGGGCGAAAGAGGAACAAGGGACAGAGACACGGATCAAGCCGATCACGTCATTGACGTCGAATGAGTGCTATTTCGGGAACAGATTGACGGCGGCGTTATACATGCGTACTTGCGGCTTCTCAGTGGATACGGTTGACAGCAGCGCTTTGGCAGCGGATTCACTTTATTGTCCGCGTTGGGACGTGTGTATTCGATGGCTGTCGGGAATCTCCAGGAGGACCTCCCGCTGCTGGGTTCCATCGTCTACCGCTGCTGGTCCCAATTAAACCTACCTGTGAGTACGATCTTATCTATCACCCCGGAAAGTCTAGGTTTTGCCCCCTTTGTCAAGCCCCCATGAGACGTTCTGGGTATTTGACCAGCAGCACGATGAGGGAGGTAAATGGGAACAAGCCGCGCGACATATGTATGGAGAGGACTGTGCTCCTGAGTCTGCAGTGAAGTTGCGTGAGCCGTGATCGACGCGATTTGTTCCCAACGATGGCTCCGGATTAGGCAAGCGCGCTGGAGGCATCCCGAGGCGCGCGGTGTGTTCCCACCGGCCTGTCCAAAAAGAACAAGGCAGAGCGAGGATCCCCCACCGTCGAGAGTTGAAACGCAGGCATGTATGGGACATGTCAAGATCTTTTGCTTCCGTCCGGCTACGAGGACAGGCACGTGATATCCCCATAAGGACAAGTTGTTGTACTGCTCACCCAGCTAGCAGCAACCACGGCCGTGGGTGATCCCGTAACGGTGAGGTAAACTGCAAGCGATCGCACTGAAATAAGAGCTGCTGCTGCCTGACGGATCGGATGGCCTTCGGTTCCACTCACCCCTCCCCCCGCCCCCTCCGCCCCGCACATGCCCCGATCGGTCCTCGACATCCCGCTGGCGGAGAAGCCCCGCGCCGCATCCGGCCGCACGCTCTGGAAACGGGCGAACGGCCGGGACGAGTCCATCTGGTCGCCGTCGCTCGAAGCCGCGCTCGTCGAGGGTACGTCGCCGTGTCCCGGAGCCATCCGGAGCCGCGCCAGGGATTGAACTGACCGGCTCCGCATCACAGCCCTCGAGCGCTACGAGCCGCTGCCATCGATCTCGCCGCGGAACCAGATGAAGCGCCCCCTGCAGCGCTTTCCGCGGCGCAATCAGTTTATCTCGGCGTACATACTCTCCGTCACGGGGATCCTGCGCACGCCGAAGCAGGTCGGGAGCCGCCTGCAGCAGATGAAGGACACGTGCCGGGACCCACACGGTGAGTGGCTGCACGTTTAGATAGGGGTTTCATCTGATCATGCGCAGTTCTGAGTTTCCTCAGTCCGGGTGATCAAATTGTCAGGCAGCCGAGGCTGACACGGGTGTCTTCCATGTGCTCGCCGGCTTCGTCGTCGAGCTCCACCGCCTCATCGAGTCTGCCCTCGAGCTCCGGATCGTCCTACGCGTCCAAGCGGACACACATCGACATCCGGCTCATCGTTGCGGGCGACCGGCCGACGCTCGAGGGCCCAGTGATCTCCTCGTCGGACCACCCCGACCGCCGCACGGTGTCGCTCAACGCGCCGTCGGACATGGACCGCGACGAGCCCGTGATTGCGTTCAGCACATCGCACATCATCTCGACGGCATACCACTACTCGCGCTTCCGCGTCCTGTTCGGCCGCGATCTCGTCCACGAGGAGGAGACAGAACTCGTCGAGGTGCCCGGCAAGAGCTGCGCCTACAGCACGCGTCTCCTGCCCAAGTTCTGGACATATCTCTGTCGCTCCTCACGTGCGTGGTGCCAAGTGATGCTGGTTCTCAAAGAATACTGAATTTATTCCCGCATTTGTTTATAGGATTATCCGACTGCATTATCGAGCAGGACATCGTCCGCACGCGATTCCCGTTCAGCTGCGCGCCGAGCCGCGCACAGCACGACGACCAGATCATCCGCGCGATCGCCTACTCGTTCACCCTCCACCTCGCTCCGCAGAAGCCGCCGCCCGAGCCCGCCGCCTTCGCGATCTATCCGTCCGCGGATGTGCATTCTCCCGTGCCCGCCTTCGATCCGTGTCTGCCCCCCGAGTTCCCCGCCATGCCCACCGCCGGCGTATACCAGCCCCTTGCGGCTCCCCTCAGCCCGCTGCAGGCGGCGTCTATGCCGCCGGCGGACGCGTGGGACGGGCTGCCGTACTACGCAGACCCTGCTTATGGTGGAGGTGGCGGTGGTGGCACTGGGCATGATTTGGCCCCTGCACCGGAACTGCCCGCTGATTGGCTGGACGAATGGTCACGCGTCCAAGCGGCCTGCGCCATGAATTACGATCACCACACATACTAGGTTCGATTTACTGTACATTTTTCAGCCCACTACTGCTACATACTTTTCGGCGCCACTCTTTTATGAACATAGCTCGGATCTTTATAATGCACACGTACATAGCAATTGTAATGTTGACAAACCCGCGGATAATCCAGCGTATGTAAACCGGGTTCGATGCGTGACGGGGAGCCACATACATGGGTTTATCTTCTCGCGCTGGGATCGGCTCTCACGTGACCGCGTCTCCTCGGCGATTCTTGTCTCGGCCCTGTCTACCCTTATAATGGAGTATTCCCTGCGCATTCCAGTTCGCACATCCACAGCGCTTGCCTGCCTGCCTCATCGACCATGTCTGCCCCCATCACCGAACCCGCGATCCTGGCTGCCCGACGCGCCCAGCAGCACACGATCGACGTGTCCAAGCTGCCGCAGAACCTCGACATGTCGGCGGAGAACATCACACAGAACGTGCTCGCGATGAACGACAACTGTGCGTGGCGCGGGGCGAGACCTCTCGCGCAGGTGTGCTTGTGCTGACGGAATGCTTCGCAGGCGGAGATCCGCGGATGAAGTTCGTCATGACGAATCTGGTGCGCGGCCGCGGCTCTGGTCGTCTTCTCTGATCTGGATGGAGTGAATGACCGTGGAATGCAGGTAAAGCACCTGCACGACTTCGTGCGCGAGACTTCGATCACGACCGAGGAGTGGATGTGCGTGTGGCACTAGCAATTCTGCGCGTGTGATTGGCTGAGAGAAGCCCCCCTCCTCCTCCGAAAGGACGGCGCTCCTTTTCTTGACGAAGACCGGCCAGAAGTGCACCGACATCCGGCAGGAGTTCATCCTCCTCTCCGACGTCCTCGGCGTCTCGGCGCTCGTCGACTCGATGAACCATGCCAAGCCGCCCGGCGCGACCGAGTCCACGGTCCTCGGCCCCTTCTTCACCACCGATGCGATGGACTGTCAGTGAATTCGTGCTGATGGTACAGCTTAGCTCACCACCCCGCAGTTGAGAACGGGGAGAGCATCGCGTCGGAAGGAAAGGGTGAGTACATGTGGGTCGAGGGCAAGGTCCTCGACACCAAGGGAAATCCGATCCCCAACTGCATCATCGACACCTGGGAGACGGACAGCGACGGGCTCTACGACACCCAGGTGCGTCGACCAGATCCGATGAACTCCCCGGGCACCCGCTCACATATGACCGATGCCCAGTACTCCAACCGCGGACGCCCGGACTGCCGCGGCCGCCTGCGCACCACCGATGACGGGTCGTTCTTCTACCGCGCGGTCGTGTGAGTAATCCACGCGCCCTCTCGCTTCATTCACATACCCACGCCCACGCCCGCCCAGCCCCGTGTCCTATCCGATCCCGAGCGACGGACCCGTCGGGAACCTGCTCGACGCGCTCGGCCGGCACGTCTTCCGGCCGTCGCACCTGCACATGATGCTCGAGGTGCGTCCTCCCCGATCGTGCATAGGTGCATCCGCCCCAAAGTCTGAGCACCCTCCGCCCAGGCGCCTGGCTTCGAGAAGCTCATCACGGCGCTGTACCCCAGCGGCGACCCGTACCTGCAGAGCGACGCCGTGTTCGGCGTCAAGAGCAGTCTCATCGAGGTCCGTCCCCCCGTCCGTTCCGTCCGTCACTTGGCGTAGACACTGACGACGACATCGATGATGTCCTTTTCCCCCAGAATTTGACGACGGAGACCGATCCCGAGCTGACGCGGGCGCGCGGGTTCCTGAACGAGACCAGCCACAAGGTGCTCAAGCACAACTTCGTGCTGGCCACGGTGGAGGAAGGGATCCAGGCCAAGAAGCAGACTATGAAGGCCGCGTCGGGGGAGGTGTGATGAAAGAGACAAAACAAAGTGGAATACCTGTAAATGTATATCATGATCCGTTACGAACAGTCTGTCGGAATTTGAACGTTCCTGCTCTCGAGGACCTCGGCTGCCGCAGTCATCGTAACATCATAGATCCCATTAGGAAGGAGCAGGGCTGTGGGCAGTGGGACGGAAGCACAATGGCTCACGTGACTCTTCGGATCTGTTTTTTTTTTTCGTGCATCCTGGAGAGTTTCAGCATTAACACTGTCCTCAGTGGGGCTCAGTATGACCATGAAAACTGGGCATCAAGTCAAATGAGCAAATCCCGATGAACTTCCCACTCGATCGCCTTTTATGTTGGCCGGATGGCTGAGATTTTTGGTGCATATACTCAATGTACGAATACCTGGCGCTGCAGCCCGGCATTCCGGCCATTGTTCATACGAAATTGGGTGAGAAACGGTCAGATGTGGAAAGGCCTACATGATCAAATACTGTTATGCCGAAAAACTGAATGGTTGTTCGTGTTATCAACGGATCGATTAGATTCGCATCTTAAGCAGTAACCTTCTTCCATATAAGTTATCTCACCCCACTTCTACTACTCGCCCACACCCACTGGCCATGAGTTTCTGCAAGGACTGCATCAGCGGTGCGTACGGGACGCTGCCCTAGCGCCGTCTGGTGCTCAGCGGTCGTGCGACTGCAGGTGTCACTCACGAAGGAACGCCCGAGGGTATGATGGGAACTGAGCAGGAGTGAATCGACCGTTTCTCATCAGCGCTTACAAGGCAAGATCGAGACTATCGGCGGGATTGAGACCTACGTCTGCACGCCGACCGTCGACTTCCCCAAGGACAAGGCTATCCTCTTCCTGACCGACGTGTTCGGCCTCCCACTGGTCAACAACAAGGTGCGCCACGCAGATCGTGGGGCAGATATCCTGGAGCTGAAGCGGAGAACAAGCTCTTGGCTGATGACTTTGCGCGCAACGGCTTCAAGGTGAGTCGAGCGGACATCGCGCTGCGTAAACACGACCGAGCAACCCCGCAGACGTACGTGCCGGATCTGTTCGCCGGTGACTCCGTCAACCCCGATGCAATGACCGTGCGTGCCTCGCACAACCTTCCCCACCCCGCTGCCCGCCTGACCGATCCGCGCACCCGCAGACCGGCACATTCAACCGCGAGGAGTGGTCCCCGAACCACACCCAGGAGAAAACGCGCCCCATCATCGACAAGCTGATGACCGCGCTCGAGGCGCAGGGCGTGACCAGGTTCGCCGCGGTCGGGTACTGCTTCGGCGGGCGGTACGTGTTCGACCTTGCGTTCGACCACAAGATCGCCGCGGCCGCTGTCGCGCACCCATCACGGCTACAAACGCCTGCCGATCTCGAGGTGTGTTTCGTTTGGTTTTGTTCGCCGCGATGTGTCTCCTGATGTCTGGTCTGCGCCTGTGTGCGTGTGCAGAAATACGCCGCGACTGCGACGGCCCCGTTGCTGATCAACAGCTGCACGGTCGACAAGCAGTTCCCCGTCGAGGCCGCAATCCAGGCCGACGAGATCCTGAAGGGCTTCGCGCCGGGCTACAAGCGCGAGCACTTCGAGGGCTGCACGCACGGTTTCGCTGTCCGCGGCGACATGTCGATCCCGGCAGTCAAGGCGGGCAAAGAGGGCGCCTTCAAGGCCACTGTTGACTGGTTCATCAAGTATTTGTAAATGGCATGCAGGAAGGAAGTAAGGAAGAAATAAAGACTCAAGTGTTTGTATACATGTAACTGTGACCCGTACTACTCGAGTATCTCAAGACCACATTGCGCTTGGGAGATGGGCGTCGATCTGCTCCTCAGTCTCAGGCTTCAGCAGGGGACCATCGACGACCGCCTATTTTGGATGCGTGAGAAAGTTGTACAGTGCAAGACCAGCGATTCGTGAGCGATTCCACGGAATGATTGCCCAAAGCAGTGCAGCTGACAGCAATCAACGTTTCAACACCGGAATCTTGACTTCGGCGTTGATGCGGCCAAAAATGTACGCATCTAAGACCAAGCCTTGTGCACTCTTGGAGCGTGCTCCCTCCACTGCCGGAACGCTGCTCACTCATCGTGCTCCAAGTACTCTCCTACGTTCCCAGTCCTCGCTCCTCAGATCGTGCCCCCCATGATGCCCCACTCGCTCCCGCCGCACCGATCAGTGCCCAACGTCCCTGTACGACCCATTGACGACTACGATGAACCACGGCGCGGAGTCCCCTTCCGTTCCGAGCCGATACGACACGAACCATTTCACGAATTCCCGCCGTACCCTGCGTACCCTGCGTACCCCGCGTACCCCACGCCAGGCGCGTATGGCGCCCCCGGCACAGTCCCGTTCTACGGTGCGCCTGTTCCAGGACCACCCGTGATCCCGATGGACCCCAGAACCCAATCTGCGCCCTACCCGTATCCCGTTCAGCCGAGCTACTACTACTCCACGCGGCCCGCCGGCGGGGAGGACGCGCCGTTCACGGCGGTGAACCCGTACGAGGCACGCGGGCGGCGGGGTAGGAAGACGCGCGCGGATGACGCGATGGCGGCGGACGGGCGCGATCAAGAGATCTATGGAGGAGTAGAGACGATGCAGGCGCCCCCGGTGCCTGCTACGTGGGGCTCACAGCTCCCGATGCCTAATCCCATCATGGTCAACCCGACCCCGGGCAATGAACGACCGCATTGGGGCTCCGCGTTGACGCATGTACATGAAGCGCAAGGAACGACCGTGGATCTGGGGCGTTATCGACAGAGAAGCCGTAGCCGGTCTCGATCCCGGCGCCGCTCCTCGTGGTACTCCTCGCCCTTTATGCCGATGCCTGTTGTCCCGACTACGATGGTAATCGACACTCCATCACGAGAAAGGGTGCAGCGCGAGCCTCGAGATGATGTTGAGCATGAGCGAAGCTACGCCAGCGCGGTGTCTCCATCTGAGGTGCATCTTTCGACCAGACCTTGGGGAAACCGAACTAAGCTGCTTGCAGATCCCTCTGCCATCCTCAGATGCATCAGCTCGTTATTCTCCTCTCAGTCATACGAGGACGTCATCACATAGACACTCGACTGCGGAGCACTCGAATGGTGCGGTGCCCGTGATTGAGGCAGGAGATCCTGCTGAACCGGGGCGGGTTGTCGCTCTCCTTCCCCACGACTATTTGCCGGCCCCGACATCCTGGTCTCCAGCGCGCTCCGATGTGTCTCTCCCTCTACAAACTCCGACCTCCATTGCGTCTGAAACGAGTCCCACCGCGTCTCTGGCAGAATCTGCGCAGTCGGAGGGTTCCAGAAGATCATCAACACCATCCGCGTTTTATCGCATATCCAGGCCGTTGAGTAGGGCGGTATCGGACGATAGTTCGAGCGGGCGCCTGAGCGATGAGGACGTCGCAAACGCGGACGAAAAATTGGCGGCAGTGATGGCTTGGCTGGAAGCTGCTCCTGAGCCGCAAATCGGAAGAATCAACCACCGGCTTAGCCTGGATTATCCATTGGGACCACCGACATCCGCAAGACCTCAATGGAGACAGCCGGGAGTGGAGCCGGGCGACCCAGAAAAGGGCCCAGAGTGGGTCTACCACTTCCAAGATCCCCAGATCGGTTCCGCTATGCTGCAGCCCGCAGGAGCCGGGGTGTCCCCCCCTCCCTCAATTCCTTTCCCAGTCACTACCGCGCAGCCGTCCTCACTTCCCAGCATGTTCAGCAACCTGGGCTCTCTGATGCTCGACGGCGCGTTCTTCGTCACCGACGTCGTCCCGCGCCAGCTCTACCTGCACCTCCTCCTGCGTGTCCCCTCGCTGTACTTCTCGCGCGTCGCGCGCGTGTTTGAGGACGCGCGCCTGAGCTTGCCCGACATCAAGCGCATGGCACGGGCCAGAGCGGAGGAGTGGAATGATCCCATGGCACGCTACCAGATGCCGGACATGCTTTGGCAGGGTTCTGACGCGGGCCCGCTCCCGGTTGCGCTGTTGATCTTCAAGGCGTCGTGGGAGGGGTTCATTGATTCGCTCATGAGGGAATGGAAGACGCTGAACATCATCTCCGTCTTATTGCTTTCGTGGGTTCTGCGCTCGGTTTTATGTGTCAACTGAACCGATTTGAACACAGCGCCATTTTGACTGTCCTCCAGATCAACGAAGCGTCTCATCCAATCACCCGAACTGCTGCCCTGTTCTCTCTCATCTGCGCCCTGATGAGTTTGCTCTTTGGCTGCATGTACATCATCCGGTTCGGCACTATGCGCAAGATGCACAAAGCGAGCAGCTTTGCAAACGAAGCGCAGAAAGGCACCGCAGGCATCTGGTGGAATGTGTGGGTTATGCTGGCGCTAGTGCGTCATTCGGTTTCTCGAGCTTCAGTCCAACTGACTTCTCTACATAGCCAGCTGTCTGGTTATCCTGGTCCATCATTGCGTTCTTCGTCTGCATTCTGTCATTTATCTGGCTGAGCGGGTCGACATCTGATCCGACGGGTGTCCTGCTCTCGCCGAACGCCGCGTTGGGTCCCCGGATTGCTCTGACGGCAGTCTTCGTGCTGGGGTTGGTCTACTCGTTCCTGATCATTCATGAATTCCATCGGTACGGAGACCCGCTCGACCGCGAATGGTCGAGAGCGGTGAAAGGCTGGATAAATACATACCCGCGTCCGATGACTCCAATCATCGTGGACGATAGGTCTCCCGCTGTGTCCGTGTTTCGGCGTCCGGTCACAGTCATGAACTTGGGGGACTATGGTGGGGTCTCCGTCGATCGACGCGCCCAGGGCCCACTACTGCCCGATAACCTTTGGGCTCAGTTCGCGGAGGTCTGTGCCGTTTCCTCTCTCTGTTATTTCCGACGTCGGCTCATGATCTCAGGACGTAAAATCTGTTTGGGCAGAGGGAGACGCCCCCGAGATGCAGGCTACACCGCGACCGAACAACCCGACGCCTGTCTCGGAGTCCCACTTCTACCCGACGACGTTCCTAGCAAAGAATGCCTCGGCCGACGAGCCTCCCCCAGCAAACGGACATCCCTCCGCCGACGGGCATGCTCCAAGAAACCACCGCTCCGGTGACGACGTTTCCTCCGAAACGTCATACGGGCAGATGCAGCCCCGTGCGTTTTTCGCCTCGGGTCAGCCTGATGTTGAGATGACGGAATGGGAAAGGCAGCGAGAGGAGGGACGGGCGGAGGGATGGGCGGAGGGACGGGCGGAGGGATGGGCGGAGGGACGGGCGAGGGCCCTGGCGGAGGGCCTGGCAGAGGGCCTGGCGGAGGGTGCCGCAGCGATGCGCGGCGCACAGCCGCCACCCCCGGACACCCACGCGTCGCTGACTGCGGTCATCGAGTCCTGGAACGAGCGGTATTTCCGGCCCCGGCACGCGGAAGCTGAGCTGGTGCCGGTCGCAGATGGGCACTACACGTATTCGATCGCGGTCCACACCGATGTACCGCGGGGTGGGGACGGCGGATCGCCTGTGCTGGATGAGAAGACGTCCCACTCGCGTTCGCCGCAGGCTGTGCCGACAAGCGCGAGCGTACACCTGCCGTCGCCGACTCCGAGTCGACGGCGTCAACGGCCGTTCTCTAGGTGGCGGGATCGGCTTTTACGGCGTCGGAACTAGCCAGGAAGGGGCCTGGTTTACATGGATATGATTACATGCAGCACAAACACGCCCATCTTTTGCTTGCTCGCAAGCACTCCTGAATGAAATAAATAAGCTATGATTCATGATCTCTCTGTGCTCTTCCAGTCGATCATTTATTCCGAATTATCCTGCGTAACAGCACAAGTTTATACTGTAGACAGCGTCCTCGCTTCTCGGAAATTGAGAGGTTTGCCTCATCGCACTCAAAGTTGTTCGTGGGTGTTCGAGATACGGGATTGATGGCATCAAACGCGAGGCCTTGAACTGACCAATCCTGAACTTGCGATGTGCAGTCACCGAAGTCTATGTGAGCCACGCCTACGGCAGCGCAGGTCGACTGCAGCCGATATCATGTCCCCCTGCTGACAGACGTCACTCGCTGTGTCGCTAGCGCGCAGCGTGGCGATAAGCACTTTCCCTACTGACTTGAAGCCATGGACGACTTCCCGGACGAGCTGCTGGACGAAATATGCGCGCACATGGGCAAGAACGAGCTGCGCTGCGCGGTCCAGGTGTGCCGCAGCCTCCGCCGTGTCGGCGCCCGGCCCATTTTGCGCGCGTGGGGCATTCGGGACTCCCCCGCCGACCTCCAGAGCGGGGCGCTCACGGTGAACAACACGGGCCAGCTCTTCCTCATCCCCCTGTACGCCTCGCTCGTCGGGCGCATCACGCGTCTCGTGTGCTTCGCGAACCCGTTTGTCACGGTGGACGGCCCCTGGCACAGTGTGCTGCGCCAGATCCTCGCTGCGCTGCCGCCGGTGCCCGACATCTTGGTGCACCATCGCCCCGACACGTTCAACGTCTATGCCATGCAGCTGGACCCGTATCCGTATCTGGCTCAGCTGCCGGCGGCCGCAGACAGGATGCTCGTCGTGGTGCACGGCAGCACCATCGCAGTATCGAAGCCGCTGCCCCAGGACAACTCGCAGCAGTTCGCCCTGAGTGCCGCCGGAGCGGACGAGAGGCTCAGACGAGACGTGCCGGGCATCGCCCCGGTCGAGTGGATCCGCCTGCAGATGCTCCCCGCGGTCACTCTGGTGACCATCGGGACTGTCATCTCCAGCTTCCCCATGCGCCGCATCCTCTCGCTCGGACCGGCCCTCGGACTGGACCAGGCCGTGCTCGTCAGCATCCTTCGCTCGATGCCGTCGGAGGACATCATCTCCGGCCTCGCCCTCGAGCCGCACCTCGCCCTGCCCGTTACCGCCCTCGTCTCGTTCCTGCTGCGGCACCCGAATGTGCGCGAGCTGTGCGTCGGGCCTGGCGCGCTGTGTCTCGCTCCCCACGACGGCGAGGAGGCGGACATGGGTGCTAACCGCGCGCGCATCGCGTACCTCGAGGCGCCGGCGTCGTACGTGCCCCGGCTCTTAAGGTGCATGGGGCCCGCCCTTGCGAGGATCGGGGTTTCGTTTTCACAAGATCTTGACATGGCGGGGTATCGGGAGACACTCGCCGCGATCGCACGTCTACCTGGGACTTCTGAGCTCTCGCTGACGCTCGCATTCCCTCCCGCAACTGCCCACCATTTCCCGTGGAACACAGATGCCAGTGACAAGTGTATACCAGCCAAACTAGGGCGCGTGACTGAGCTGGATGTGGTGAAGCGGTTTCATACGCTGGGCGAGTTGCAGACTGTGGTGGCGTGGGTGGCAGAGCTGTTCCCCGCCGTCACATGCTTGTTCTTCACGCATGGTTCTGCGGACATAGAGCCGTCGTCTGAAGCGCGTTCGGTGTTTGAACGGACGGTCAAAGCGGCGTGTCCAGCCCTGGAATCAGTTCACTTTTGAGTGTGGGCCGTTGGATGTTTGATGCGTCATACAAGTAGTAAAATAGAGAATAGAATGGAGTGGCAATGCATTGATAAGATGTATTGCGAACGTTGCCCTGGGATCGTGAACGAAAGCGGTGGCGCCAGACACGATCAGGCACGTGCACGTCTCGGCAGCGTCTGCGCACGGACCACACCGGAATCGTATAAAGGCCACCGCTGAACACGATGAATCTTTACCACTCTGGCCTTTTGGCTTAGATCAAGTGTAGTATCTGTTCTTAATAGTTTAACCACTATTAGAGGGACACAGTCCCTTCTATTTGGTTATCTAATTTTTGCCGCCCTTGTTTTTCTGCTCTGCTTGCAACAGAAGGACGCGATGACCTTGCCGCTGCACTACTGGCTTGTGTCGTCGGGGGATCGATTTTTTTTTTGCATCCTCCGATGCGCTAACCCTAACCTTATGACCTTGGGATAATAGTCATTTCAGTATAGTCAACCACGATCATTTTATGGCAACTATTCTAAGATGAAAACCAAAGTATTGTCTTGATTCTTTCGCGCGTCGCAATGTGAATACAGGATCTTGGAAGATCTTGGATGTGGACTGTGTTGGACCCATGCACGCAAACATGTCATTGACCCGCTGTCCGCTTGTCGGAGGAGGACTTCACAGCCACCTGTCATTTCTGTCATTCTCCCTCACTCTATCTCCGCATGCGGAGCTGACTGAACCGACACGTGGAATCCTGAATACGCTCTCACACACACTCTCCCTAGCTGGAACGCCTCTCACCTCTCACTCTCACCATGTCCGATCCCGTCGCCGAAAAGTCCAGCTTCCTCAAGATGTACATGAGCAACCATCCCGATACGCTCGTCGCGTACGCCAAGTGGTACGGCCATGTCCAAGAGCCCATCACCAGCGCCGAGATGTCGGAGATCAGCACCAAGGTCCCTGTCCCCTGCGTCCCCGCGCTCCGCACCCGCTCGCTCACCGTTGCGGACAGAACATGCTGCTCACGTGCACGTTCAAGGACGGCAGCAAGAGAGAGGTGCGCGTCGAGCTCAATCCGCCGCTCGCGGGGTACGAGGACGTCAAGCCCCGGCTGCTCGAGATGAAGGCCATTGCCCAGGAGGGGCTCGGCATGGTGCGTGTCCTGCCCAGCAAGCCCACCGTCTGGGTCCCCGAAGCTGCCGAATTCCTCTGCTTACCGTCTCCCGTACACAGATCAAGTCGCCCGTGCTGTCCACCTTCGTCTTCCCCCGCGACGCGCTCACGACGACGTTCTTCCCGATCCTCGCGCTCATCGGCTACACCTGGGCCCCCAAGGACAGCCCGTCGCCCGTCTTCGCCGTCGCGCGCCTCCTCCACGAGTGGGGCGTGCGCGGCCTCGTCCTACAGGGCATCTGGGGCTTCCTGTGCGTCGCCCACAGCCTCGAGGCGATGTACATCTTCAACCTCGCCCGCAAGCACGCGGGGAACTTCGCCGTGGGGGTGAGCGCTGTCGTTCTTGTCCCTCCGAGTGCGACGGTCTGACTGGGCGATGCAGGCGGGGTATGTCTTTGGCACCTTGGTGTTTGGGTTCCCCTTCATGTTTGCGTTCCGGGGACGGATCCAGGCGGCGCGTATCGATTCTGTCATGAAGATCCAGTGATCCTTTCAGATGTGATCAGGTCTTGTATCTCAATCTGTCTCAATATATTCGCGATTCGAAGTCATTCGAGCGACCTAGCTCGCATCGCAATTACGTGTCGTGCGTACTCGTTCTCGATGGCCAGGTTGCCTTCATGGAAAGTATCATCTTGTCCTTGAGGACTTGACATTGAAATTGGTGAAGGCTGTTCCTTTCTGATACAAGGTATTCTCTCCACGTCAAGCCTCAGTGACCCATGCAGCAGTGAAGTAATCCATCTACTCATGCCGCTTCACAGCGGCATCCCAGGTCGGATACTGATCTCCGGTGGTGAAACGTTCATACAACAGACGGACATTTCACGTTCGCGCCGCAGATGTGCATCCTCAGGCCAGGATCCCTGAAGCTCCCAGTCGACCTTCTCAACCCTCTCCCTGTCTTGAGATCACGCACCTGAACCAGATTGCCTGCAGGTACAACCTTGCAGCGCAGACGACACCTGGTTCGTCATACGTACACATCTCACCTTTCTCACCCGTGAGGCTCCATACTACTCGGTATAACTTGCATTAAGAGTATGGGGTCTTGAGAGAGGTTGGTAAGCTTCGGAGATGGCGCGCTGACTGAGGAGTGCAATAATGGCCGTCATCTCTGTAAGATCGGCGAGGATAGGGCCCATACCCGTGAGTGTCAGACAGTACACAGACAAGGAGATCGCGATCACTTGGCTTAAGTCTTACTTGATTCCGCGTGGTAGGTTTATGCGGAATTTCTCTGCATTGAAGATACATGCAATTCTGTTACATTCAGTTATTAGGCACTGTTTATCGACGTCAAGCCTCGGGAGCCCATCCAGACAAGAACCGATCGATCTGCTCATGCCGGTGCACAGCATCATCCCAAGTCGGGTATTTACCTCCGGCGGCAAAGCTGTCATATAACAGACCGACGTTTTTGGACGGCGCCGGAGCCTTTGCGTCCCCAGGCCAGGACTCCTGAAGCTCCCAGTCGACCTTTTCGACTTTGTCTGTCTCGAAGTCATGCACCTCGACCACAATGCCCGCAGGCGGGACATGCAGCGAAGACGACGCCTGATTCGTCACGCGTATCTCGCCCTTCTCGCCCGTGATGCTCCACACGAGCGCGGGCTCGCCCGAGAACTGCGCGCCGCGGCGGAAGCGGAACAGCAGGGACGCGTCGCGCACGACGGTCGGCGACTCCGCCAGGCGCGCGGTGACGATGTACAGGTCCGGGACGTCGGCTTTGACGGTGTCGATGACGGTGTCGGTCGCGGGGTCACGCACGTTGTTGATCGGACGCTGCAGCTGCAGCTGCGACTTGATATCGATGGCCTCGCCCAGGACGGTCTGGATCAGGTCGAACGCTGCGAGAGATTAAGATTTGAGCATCTAGGGCTATTATGACGACATGTCACGCACCGTGGCCTCCGTGGATAGTGACGATGTTCCCGCCGACCGAGCGCTTGACGAAGTACTCGAGCCCTTTGGGCACAGAATCGCGTGAATTGGTCCCGCCCGAGCCACGCACCTCCGTGCTCAGGACCTTCCCGATCCGCCCATCCTCGATCAGCTTCTTAAGCCGCAACGTCAGGGGGCTGACACGGCCTTGGAGCCCCACCAGCGTCCGCCCACCACCGTGCCGCGCGACGTCGGCCAGCTCCTTCGCATGCTTCGTATCCTGCGCTAGAGGCCACTCGACATATACGTCCTTCCCAGCCTTCGCAGACGCGAGAACGGTCCCGTAATGCTTGTCGACACGCGTGCTGCACACGACGAGCCGGACGTCCTTGTCCGCCGCCAGTTCCTCGGGCGAGCCATACGCGCGCGTCTCGGCGGGGAGATTGAAATGCTTGACAGCAGCGAGGGAAGATTCTTTAGACGAGTTGAGCAGAGCGACGATGGTGTAGCGCGCGCGTCCATGTGCAGAGAGCAGGTACGGCAGGTGCGCAGAGGCACCCCACGACGAGGCTGAATTCGCCGACAGTCCAATGATTGCAGTGGGAATGGGAGCCATGTTGGTTGGTAGTAGTTACAAACGTCGCCACTGACCTGCATTATAAGCAGGGAGTCCCTGAGAGAGATTGATAAGCCGATTCGATATGGAGCGTTCTGCTTACTGAGCTGCGCCATATCGCCGCCATTCTGATACAACTGACGAAAAGAGGGAGAACCCATGGTGCTTATTCGCAAGAAGCAACACACATTAGAGCGTATTAGATTTCTTAGAAACCACCACTTTCTACAAAAAAGCTTCTATAGAAAGTTCTCAACTTTCCATGGGAAGTGATTCAAATCTGTGCAATTGTCAGACGTGGTCACACTGGTCACAATGGATGCCATTCATTTCCATCCAAATCGCGTCGAGCGCGTCGCGCGTGCGCGTGTTGTCTCGCACCTCCTCTGCACTGGAGATTGCTCTTTTCATCACAACTGGGAGCATGGGAGGCAGGAGACGGCGGAATTGGCGAGAGTTGGCGGCGTGACAAGTAATGTGATCGTATGTGAAGTTCCTTTCGCTATAGAAAGTGACCCAGATTTAAGCGACATTTGATAGATTTTTTGTAGAAGGTTACTTTTTACAAATTCTAATACGCTCTATTCAATTACCTACTATAGTATATGTGTAGTCACTGCTCCTTTGTAACAGTTGCCAAATTAGCCGAAGGCCGCCCTGATCCGGTGGCCACAGTTTTGTCACAAATTGTACTGTATACGCCGCTCACGCAGCCAGGTTTCATGCAGCAGAAATCAACCGTCCCACAACTGGACATCTCTTTATTTCTCTCGCTAATTTTATCGACTTCGGGGAAATGAGTCGTCTCGTCATCTTGCCTCAGCTGGTTCAAATTAACATACATTGATTAAGGTTAGGGTCAGCTGCACTAACGGACCAAAAAAAGGGGCCCGCCTAGCCGAGTGGCCGTGGCGGAACAGGAAAATATTGAGACGGTGCATGAGCCGAAGCCCATACAAACCGCAGGCCCACTCTGAATGGACAGGGTCGCCGTGCTATGGAGTGTTCCCACGGCCCAAAAGCCCAGGTCCATGAAGGAGCTTATGCCATCAAGGTAAGTATGCAGAACCAGATGTTGGTAGGTGGTTTATATACGACGTAGAGGGTGCACGGACCAGCGAATTCGCGGGTAACGGAGGGACAAGTCCACGTGATCGCGTGTAGACAATCACATGCGACTCTCGACTTGCCTCTCGATAAGTATCATGATATCTGTCGGCATTTGAGACTCCCCCATGGACTGTGTCGACGCAAATGACTCTGGTCATCTGCACCTGAAACCTCCCAGCAGGGGCTTCTCGCCACTTGCGTCCCCGATCGCGTGGATGGGCACTGGGCAGGATGTGAGTGCATGAGGCTTGGTCTGCAAGAAACGCGGTCGCTTCTCTGGAAGTGAACGTCTTGTGAGCAGTTTTGCCAGCTCCTCGTGCTTGACGTGCTTTCGTTGGCACGGCTGAATGCTCGCTGCTGCCATGTAAATGCGCAATAAAACATGCTCGTTGACTGAATTCTGGCAGAGCGCGCAAACCCACGCGGTGTCAAGCCTCATACGCTCGGGCTAATGGACGGTGTAGGCGCCCATCGCGAAAACGCTATCCTTCGAGTCCTCCTCGAATAGGCTCCTCTGTTTCCTGTCCGCCGACTACTCAGATCGGCTCCCAGCAACTTCTTGTCTGACAGTTTCTTTTCCGCTACGACGCTGAAGCCGCCGCCTCCTGGACCGCGCAATGTCCGGACCAAGTTCTCTCCTTAAGAGTCCCTGCGATCAGCGTTCTTGACCGTGAATCGGCTGGGCTGGCTTCGGTCGACATAATCGTTGTCTCTTCCATTGTGTTGCTGCCCGTGGTTTTGGCGCGAGAGCAGGGCTCGGCGACACCGACGAAGGAGCAGCCGCCGCTTTTGATCGCCAGCACATCATGCCGGCAAAGCTCCCGATGGATGAGGGTCTGGCACACATGTCCTCGCTGACACCCAATGCCAAATGTGATCGCCATCGACACCATAGTCGAGATCCCTCGTGTTCGTCCGGCGCAGAACGAGATACGCCTCCAGATGGTGTCGAGTGGCCTGCATACGAGTGGTCAACGCACTTGAGCGCTGCGGTTGACAACGGTCTGGTTCCAGCTCGAGAAGAAACGATCAGCCTTCAGCAACCTTGCTGCGAGCACAGCCTGAAGATGTCTACATCTGACTGGACCCGGATGCAACGCTCCAGGAACCTGCGCAGAGGGTCCTCAATCCGCCAGACTGGGATAGCGCTTAGGGAGGCAGTAGTTGTGTGGACGGCGCGGGTCGTGGCACAAGCGTGTCAGAAAACGTCCACCATGACAGCACTAGATCCCAGGAAGCTAGCGCGCCAGACGCATTGATATATATGGTTGGTGAACAACGTCAAGATACCAGAGCGAATTCTAGCGGTGACATATCGACGACGACGGAAACAGACAGACAGACAGACAGAGGAACGCTCTCCAGCCTTGAAGGCCTGGACGTGACGAAATTAAATACGGCTCTAAGATCCCTCTCTGTTGGTATCAGCGACATGAGCCACAGCATGATATACACCTAGGCGCGCAAGCTCCACCGGTGCATGACTTGCAATTGTAGCTGGCTCGATAGTGAAAGGTCGTCAAGCAGCAATTTATACAGATGGATGCGGTGGTCGTACAATACACATGATGGATGTTAATTACCAGAAACGCTGGCGGGTGGCTCTACGAGTCTAGATTTCATTACATTTCCTAAACGTGCTCCTGCTGGAACTGCGTCGGCTTGTCGTCGTCGATCGACGCAGCGTCGTCCCGCGCGGCGCGGCTTGCGTGCACCCGGGCCATAACAATGTCGTGCGCCCTCCAGGGCTTCATGTCTGATGCGAACAGCTCCTCCATCCGCTCGAGCGGGATCTGCTTCGTCTCGGGCACGACGAACTACACACAAGGCAGGTCAGCGACGGACGCGGGTCTGCAGCGAAAAAAGAACGCACGAAGATGAAGGGGATCGAGAGAACCATGAGCGAAGCGAAGAAGAAATACACGCCGTAGCCCATGCTGGCGAACATCTGCGGCGTGAACCGCGCAATGAGGAAGCCGTACAGCCAGTTGGACGCAGCAATACAGGCCTGCGTGAATGTCCGCACGTGCTGCGGGAAGATCTCAGCGCCGTAGACCCAGGGCGTGCCGTTCCATGTCGGGCCGTAGAAGATAGTCCAGAGATAGAAGAACGCGATGGCGCTGCGACCTCCCGGCGTGATGGTCGTGGAAACGTGGCTTTCCGGCTTGGCAATCGCGATGTAGGCGCCGATGTAGTACATGCTGATCGAGCCGCCGATGGAACCGATGATGAGGACACCCCGACGTCCAAAGGTGTCGACCATGTAAAGCAACCAGACGAGCGCACCGACGAGCTTGATGATGCCGTAGACGCCAGTCGTAAGCAGCGAGGTACTGGATCCGGTGACACCGATGGACTTGAAGATCGTCGGTCTATAGGGATCAGCGATGGACCCTCACAGTGCGAGGTTCGTGCTCACGAGTAGTAGTTGATGGCGTTGATACCCGTGCCATTCTGCCAAACAAACATAATGGAGCCGAGCATCAGTCTGTAGAGCAGCGCAGGGCTGCGGGACACCGAGAGCATGGGTCCAAAGAAGCCAGCGCCTGCAAGGCTCCGTTCGTGTGCGATGCCGGCTTCGATCTGCGCGAGTTCCTCGACGATGTACGGCGCATCCGCAGGGAGGTTACGCAGAATGCACAAGTTGCGCAGCGCTTGCGACCGACGGTCCTGGATTGCGAGCCACCGCGGCGACTCCACCATGATCAGGGCTCCGAGGAAAAGCATGCCGCCGGGCTCAAGGGACATCAGCACACAGATCTACGCAACGGCATTGCGCACTTACCACCAGCTGGACACCAAACGAAATCAACCACTGCTTGCGGCTGGGCGGGATATGCTGCGTGACACCGTAGTTGATCCAGAAACCGACCACACCACCGATTTGCCAGCACAACTCGTACAAGCCGATCAAGCGGCCACGGATAGCAGGAGGGGCGATCTCGGCCACGTAGATGGGCTGCGACAAAGCGATCAGTCGGCGCACGGGACAAACTCGGCGCTTCACAACAACGTACAGCCAGGTTTGACGCGATTCCGACACCGAGACCGACGATTGCCCGCCCGGCATACATGATTCCGAGTCCAGTAGCAGAAGACGAAGCACATTGCAGAGCAGCGCCGACGACGAAGATGCCGCTGGCGGCGATGAGGCCAACTTTACGTCCCAGGAAATAGCCGAGCCCGTAACCCGCGAAAGCGCCGAAAAAGCATCTGCGCTCAGAGGACTGAGCTTGCTGTATGGAGAGCGGCGATAGGAGAGAAGACGCACCCCGCTTGGAAGACGGAGACGATGTTGGCCGAGATGAGGTCGAGCTCGGTCGTCGATTTGTTAAGCAAGCCAAACTCGCTCTTGAAACTCGTCAGGCTGATCGAGGTGCCGATAAAGGCTGAGTCATATCTGCACAGGGATGAGCGCATGTGCGTGCTCCACTGTGAAAATACGTACCCAATTCTGGAACACGAATTGAAGAAAATGGGTCAGAAGGACGGTCTCGGGAGTAAGTGAAAATCCTCACAAGCTGCAAGCAAGTCCATGTAAGCCAGTGGACCTAGAGACAAAAATAGAAGACGCGACTCACACAGCACCCCATGTGGCAACAATAGCATTGGCATACACCCTCCAGTTGTAAACCTCCTTCGGCGTCGGACGGTCTTCGATGCGGCGGAGATTGACCATGATAGTGAGAGGGATGCAGACAAGGCAATTTTGACTTGCGTGTTCTCCTTCTATATATTATCCAGAATCCCCCATCAGTGGCCGTGCCGTTTGCCATAAGTTCTGTGGGGTAAGCCTTGCCAAGGATGCAATCCCATTGGTCACGGGCCCGGGCGGGCTCGAGATAAACCGCCATCGCAGGAAGCGAGATTACGATGCGCAGAAGCCTCCACCCGATAGGCCAGCCTGCTGCTACCTCGTCAACATCACAATGTGGGGCGGAGGGATATCGCGGGCTACCCGGGGACTCATTCGGTCTTCGGTCCGCTTCGACAGTTGAAGGCGTGTAAGAAAGATTTGCCACGCAGCATCAGCATCGAGATTCGCGGTATGTCCGAAGCGTCCAAGGACATGCAGGCCAAGTCCTCCCTCCCAGATCATACATATGTCCATCACCCGGCCCTGCAAATCGAGCTTTTTCTCCTGCGAGAACATGTTGTTTCCATCGCTGTGACAACTCCGCCGGAATCACATGCAGAGCGTCAGTTATCGTAACGAGTACGCGAATGAGTGCGCATGATGCTGGGAAGGCGCGTCGCTGGTCGCCGTTTGGCGGTGTGAAATAGATCACACAGGAACGGGAAACCTGGGGTAGGTATCCGGTGTGTGAGAGCGTGTGAGAAGATCGAGAAGCGCGTCACTTTGGTCACTATCATTACATCACCGATGATCGCATCATGTTCGTAATTTCCATATTTGGAATGTCGGTTGGAGTGGACGGAGGGAACATACCACCGCACGAAAGGGTCATGGCGATCCCCTCTGTCCTCTACAACCGATGTTTGTGACGTCTGGTTGCGTGATAACTCGTCTGCGACGATCTAAGTGCGGCATAAAGTACAGCTTGATTCGCTCAGCGCGGCTCGGGTCTAGATAGCAATCTGCCATGTGTGTCCCCGCAATGTGCGGCCGTTGGTGACGGTCTCGTCTCTAAAAATTACTTCAACTGTCGACGTGCGCTATTTGGATCGAGATTTCTCACCCCGCATCTCCAACGTGTATGCTTCAGAGCTTAATATAGTAGAACTTACTGATTCCCATGCGCAGCTGTAATACTATTAGTAGCTGTCACGACTATATTTGCAGGCTCAGAATCATTCGGTATTCACGTGTCGGCAACTCTAGAGAAAGCCCCGAAAACGTTGCCAGAATCCCCACATTGACCTGATGACAACGACTTCAAGAATCGTCCATTTACTCAAGTTCGCCGCACCGTTCGATTTCTATCGAAAATGCGAAATATGACATGCTTTCCTTGAGATCGGTGCCACATTACTTGCGTCAGATGACCCTTAGCTCCAAACAGCCCTAGCTGTTGTATTTTATCTCCGCACGAATCAACTTTTGGAACGTTCCAGGTCCGCTCTGGGCGTCGGAGACTTATTTATTATCAACAGGTGGTGCGAGACTTATTAATACCCAACGAGCACGGGTCTCCGTCGTTCCTGGTTGACCCTCTGACACGGTCATAGGGCCTCCCCAACGGCTGAAAGCGCCGTGAAGCAGGGAATTCCCGATCTCGCTGTGGCAAACGCCGCCGCCCAGCATCCCGTGACAGGCGTGGCAACACTCTCACGCTTTCATCGGCCGGCACGTGACCGCGTTCTTCTATTCTCGGTCCGGGCCGGACTTTCCCAGCGCCTCTCAAGGTTCGGGTGGCGAATGAGAGTGCTGCGCATCCTTGGTCCGAGCCGGATCATAACAAATGCCCTCTTACGCCACGGAACATATCCTCTGCTGAGCCCGCGCGCCGCTCGTGCGCAGGAACACGGTATCGAAATGACCAAAGATCGGGCTGCCGGGATTATGACGCGAAAATCATTTCCCGTGAAGCGCGATTGTACGGAGACATCCCTCCCAATGGGTGCTCTCCACAATCTGAGGTCCCACTGGGCGTGGCTTAGGCGGGAGCAGAAGAATTTCTCTGAAATGCTTAGGGCGTCGCGATCGCCAACTGTTCTCTGCGTCTCTGATTGATGACAGAAAGACAACGCTCAATTGCGAGATGTGTTCTGAACGGATGAGCGTATTCGCGGCGTGCCAAGACGAGCAAGTCCGAAGGACGCATTGCAGTCTCCAACGAAGCCCGGCAACCCTGTCAGAGATTGTAACGACGCCGGCCGAGAGTATACCCTGCGCTCAATTGCATTCTGCTCCCGTCGGTCATCAGATATCTTCTGGACGATGCCAAGTTATTCGGCGCGACGGGGCGTGGATTCGCTTTCGCTCCTTCCTGACTACCGAGGCGTTGGATTGTCAGATCAGACCCACATTGCATGCCAAGCATGGAAGCTTCGCATCTCAACGTTGGCTCCTTACGCGACAGCAGGAGTGCATCGCACATGTGCGTGCAGGAGAAGAAGACCATCGAGCGGCAGTTGGCGGCGGTTGGATGCTTGATGCCGGGAGACGGGTGGAAAAATAACGGCAGGTAGGGTGTTGCCCTGATCGCAGGATAAGCCTGGGACTCATGGGCCCGCGTGGCTCCGAGGGATTCTCTTCGTGTTCGTGTTGGGCCTGACTGCCGACGTCGACGTCTGTCCTTCTGCGATCGAGTTGTACAGCCATTCCTAAAGTCACTCGAACTTCCTTTCGGAGATGGGATCCTCCTTGTATTCGATCGGTGGACGTCTTATCCAGCCATCTCCACATGTCTGTACTCTTCTAATCTCGAAATCTGCATACACTCGGTTCTATGGGTTCTATCTCTTCTCGAGCGAGCGGTGCTTCGTCTTATCTACCACAATTGCTGTCAATTTGACCTTCATTGGCACCGAGACTCGATCAAGCGAATGGTGCAAACCGAAGCAGATCCAGCTGGGCGGGCTTCCGAGTTCTCAAGCACACCGGCTTGGCCAGTCAAATTTATCCACCACCAGGCAAAGTGATCTCCTCCGCTATCCACTAGTGTGGCCTCCGAGTCCTGCGGGATTATCGGCCCAGATTTCCGGCCCCCCGCTTGCACTATTGTCCGAGTTATTGATCTCAGCGAGCATCGTCTGGGCTCCGAGCCCTGACGGTCTCAATCCCGATCCCGCAGACTCCACGGTCGACGTCGCGGATGGCGCGAAGACCGGTTCTGGTGTCCGGGAGTATCGACAGCCGCCGCCCTCCGACGGCAGTGACTGAGAAGCCCGCCAGGCCCAGTGGTCGTCGTCGAGATCTGCTCCAGGGAAGTCGCGGCTCGTGCCCCGGTCTGCACCGGATCCCGTCAGCGAGGACGGAGCGGTAGGCACCTGGAATTTGTGGTGGAACTGGGCTGTGCTCTCCACCTCGTCGTCGGTCATGCGCGGAATCAGGCGGACCTGAGCGACCGGCGCGAAAGTCGTGCGTTGTTGACGTCGTTGCGCTGAGGACGCCGCGTTTCGGTCCTGAGTTTCGGGATGCCCGGGGCTGCACGGCGGTGTTGGTGGGGCGGTGAAATTCTGCTCAGCCTCGGGTGTCGGTGACCTGGTCGGCTGTGGATTCAGTGAGCTGTGCGTTCTGCCGCTGGGCTGGTCCGGGCGCGTACTGCGGGCCGCTTGGCTGAGGCACTCTTTTTGTTTTGCATGACCACCTCCTCAGCGGGTATCAGACTGGCAAAATGCCGTTTTTCTTGAGCTGGTCGGTCGAGTGAGGCGGCGAGAGGGCGACCGGTCAGGAGCCACCCACCGATCCACCACGGCTCAGGGACAGCCTCGAAGCCCTCATAGTCGGCCGAGAACGCTGCGTGGCCAACAGCGTCCCAGAACCTACGCAGCAGGTCCTCGCATGCAGTCAGAGTCGAGGCAGGCTCCCAGCTGATCGGGCGAAAGCTTCAGCTAAATGAATGGGCCAGACGCGTCTGAGTACCTGTCATGTTCATCTGTAAAGCCAGCCCACTTGGCCGAGGTCGGCCTGGGGTCGTCGCACAACCTATTAACCAGACAAACCTTGACCAAGTATTCCTGAGGCCAATCGTGTTCGATGAATGCGGGATAGAGTGATACGATGCCGCGACCCACCCACTCAGCTGCGAAGGGATCGAAGGACTTTGTGACGCGGTCTTGGCGCGTGCGACGCGCTTTCACCACCAGTTCTGCAGCTGAATTGAGCACCTGCGTAGATCTCGACCTGCCTGTTGACGGGCTTACCTACAAACCATTCGGACTCGTCGCTACTTGACATCAAGGAGCGGAGTGAAAAGTCGCTCAACGCATTGTGTGTCAGTGCAGGGTCGCATAAGGGAAAGCCTGAGCGCAGATCAGGGATGCGGCATGTGATGCCTGGAATAAGACGTCATCCAGCTCCCGAACACCGAGCTACGATGATTGCGCGGTAGACAGTCCTAGTTTCCAATGCGTTTGCAGAGTTGCGCGCGGCGCTATAGTGGGCTTCGGGGATAGTGATCGCAGTTGGGGGGTTGGGCAGAATGTTCATGTGACCTTCACGTGAGACGCGCCTGGCCCTCTGTACAGCCACACACACTCTTGCATCTTCTCTGCCTGGTTCACTGTCTGAACGATTCCAAATTCCGAATCGGTCCGCTGCAGATTCCTTTCGAGGAAACCTGAAGGTGGAAAAAAGGGGAAATTGGATACCGATGTCTACTCTCTGCATTCTCTTCCAGTGACATAAATGGTTCTGAATCTCCACGTCTTGGTGGGCGACGAAGTCAAAATCTCCTGACGCGCATGCGTATCCTTTTCCCTCCTGTTCAACATCCAATCCTGCTAAGGATCACACATGCAGTGGCTGTGTCGCGAGGTTCCTTGCTACATCAAGACATGCATCCGCTGCTGCGAGACATAAGTGCGGACGGGGGCGCCCCTAGCGCTCCAGCTTCTTGCTTTCTTCCACATTCGTCCTCTTCTCTTGTTTTCAACCTTTGCAATTCTGCTCTTCTATATCTGCTCTTCTATCTCCTTCCGTGGCTTTCACCTGCTCTAAACCTGTGCTTTTCCACATCCTCATGACTCCCCCGCTTTCTTCGAACATACCCGACCTTACAGGAGCTTCCGTCGCCAGGGGACGATACGAGCTCACGCGTCTCATCGGATGCGGAGCCTTCGGCAAAGTGTATCAAGCACTCGATACCTACGCCTGGCCTGCCGAACTGGTAGCGGTCAAGTGCCAACAGTATCTCGAGTCATCTACCCCGCTGGGCCAGCTGACCGACCTCGAATTCGATGCGCACGAGGCCCTCTCGCACGGCGACCGCATCGTGGGCCTGCGGCACTTGTTCTTGAGCGACGACGGGGAGTTGCTCTTTTCCGTCATGGACTACTGCCCCGGCGGCGATCTCTCTGAGGCTGTCCACAACGGCTCGCTCGTGGGGAAGCCGCAGCTGGTCAAGAGGATCATGCGGCAGCTTCTCGACGGGGTCGAGTTCATGCATAAGAAGAGAATCTATCATCGTGACCTCAAGCCCGAAAATATACTGGTGTCGTCGGAGAAGGACGACCCGGAGCTGGACATCAAGATTGCTGATTTCGGATTGGCGACACGCTGCAACTGGAATGGTCAGTTTGGTACCGGCACCAAAGCCTACATGAGTCCAGGTGCGCGCGCGCTTTGACATCTTGATCATGCATCACAGTACTGACCCGTCTGTTGTCAGAGAATGTAGACAAGAGTCTTGCTGACGGGACCTACAAGGCTGCGGACACCGATCTCTGGGCCTGTGCAGTCATCTTCGTCATCTTCGCAACGAGCCACTTCCCCTGGGCCCGGGCGCACAAGCTGGACAAACGCTACGCCGAATACCGCGAAGACCCCAACTACCTGCACGAGTCGCTCCACCTGACGCAGGAGACGTCCGACCTCGTTGACTGGTGCTTTACGGAGGATCCAGCCGGACGACCGACCCTCGATGCGTTCCGCCGCGAGCTTGACAAGATCGACGAGTTCGTCACGGCAGTGGTCCGAAAACCCGACCCGAGTCCGTCCCAGTCTTCGCGTGCGGAATCCGTCCCTGCGCCTCCCTCGCCCCCATCGGTCCAACCATCCTCGATGATCATATGCGACTGCTCCGGGGCCTGTCCTCCCGCTGTCCCTCCTCGGCCGCCGATCCGCATCGATTGCGGTATGGACGTCGTGCGGCTATACGCGGACGACGTCTCGCTCGCCGACTCTCCGATGGAAGACAGCTCGCAGATGTACAGCCCGCTGTGCGACACGCCGGATGTGTCGATGCCGCCTTCGGACGGGTCGTCCTGCTCTCCCTCCCCGTCGACTTCGGCTATCGTGACGCCACCGGATTCGCACGCCAGCTTGGCTGTTTATGGCGTAGTGAACGTCGCTCCTGGGAAGCAGCCCGTCTGCACAGCACTTCCTGAAGAGGCTGTGACGTTGCCGGATTGGGGGCCTCGTCGGATGATGGCGCTGGGGTCGTGCGAGTTTCGGCTGTTCTAACTCGGCCTCGGCCGAGTCCGGGGGCGGGGAGGGGGACGAAGGAAATTCAAAACCAAGACATAAAACCAGGTAATTCGTTGAGCATCGTTTTCCGTCATCGCTTTCGTTTGTCCTGTTTGGGATCACCGCAGTCAGAGAGAGAGAGGGAGGAATGGTGGCACGATATACTGACCCGACCCCGTGCTCTAGACAGGCGATGGTTCTTTTGGGCTCTCTCGATGGCTTGCGGTCTGGCAAACCCTCGTCCATTCTGAGCATGTCGGTGCTGAGACTTGCGGTCTGGTTAGCCCCTGTCTCGTGCCTGTTTTCGGACGGCACACCCGGGAAGCAGATGAGCGGACTGGCAATCCCTCGTCTCGCGCGGTCGGTCCGGATACTCTACTCCTCGCGACGAGCATCCTGCGCGGTGACGATCGCGTGCGATGCTCTTCTGGATGTGGATATCCGTTCCAGGCGGGATTTGGCAACTCCCGTCTCGGTGCATCGCATGGTGCATAGGATGGGTGTTTCGCGCGATGACGATTGCGTGGGATGCCTTGACTGTGTGGCGTCCTCAGGCGGGAGCTGGCAACTCTCGTCTGGGTGCTTGCGATGCGCTGAAACTCGGGGGCACCTGGTGATGATGATGGCCTCATGAGTGGGGTGCTGCGATTTCGTGTGTGTCTCGGTGCTCGTGACAGACGGGAGCTGGCATCTCTCGCTGCTGAAGACACTGCTGATGTTATGAGATGGCGGTGCTCGAAGAGTGGAGATGTTCTTGGGTGTCCGTTACTGACAGGGAGTGTTTGTTTCGTGTAGGAACTGGACGTCGACTTGAGACTGCATCGACGTCGATGGCCCAACAGTTTGTTTTATGCTCTGTATCTTACCAAGAATTCGGCTATGTATCGCATGATAACTCATCCTCGATAGCTCTTGGCTCATCGCCTATTGCTTGAGACGACGACATTAATCTTCGTCCTCTGTAAGGGGAGACTTGGGGCGTCGCGGGGCAGGATGCTCCTTGTCCCGGTCTTCGTGTTTACAATGCACGCTGTCACGTGAACGATATAGATTCCAAAACTCACCCAATCCATTCGAATTTCTTCCGACCAAGGCCGTGCGCAGCACGTCTAAATCAGATTTCGCGACATCTCGGGACTGGCTTACTTTCGTTCCCCCGCCGAGGTCCCAACACGTCGATCTCCATATGGGATGGTCATATGTCCTCTCCGATACACTGCATTGCGCTTAGAACACCGATCCCCGATCGCATACACGCCAGCGCCTGCATCCGGGTGACAGGCGTGGGTACGCTCTCACGCTTCCGTCGGTCGACACGAAGCGTGCTTCTTTGATGGGCGCGGCATCTTCCTCAGGCGCAACTCTAAAAGACGGGTCGGGTCTGGCCGTGCGATTGTTGGCCTGGCTCCGGGCCGAGATCACCGATATGGGAACGAGCTGTTGGGATTCCGTTTCCGCAGAGCCAACTATACTATATCGGCCGGGAGTCGGGTGCCCGACGCTGTCTTGGCCCCCTCCATGTACGTACTCTCAGCTCAAAGGAATGTGAGCCGGGATGCCGTGGAAACCCGCGAGGTCGGAGAGCCGGTCGGGATTGAGAAACGATTCAGATTGAGACATCAGATTGAGACAAGGTATGCGTCTAGAACGCGCGATTGGAGGCGAAATAATGCACAACAAGTAGACAGAGGATTCGTGCTAAAATGGAATCCAGCCCACAGTCTTATTATGAGCTCGAGAACCCCACAGTCAGAAATTTCTCAGAAAGCCTCAGGTGTTGAGCGGCGTTCCGTCAAATACGAGGTCAGCGCGACAGTGGCATACAATCCAGGATGTGGACACACACTGCGGTCCAGCCTCGATCTATGAGATATTTTGTAATGTTCTATGGAAATACTCGAGTATGAGTTCGAATACAATTTGCGCTCCTTCACTCAGCGGCCCACCACGATGGTCAATTTCACTGGTCAGCGGGCTAGGCAGAATCTACTATGTGAAATTTGAGCGGTACTCCGACTCCAGTGCAACCGATCCTGAATCAGACTGCCGACGACGGACCTTGGCCTCGAACGTGAATGAAACATAACGTGCATCGACATTCATCACGTGAATGTCCTATTTCCCGGCCCTTTTTTCCTTGTGTCAGCGTGCTCACAAAATGCTGTGGTAAGCCTAGCCAAGCCAGCCAGCGGCCGAGGCGGAATTTCGCAGGTTTGTGTACAGCTCTTCCTGGGCCCTGAATCTTCCACTCCTACCCACGTCACAACGGCTCCAAGTCGGGGCCCGGCGTCGTTCCACGCGCGCACTGCGCATCTCGCCCGGGGCTCTATCTAGCCATTTGCGCTCGACACACACACACACACAGGCACCCGCGCGCTGTGTCGCTGGTAAAAGGCACCGGGCGTTTTACGCTGAGGGGGGGATGGCATTGGCAAAATGATTTCGCGCTGTCGCGGTGCGGAACGCATGCCAACAGATTGCCCAGCTGACCGGCAAGTCACCGATCCCCGCTCCCCACATCCCCATAATGACAATCTCAGGAGCCCCCCTATCATCTGACGAGGAGCGGCCAATCAGCGTCCTCCGAAAAGTGATGGCGACAGCGGGTTGCGGTCGTTGTTTCTCAGGGGCTGAGACTTGGCGCCATTTACCCCAGACCTAGGGGCACTGCCACGGCCGTGAGATTGCGGAGGATATAAAGCGTGTGTGAGCGGGAGCGTATCTCCCATTCTTGTCCGTGTCTGCTCCCTGCCATGGTCAACCTTCGCCGCGTTGAAGATCGCCCGACTCCGAAGGAGGTGTACAACTGGAGAGTCTACGCCAATGCGATCTTCGCCGCTTGGGCCGCCGTGTGAGTTTTTTTTCGTCTTCGATCGTGGGTCTGGAAACTTACACGGACTCGCAGAACGTGAGGCTTTGGGTCTATCCTTCTGATACCACGTACTTATCTCATCTTCCTTCTTCGACTCTTCTTTTAGTATCGGGTACGTCGAAGCGCTCCAGTTCCCTCTTCCCGAGCTCATTCCCGCGCCTCCACCACCAGTTACGACTCGGCTTTCATTGGCACGTCGATCAGCTTGACGAGCTTCAAGACCGAGTTCAATCTGCTGCACAAGAGCGCGCACGAGCTCAACTTCATCTCCGCCAACATCGTCTCCGTTTTCCAAGCGGGGTGCGTTTTTTTTTCCGGTTCTGCCAGGCACGAACGCTGGTGCTGACTCATCCCGACCCAGATGCTTCTTCGGCGCCTTCGCCGGTTACGGCCTGGGCTACTACCTGGGGCGCAAAATCGGCCTCCTCGTCGCCAGCTCCATCTTCATCGTCGGCGCCGTCATGCAATGCGTCGCGACTGGGTCCACCGGGCTCGGGCTCATGTATGCGGGTCGGATCATCGTGGGTCTGGCGGTCGGAATTGCGTCCAATCTGGCTGTGCGTCCCCCCCACCCCTTCAGGCTTCTCCTGTTTTCTGCATGCTGATTGTGCCTTCCTCTGCAGCCGATTTACGTCGCCGAAATTGCGCCGCCTGCTATCCGCGGCCGTCTGATCGGTCTGTACGAACTGTGCTGGCAGACGGGTGGTGTCATCGGCTTTTGGATTAATTATGGTGTTACGCAACACATCGGTCCGAGCCGCAAGCAGTGGCAGATGGCCTTTTTCGTCCAGCTGATTGTGCGTGCATTTTTTGCTGCGACGGGTGGTCTCAGCTGACGCGCCGTCATCCAGCCCGGTGGGATGCTCTTCATCGGCTCGCTGTTCATGGTCGAGTCGCCGCGATGGCTCGCGTCCAGGGACCGCAACTCCCAGGCGCTGCGCAACCTGGCCACGCTGCGCAATCTCCCCGAGGACGCGCCCTACGTCGTGGAGGAGCTGGCCGAGATCGAAGCCGGGATCGCGCACGAACGGAGTCTCGCTGGGGCCGGGTTCTTCGGGCCCCTGCTCACCGTCTTCCGCAGCAAGGCGCTGATGTACAGGCTGTTCATTGGATGCATCATGTTCGCCTGGCAGAACGGCACGGGTATCAACGCCATCAACTACTACTCGTGAGCACGAGCCTCGCACTGCCAGGACCAGCTGCTGATTTCGCACAGGCCGACGATCTTCAAGTCTATCGGGATCACCGGAACCAACACGAGTCTGCTCACGACTGGGGTGTACGGCCTCATCAAGCTGTTTGGCGCGCTCGTCTGGCTGCTATACCTGGTGGACACCTTCGGCCGTCGCTGGGTGCTCATCGTCGGTTCCGCCGGAGGGGCTGTCTGCATGTACTACATCGGCGCATTCATCGCTGTCTCGCAGCCCACGCGCCACGTGACGACCACGATCGGACCGGGCGGCCGCAGCGCGATTGCGTTCTTCTACCTGTGGACGATCTTCTACGGCCCGACGTGGAACGGCACGCCGTGGGTGTACGGCGCTGAGATCTTCCCGCAGCACGTGCGGACGTTCACGCAAGCGTGCATCGCTGCGTCGAACTGGCTGTTCGGCTTCATCATCGCGCGGTTCACGCCGCAGATGTTCGCGACGATGGGCTACGGCGTGTATCTCTTTTTCGCGACGCTCATGGTGTTTTCGATTCCGTTCGTCTACGTGCGTGGCTGTTCCTTCCCTGCGCGCTCATTCTGATCTTTGCGCAGTTTGTGATACCCGAGACGAAGCAGATCCCGCTGGAGCGGATGGAGGAGCTGTTCGCGCCCGAGCTCAAGCCCCGGAAAGCACACGGCATCGTCATGGCGCGCGTGCACGAGACCCGGGCGCTGCGCGACGAGAGTCCGCGCTCCGTGTCGCTCGACGAGAAGTCGGCGCAGATCCAGCGCGAGAATGTGTAAGATGACGATTTGGGATATTTCTGCTCGGTTAACCTCATGTATAATGTACGCTACGACGATCTACTGCAATCAACTCTCCGGTTGGGACTATTTTGGTCGGATCACCTGGCTATAATTGGACTGCTGCGGTTTTGGATCTGGTCAGCCTCTCTTCCTTTGATCAGGTCAGGTGCTGCACTTGGTCAGCTCTCAGCGCCGTGGAAGCTATCCGGCCGTGGGTGACGCATAGCATCAAGCCGCCAGTCAATACTGGTAGGTCTTGTAACATCCTTTATCCAATCACGGTGCCAGTTTAGCCGCGTTCAGAATCTACCCACGGTCCATTGCCATTCCGCCATGTTCAGCCGCCTCCCAACCCGGGTCCAACATTCAACCGGGCTGCAAGTCACACGTATGGTCGGGTCAACGAGGTCCTGCGTCTCAACCGTGCAGAACCGGAGCCAGGCTCTCCCTCGCTGTCGGAACCCATCCGGATATGCGACACCGCGAACGGCGAACATACAGCACGTTCGTAACCACAGATGACAATACACCATCGCACAGTCCAATAATCATCCGTGTTATCAACAGATCGATAAGATTCGCAGCTTAAATAGTAGCATCTTCTCAAGTCATCTTACCCCACCTCTACTACTCACCCACGCCTACTAGCCATGAGTTTCTGCAAGGACTGCATCAGCGGTGCGTAATAGGACGCTGACCCAGAGTCAGTTGGTGCTCAACAATCGTCCAATCTCAGGTGTCACCCACGAGGGAACGCCCGAAGGTATGACGGCAACCGATCAGGAGCGACTCGGCCCTTTCTCATCAGTGCTCACAAGGCAAGATCGAGACCATCGGCGGAATTGAGACCTACGTCGCCACCCCGACCGTCGACTTCCCCAAGGACAAGGCTATCCTCTTCCTCAGCGACGTCTTCGGCCTCCCGCTGATCAACAACAAGGTGCGCTGCGCAGATCGGATGACGGATGTCCCGGGACTGAGGCGGAGGGGCAGCTCTTGGCCGATGACTTTGCGCGCAACGGCTTCAAGGTGAGCCGGGCGGCCATCGCACCGCGTCAGCATGACTGAGCGACGCCGCAGACATACATGCCGGATCTGTTCGCCGGGGACTCCATCGGCGCCGATGCCATGAGCGTGCGTGCCTCCCACACCCTCCTCCTCCTCCTCCTCCTCCACCCCGCACCCGCCCGCCTGACCGATCCCCGCACCCGCAGACCGGCAAATTCAACCTCGCCGAGTGGTTCCCGAACCACACCCAGGAGAAGACGCGCCCCATCATCGACACGTTCATCGCCGCGCTCGAGGCGCAGGGCGTGACCAAGTTCGCCGCGGTCGGGTACTGCTTCGGCGGGCGCTACGTGTTCGACCTCGCGTTCGACCACAAGATCGCCGTCGCCGCCACCGCGCACCCGTCGCTGCTGCAGAAGCCTGCCGATCTCGAGGTGCGTTTCGTTCCGTTTCGTTTCGGTTCGGTCGCCCCCGATCTGTCTGTTGCGCGGTGTCTCATCTGTGCTTCTGCTTCTGCTTGTCCGCAGAAATACGCCGCGACTGCGACGGCGCCGTTGCTGATCAACAGCTGCACGGTCGACGAGCAGTACCCCGTCGAGGCCGCGCTCCAGGGCGACGAGATCCTCAAGAACTTCGCGCCGGGCTACAAGCGCGAGCACTTTGAGGGCTGCTCGCACGGCTTCGCCATCCGCGGCGACATGTCGATCCCGGCCGTCAAGGCGGGCAAGGAGGGCGCCTTCAAGTCCACCGTCGACTGGTTCATCAAGTATCTGTAAACGGCGGGGAGGAAGGAAGGAAGGAAGGAAGATGCAAGTGTTTGTTGTATACATGTAACTGCCATGACCCGTATCTCAACACGGCACTGCGCTTGAGAGAGAAGCTACTATGTGCACAAGCTGGTGACATATATAAATGATCGCAGTGAACGACAATACAATGCCAGGGATGGTCCAGGTCAGGCTATTGGAGGAGGGTTCGTTCCATCCTCAACCCCAGCTCTTGAGGGCCCTCGTTGGTATTCAACGGGGACGGCCCGTGCGGGTTCCAAGAATTGGTGATCAAGCCACGGTGCCAGGCGGTCAAACTCGACGTATCATCCCAACACGCGCGGAAAGAGCTGTAAAGAGGCGCGTATCAAGCAATCTGAAGCGAAATCAATGGGCACGATCGAGAGAAGGCGCCTAGGTCCCGCGGCTCAACTCAACAGTGTTGGGTGCGTAGAATTGATTATTCAGTGGCACCTGTTCCGAGCAGTCCTCCCACAAACCCGGTCCATATTATCATCATCAAAACGAAGCTCATCATCGCGGGCGCGAGCGGCTTCGTGGGCAGCGAGCTCGTGCGCCAATCCCTCCGGCGCCCCGAATTCACCTCTGTCATTCAAGTTGCACTCGCGCGGAAACATGGATCCCCCAGCCGCGCGGCGAAGTGGAGCCGCCGGGGAAGTTCAAGAGCGCGGTTGTGGCGGACTACGACCGTGGTGATCATCCTGAGCAGGCCCGGGAGGCGTTCGCTGGGGCTGACGCGTGCATCTGGTGCGCATTGCCAGGACCTCGCTACGACCGCGGTGTTCACCAGCCTGATCTCGCGTCGACTCACAACGACGCTCCGCCCCAGGACGGTCGCGATTACGCCCTCGAAATCCAAGATGCACGCACCGGAGGAGGTGCGGCGGATATGCCACACGTCGGCCCTCGCTGGCATGCAGACGATGCTAGACTGCGCCCCCTCGACACCGTTTCGGTTTCTGTACATGAGCGGCGCTGCGTCCGAGCGCGACCAGACGAAGAAACCGCGCTTCATGCCGGTATACTGTCTCATGAGGGTGCGAGCGTCGCCGCAGTCGTTTGAATATGATTGAATGCGTTTTCAGGGCGAGACGGAGAGCAGCATACTGGCACTCGCTGCACGACATAATCAAGTTGAAGCCTGCTCAGCGAAACCCGGTCTGATAACGGAAAGCGGCAATCTCTTTCACACTGCGCGGTCTGCGGCGCTCAAATTCACTGTCGGCGTGCCGAGTATCACGGTGGAGGACGTGGCCTCCGCCATGCTGGATCAGATCCTCAACGGATTCGAGAAGGAGCCTTTGACGAATGATGACCTGCAGGCTATCGCCAACCGGGTTCGGCCCCAGTAGGCATTTCGGCGCTACACAAAGCGTCATGGTAGGTAGGAGTGTCACCCACTCAGTTGACCGTCATCGGCGAACATGCTTGCAAAGCGTAGATGTAAACACGCATTACGACTCGAGGACGCCTTGTACGATATTCTCCTGCATCCCTAGCCAGACTCCGAACGTCGGTGTCCTCAACCACCGCTGGTAAAACTCCTTCCTTTTTGCGGTGCTCCTAAACGGTAAACCGCTGTCTCCTGTACTCTTTAGCGAACCGAGAAACGTTGGCACGCTGAAAGGTCGCATGCGCAGCGGTTCTCCCGACGGAGAGGCAGCCGCCCGTTCGGCTGGCGTCGGAATCAGGGTATTCAGATACCGAGAAAGCGGTAGTAGCATCTCTGTCGTTCGAGCATGAAAGTGCTGTCGGAGCTCCAAGGATGCGTCCAAACCTGATTATAGACGTCAACAAACCGCTTCAGATGGCGTGGAAGTTACTGAGGCTTACGCTCAGATTCTGTGCCACTGGCACAGATCTCCTCCAACCGCCGTAGCAATGGCCTGTCTTTGGAGACATATCGTGAGTGTGTCCGAGTCTTCCAGCCAGGTGCGGGTCCCGCCCGTAACCGTATCTGCCCAGCAGCTGTTTTGGATCTAGAAATATTGATCAACACGCATATCCAAGATGGGACAAAAGCCACTCACGGTGCATCTTTCCCAAGACTCAGCGTATGCGGCCAATGAGCGCACTCGCGTTGGAAAACCGGGTTCGTCACCCCCAAAATCCTCCCGGGACTCGGCGGCAATCGGCCCGCGAGTGTCGCATAGTCCGCATCGTGGATGGTCAGGTACGGGCGCAGGTCCCCTGTGCATGGTAATGGCCGTAGAAGATCACGCAGCCACCAGACAGCTTGGCTGGTTTGCATCGGTGACCTGCCAAACACGAGTATCGGCTCGCAAAGCACCAGACATTCCCATAACGACCACATTTGGGAGAGCGCCGCCTCGAATAACAGGATCGGCGGGGGCGTCATGGATGTGGATGATGCGAGGATCTAGGTGATAGATTAGATAAGATGAGTGATTTCAGGGGCGAACAGTTGTGGCCTACACGTTCACGCGATAGCATTGATAATTGCTGTTGCTCCGGGGAAATGGGGAGCTCTGCGCTCAGTACTGTACCGAGGAATCCGAGCTCCACTGTCGATCCGGGAGTAGGGTCCGACCTTTTCTTTGGCCGTGCAGTCAGCGATAAGTCAAATAGATATTATCCATACACACCAGCCCGCAATATTATGGCATGCAGCTTCCAGCATCGGCAGGCCATGGTCCTGGAACAACGGCCCGAGGATAGAAGATATCCGCGTGTACAGTGCCGGGTAAGGAAGATGTGTCAGTATGACAAGAGACCTCTGGACGGTGGTAAACAAGACAAAGTTGCGTGAAAAGCAGTCCACGTACCTGCTCATATCCTCTCCTCAAAGAAGCATCCTTCCGTTGCGAGAAGTACACAAAACCATATATGAACCCGTCCGCAGCAACAGGCCGCCGTCCACCCAACAACGGCACATTATTACTCTCTTTGATACAAAACGAGTGGCACTGCGCTCCCTCTTCGAATTGCGGGGAGTCCGGGAAGGCAGAGAAGGCACTGGCTTGACGTCATCCATCTATGCGGTCGTACGACACACGCGCACGCACATGTTATCCGCCTCTGAGGGGAGCAAAAAGACCGGAGGGTAGACACCAGCCACGAGCGGCCCTTCATCGATGTCGAAGTCCACGACAGCGACACCCAGGATCCACCGCCGGATGCGCAACAGCACGTCCGGCTCAACGGTCAGTGCATCGATTTCGGACGCCCGCTGTCTTCTCGTCGGCGGCTTCGACTGGAGATCCGGGACGCATGGAGCGGTGTGGGAGCGAGAGAGGCCGCGAGCGCGGAGAGTATGGCCGTCGAGGCTGGTCTTTCCGATGAGGGGAGGTGCGGGAGCGGCGGACAGCGCGGGTGATGTGCCCCGGGAGGATAGCGCCGACGATGAGAGAGAAAGAGAGCTGAACTGGCTGTCGGCGTCGGCGATGTCCTCTTCCTCCATCGATGCAGACGAGGACATGAGGTGAGAAGAAGACGCACAGCTCGTTACTTCTAAATCAGGAGTCCCCGGTTCAAACTCCGATTCGCGGTCACGTGGTCTGGATTAGCCGGGCCCGGGTTTAAAACGGAAGTAAAATTCTTCATTTATTTCAATTATTTTTGCACTCAAGATCTGATGAAGTTTTACAGGTATACCGAGAGCTAGCAATACAAAGCCGACCATGGTCTGTTTTCTACTTGGGCATCTCCAATACGACACGCCCGGCAATTTGACCAGACGCGAGAGCTTGATATGTTCTAAGTGCACAAATTCAGCCTCAAACCCGTAGAAATGGGACAAAAGTTCACTTTTGCAGCTCAGAGAGTGGCTTGAGTGCGTAATAACAAATGACTTGTCCCCGTGCAGCAATGTCGATGGCTTCTTTGGCATCTTGGCGGTTGCCTACATAGGAGCCAAGAATGCTGATGCTCTGGATAACGATGAGTACATAAGTAGAAAAGATTGATCCAAGATACCTTGAACACTGTGAAGAAGATGGGCGCGTCGAGAGAGGCATGTCCTGGCAGGCCAACAACCATGAGAGTTCCTCCCCCGCGGAGATACTCGATTGCTTGGTGATATCCAGAACTCTGCAGTACGTTAATCGAAGACGAAGCGCTGGAGATACGACATCAACGCACGCTGGCAGTGGTCACGACAGCAGAATGGGCGCCGTATCCATCAGTTATCGAGCGAATCTCAGCTACGATGTCAGAGCACTCCTTGAAATCGATCCACTTCTCTGCTCCTAGTTCAAGGCAGAGCTTCTTCTTATCGGCACCAGTGTCTTCATGAAGACTTGAGTCGAGTGGAGATCACTGGGGACGGCCGGCTCACCGATAGCAATGACGCGCAGCCCGGCGACTCTCGCATATTGGATTGCTGGCGTGGATTAGGACCGGGGATATGGACACTCAAATAAACCATACCGAGATGACCGAGTCCTCCTCCAGCACCAGGGAGAACTATCCAGTCTCCGGGGTTGGTCTGGCTGTGTTTGATGGCGCGGTAAACGGTGACGCCCTTGGGTATGGTGAGCAACATCAATCAAGGGAGCAGCGCTCGACCCACGGCACAAAGAATAGATGCAGCAGCGAAGCTGTCGAAACCCTCCGGGATCGGAGTAACGTGATTCACAAATGAGACCTGCACACATCGATGAAAGCGTCCTTCGGGAAAAGACGACAGGCAGTCGTACCACATATTGCTGGAAAGTTCCATCGACATTGAAGCCGCTCAGTTTGGCATCGAGGCAGACTATGAGGGGATCATGTGAGTGATGAGACGTGGAGTAAGTGTGCAGCAGTACTTTGTTCGAGGCCTTTACGGCACTGTTCGCAGTTGAGACATCTGCAGCCCTATCGGGTGAGATCGTTGGATCACGCCGATTCAGAGAAGAGGACTGACGAATCGGCGAGCCATTTGATGCCGACACGATCGCCCACTTTGACAGGAGAGCGACTTGTGTTCTGACCAATTGCGACAACAATGCCGACACCTTCGTGTCCGCCGACCAGGGGCGTCTTCGCGGCCAGGGGCCAGTCGCCTAGAGCAGCATGCAAGTCCGTGTGGCAGACCTGAATTCATGTTGTATCAGTCTTGCACGCACAAGAAGGGCCGACGAACTCCGGTGCAGATAAGTTTGATGAGACACTCGCCAGGCGCAAGATCCTCAGCGGCTGTGACAGGGTGGTCCTCTCGAACCTCGATGGGAGCACCGCTGCTAGCAACAACAGCAGCCCTCTGAGTCTTCGGGATTTCGATAGAGGACATTCCGGCCAAAGATGACTGGTGAAGCTCAGATGGTCAGTGGGGACATCCCCCATGCTTTTATATCCTCTTGGCTGAGGGTTGCGAGGAGATAGATCTCGATCGCAATAATGAGACGATTTTCTGGGAGAATTCGTTGTGGGGTTTGCACTGTTAAGCCTAGACGCTGTTCTCAACCACTGAGAGTTGAGGCCAGACCACGGCCAAACACGGGTCATCAAACGCATCAAAGTTAAATACTGCGTATACAGCGATGGCGGTCGGGTAAATATAATTTCCATGCCCAATTCAACCCCGAGCGGATGACTTCCAGCCCTGAGACCTTCAATTTTGGTCATCCAGCAAGGCTTCCCGAGGCTCTCCGTCTCTATCATCTCCAACGGGCTCCCGTGCCGATCTAGTCAGGCGCCGCCCCGGTGCTCTCCGGACTTTTGCACGCGTCCGAGAACGATGCTGCACTCCCTCATTCGCTGGGAACCAACATATCGACCGTGACCTCGCGGTCCATCCTTCCCGAAGATGTAATCCGGTGGGATTATCCGCCAGTTGCCTCGATCTAGGAATTCTCAGTGCTGAACCTGTGACACGGCTGTGGGAATGTTTTGGGACCTGCAGACCTGCAGACCTACACGTCAGTGCGAGGGCCGGGTCTACGCCACCTCTCCCAGCTCGAAGACGTCTTGGTGTTCCGCCTGTGCTCAAACAGCTCTCCCATGGAATACTTGCATTCTCTGTTTTGCACTGGATTGACTGTAGTGGATCGTCTTGGACTTCGGATCCGGGCCGCGACTGAGGGGAGGCGACCGTAGAGATACTTAGTTTCAAGGCAATCTCATTGGGTGTGGACAGGGGGATGAGGCTGCCGATCGCAAGGCACTCTAGAGCTCACCTAGAGCTCCCTTTAGGTTTTCGAGGAGACACATGAGATGGATGTCCCTCAGAATCTATATTTCTTCTAGCGGCAAATGATCGCCGACGGATATCGTGCGGTCTAGACTTCGCACACAATTGAGAGCTTCTCCCAGCAACCCCTCCGCTTGCCAGTGCCAATAGAGATCGGCCATGGCAGTAGAATCGGTTGGTGCATATCTGAGACCCGGGTCCTTGGGAATCGGTTGCGGTAGCATGTGTCTTTGTCCTTGTTGTGTGTCCAACGCGCAATCCTCATTGTTTCACATTCCTGACTCGCTGGGCACTGCTGGGCTCGTTTGGGCCTCGGTAGATGGCTCTTTTCCTGCGTTCTACCTTGTTATAAACCTTTCTTCCATCGCTCTCGCCTAACCCGCCCCGGATCATGGAAGCCAAGCGGCCAAGTGCGACAGCCGGGGACGAAGATCCTGTCCGACCGCCCCATCCAATGTACGTACAGTCGCTAAGCCAGTGTACCATGCCACCAATCCGTGTCTTCTCTGCCCAGTGAACGTTCATTGGATACTTTGAAAGGTGTTGCATTTGTCCTTTCCTCGGGGACGCCGTAGTCTCACCCAGCACATCGCAGATGACATCCTAGAGGTCCTTCGAGACGACACGTCCCTCCGGGACACAATAAAGAAACTAGAAACCGAACTGTCGGTTTATAAACGCGCTTTTGCCGATGTAGAAGGCGAGCTCAAGAACTCTCGGCTCGCGTACCTCGAGGCACAGTCCGTGAATCGGAAGCTGAAAAATGAGTTCGAGGCGTCAAAGAAAACGGAGAAGGTGCGCGCTCACCAGTCTGTTCCGCATGTACCCTCATCGTATCAGGGCAATCGTGTTGTCATCCTGTTAGACGGCGACGGAGCCATATTCTCCGGCCAACACATCTCCAAAGGCCGTGAGGGCGGTCACAAGGCTGCACAAATCCTCTCCGACGCGACACTGCAATGCCTCGCACAGAACTTCGGCTCTCGATCGTTCCAGCTCTGGGCTTTCGTCTTCTTCAATAAACGCGGCTTGGTGGACACTTTCCGGCGAACTGGCAAAGGGACCTGGGCGGCCAATCTGGACGAGTTTGTTCTTGGGTTCAACCAGTCGACAGAGAGGTTCGTCATGGTCGACGTGGGCGGGATGAAAGAGGCTGCAGATGCGAAATTAAAGGGTGCGTGCCCCCGTACAAGCGACCTCAGAAGTCGTGCTGATTACGTCGCAGCGTATCTGGAGCACGAAATCAGACTGCCCGAAACGTTTAAAGTCGTATTTGGTGGTCCGTCCTACTCACCCAAGCGTTCAAGCCCACTGCTTACCTCGTGCTTGCAGCATGCCACGACAATGGTTATGTTGCGAACCTGCATTCGCAAATCACGGCTGGCTTCAAAGAAAAACTCATCTTACTCAAGAGCTATACGGAAATGGCAGCGGGGATAGCGGCACTAAGCCTGCCTACGCTTACCATTGAAGATCTGTTCATGTTAAATAAGATCGGCGACGCGGTGCTGCCCCCGTCGCCGAAATCGACGACGTCCTCCGCCTCCTTGAAATCGCCTCCTTTGAGTGGCAAAGTTAGCCTCGGTCTTGCGGTCTCTCGACCGTTGAACCCAGAGCTAGTAAGTTCGTCATCCTGTCTTGAGCACACACCAACTGAATGTCTCTAGCCGTTAACGAAACGTGGGACATCCGCTGACACTTCGCCCTTGCCGCTGACACAATCTGACCTAACAGAAAACCCTGCCCCGTGTACAAGTCATTACTTGAAGAACAGCTGCCCATTCCCTCTGGACTGCCGCTTCGCGCATGATTACGTCCTCAGCACGGCTCAAGTCCTGGAGTTGGCCAAATCCGCGAAAAGGGCCCCGTGTCCTACCGCTCTCAAGGGTCAGTCAATCCACCCTGCTCTGCGATTACCAACACACTGACACGCGTTTTGCAGGCAAGAAGTGCGAGAACGATGAAGATTGTATTTATGGGCACGTTTGCCCTGCTGGGGCCAACTGCTTCTTCCAGAGTGAGTGGACTGGCCTTTCTGCACGGCACATCTAACCTCCTTGATGTCTAGAGAAAGCCAAGTGCAGATTCAAACATGGTCAGTTTTCCTCTTTGAAGTCTAAGCGGATGCGGTTGCTGACGATGTTTCTAGCTAGTATGCATCCTGCGTAGTAAGCAGCGTCGGTAACAGACTTGGATCGCAAGTGGACCACAGGAACATCATACAGAGTAGTGAAACTGTTGCTGAGAGTTCTCGCGTTCGGATGGTTTACAAGAGCGGGGATATATGGATACAGAAGGTCATTAGCATCACTAGTGTGTATGTACGGTATTTATTACAAAACAACTTTTGGCGCGCCGACGGGAGCTCAAGGTGTGTATTCGACGACACCGCCGTCAGCATCAAGTGCGCCGCGCTTGACGGTTTCACCCCGAGCGCGGAGCAAGTCCTCTACTGTCCTCAGCTTCCCTTCCTCTGTGCTCTCTTTGAACCAACCGATATGGTCCGCAATGAGATGCCTGCGACGAGCAAGGATTAGGACCCAAAAATACAGCGCTGGGCAGCTAATCCGAAACGCACCGAGTATGACACCCAGGACACTGAACGAGCACGATCCCCTTCTCGTACGCGTGCTTCGAGAACTCGTGTGTGCTCCGCGTCGTGCAGTCCCCTGCCGTGCACGTGAATGTGATCGACAGCCGCGGCTGGATTCGTGGTGGTTCGGCCGCTGGAGAGTCTGCGTTGGGATTCGGTTGGGGGAGCGCGGGAGCGGTCGAGTAGGGTGATCGACGCGGGAACGGGTTGGGTCGGACGCCTTGTCTGAGACGCACAGTGGCCCGAAGCGAAGAATACGGAGTGGAAAAGCTCCGCAGAGGCAGCGAGACGCCAATGTTTCTAAAGATGCGCGAAGGGAGCATGAGGATGTCGTGAAAAGTTGGTAGAAGGAAGGAAGAGAGATGATGATGACGTCAGCAGGAAGCTGACTGATGGACTTCGACTATATTATCTACATATAAAAAGTACAGCGACGCATCATTCGTAATCCAATCTACTGCAACTTGACGAACATCGCTTTGCTCAACTCAAGTGTGGCCAACTCAGCCTCGATCGTCTTGCGCTGCCAGACGAGTCAAGGTCGGTGTCTACAAGAACAAGTCGATGACACACCTTCTCCGCATTCGCTTCCCTAACATTCTCGGGCACCGTAGTCTCGTAATCAGCCTGGGACTCAACCTTGGCCAAGCGCTGCAGGTTGTTGCGCACGACATCGAGCTTCTTGTCGCATTTGGCGATCTCCACGTCCAGATCGACGAGCCCACGGACAAGCGCGTGGACGGCCACGCTGGGTGTCACAACAGCTCCGCCGCAGCCTTCAGGGATGTTCTTGATGTCACGCACGACTTGGGCGCTCTTGCACCCTTTGGTCAGAGAAACGATCGTTGAGGCCTGGGACTCAAAAAGCGCGACTTCCGACTCGGTCTGAGCGTGGATGAACACTGAAGACTAATCAGTTGTGGATCGGATGATAAATGCTCGCTACTCACGTTGGATGTTACTCTGCAGGTTGTAAGACGACGCGAGCGAACGACCTGTTTTCAATGCACTGAAGACGAGATTGAACTGTCGATCGGCTGACTCGAACACATAGTCCTCAGTCTAATGCACAGTGCTCAGAACACAGTAATCTGTCAGGGCAACGCACTCACAAACACAGGATATGCGGCCAGCATGATCGTCGGTGTCGAATCATTGGGCCTGCGGGGAAGTCGCTGCCATAATTCTTCTGTCACAAACGGCATGAACGGATGCAGCATCCGCAGACCAAGATCCAGGCACGTATACAATGTTTGTTGAGCGGATAGACGCTGTGATGCAGGTGCTGCCTCGTCCGTCATTGGTTTCATTGCTTCCTGAAAGAGCATGTGAGAACTCCGCTAACATCCACACGCAACCGGAAGACTCACAATATACACATCACAGAGCTCATACAGCCAAAAGTTGTATGCAGCCGATGTGGCCAACATGAAGTTCCGCTCAGCGAGATGCGTGTTGATCTCGCTCGCAGCAATGTTGAGCTTATGCATAATCCACTGCTCGACCAAACTCTCCCTGCCTGTTGGCTTAGCCGTCGGCTCCGGAACAAATTTGTCATCGAGCTTGAGCATTGCGAATTTGGTTGCATTGAAGATCTTGTTGCAGAACTTGCGGTATCCTTCTACACGCATGATCTCCAAGTTGATGTCACGACCTCCAGCCGAGTAAGCGCAGAGCGCGAACCGCAGCGCGTCGGTGCCACACTGCGGAATGCCCTTGGGGAAATCCTTCTTCTGCCCGGCAATAGCTTTCTCGATCTCCTTCTCGTCCAGATTGCCTTGACGCAGTTGGTCGTGCAGCTTCTCCAGAGACACACCCTCGATCACGTCAATCGGGTCGATGACATTCCCGAGGGACTTGCTCATCTTGCGGCCGTGTGCGTCCCGGATCATTGCGTGGCACAGCACCTCGTGGAACGGCACTTTACCGGTCAGCTTGACACCAAGCAACACCATACGTGCGACCCAGAAGAAGATGATATCCCAGCCTGTCTCGAGCAGGGTATTTGGGAAGAATTTGTTCAAGTCGGGGGACGACTGCATAAATCAGCACAACAACAACCGCAAAAACGAAGGTAACGCACCTCATTGGGCCAGCCCATGATTGAGAATGGCCACAGGCCGGATGAGAACCACGTGTCCAGCACATCTTCGTCTTGGTGCAGAGTGAAGCTCAGACCGCCGGCGAGGGCAGCGGCGCGCTCAGTGGCCTCTTCCAAAGTCCGCCCCACCACCCAATTCTTTCCATCATTTCGCTGTGGATGAGTGCTCAGTTGCAGTGGACGCAAGAACGGGAACGGCACGAACATCACGATTCTGGCCGTCAACGTCCACAAAGTAGGCGGGACAGCGGTGTCCCCACCAGAGCTGTCGTGAGATACACCAGTCTTGAATGCCTTCCAGCCATCGGTACCACTCGTTCTCAGACTGCTTGGGTGTGATCAGAAGTTCACCAGCCCGAGTGCGCTGCGAGACAAGATCAGCGTGCAGTCGCTAGCCAACGGCAACAACTTGCCTTGAGAACCTCCTCTGCCAGGGGTTTAGAGTCTACCCACCACTGGGGCTTCAATATAGGCTCGACGACGTCACCAGATTTGCTGCGGAAAAGTCAGCAAGTGGGATGGTCGCTGGTAACCAGGACCGCACCTGCACAGAGGAATTTGCATTGGGTTATCTTTGGTATCGACGTACAGTCCCTCGTCTTTGAGCGCCTGCACAACAGCAACACGTGCGTGGAACCGCTTCATTCCTTTGAAGCGCTCGCCCGCATTCGCGTTGAACGTGCCGTCGTCGTTCAAGATGTTGATGAATTCCAGATTATGGCGCGTGCCGACCTCATAATCGTTCGGGTCGTGCGCCGGCGTAATCTTCACAGCACCAGTCCCGAATTCCATGTCCACGATGATGTCGTCAGTCACGATCGGGAGGCGGCGGTTAGGCAGGAAGGGGTGTATGGCAAATTTGCCGTGAAGGTGGGTGTACCGGGGATCGGCGGGGTGAACGGCGATCGCAGTGTCCCCAAGCATAGTCTCAGGTCGGGTCGTAGCGACGGTGATTGTTTCGTCCGAGTTCTCGATCTTGTACTTGAAGGACACAATCACACCAAATTCGAATCGTTCGTTCGGGCCGTATCCCGGTACGGTGAGCATTGTCCGCCCGTTCAATTGTTTCTGGTCGACCTAGACTCGCCAATGAATATGAGATGTAAGGGCACTCAAGTGGAAGCACCTCGAGATTGGAAAGCGTTGTGTTCATCTTCACACACCAGTGAACCAGACGGTTGGCTCGGTAGATCACACCGTCTTCGTGTAGGCGACAGAAAGCCTCGATCACAGCTTTGTTGCGTTTCTGGTGTGTTTCGTCACGGAAGATAGAGTGCGGACGGGATGAATCCGAACCTCGTCCATGGTGAAAACAACGCGGTCCCAATCGTAACTGCCACCAAGTCTATGCAGTTGTCGTGTGATCCGGTTCTGGTAACTGCAGTAGCACTGTGAACGGCATTGCAAAGTAGACACGGGGAAACCACACTGACTCATTCTTCCAGTCCATGACGGTCTCCAAAAACCTCTCACGTCCGAGATCGTGCCGCGTTCGGCCAGTATCCTTGAACAAGCGCTTCTCGACCACAGACTGGGTCGATATACCCGCATGGTCAAAGCCCGGAACAAACAACACGGTTTTGCCCAGCATCCGATTCCTACAAACAAATGAGAACCGACGACGCGTCAGATGCGTCCACATCATCAGGATGGTGCCGCTGACCATCGCACAAGGGTGTCTTGGATAGCTGTCGTCAAGCCGTGTCCAATGTGCAGACTTCCAGTGACGTTCGGCGGCGGAGCAGGGATGACGAAAAGACCTTCGGGCTTGATTTGGCCATCGGGGGTGAATTGAGGTCGGAAGAATCCTTCTTTCAGCCACCAGTCGTACCAAGCGGCTTCGACCGCGATGGGATTATAGCCGGCAGCCATGGGCTCGTTGGTATCTGTATCGCGAGTGGGATATAGAACTAGATCGGGTGCAATCCGGCACGTACCCTTTTTCTCTCCGGGGGGTGTCTTGTTCACGAAAGGCGGTTCGACATCCTTCTTCTCCTTCTCCTTCTCCTTCTCCTTCTTGTCTCCGGCTGCAGGGGAGGATGCAGCAGCAGCTTTGAGTGCGTTCTTGGCTGCAAATTTCGCGGCCTTCTCTAATCGTTTCTGCTCGTTCTTCGCTGAGTAGTGGTGTGAGCTGGCTGTCGTCTAGCGCGAAATCGGAGCGCGGAGCGAACCTGCGTTTTTCGAATTGGGCGCATCGCCAGCGGGTGCAGGAGATGAGGACATCCGGCGCAGAAGGATCCCGTGGGTTCGCGGTATTGGGAAGAGTGCAGGAGATTTGATCAGTTTCTGAAAAGCGCGCATGCATGACTCGATCCTGGGCCCGTGACTGTCAAAAGTTTCGGCTATCTAATCTAATCTACTGAAGTTTATCGAGTTTGGTGTTCGCTCAAGCTAGCCGGTAGGCAACACCTGCCAGATTTTATGACTGAGAAAGGAGCTAGGTACCATTTGCGTCCCGTGAAAACTTCCACGGGAACGGCTTCAACGGTTTCAGTCAATTGCGAAGGGAGATGGTGGGACCCCCTTCCGAGTCAAATTCTATCCGCAGGTGGCCGTGCAGTGAGAAACAGTGAAGCTCCTCAGCAATTGTCAGTTTCTACTACTTCCGCTCCGTGCGAAGCACTTTACTGCTCATTCGGAGCATGACTTCAGTTCTGCCACTCTGCCGAGACTGGTGCCCAATTGCGCTTCTCCCAAGCACAATCTGTAGATGGTGCACAGTAGTATCAAGTTTTCAAGGGCTGAGGATTCAAACGCTGCGACAGAGATTCAATATTGTCGTCGTCCTCTCTGCCGGCTTGAATGGAAGATTGGTCAAAAGAACGGCCGGTTTGTCGAAGAAGCTCCAAGTTTTAATGGCGACAGAAGACTGTAGGAGCCTCCCCACTTCAAAATTTGCCACTTGCAGTGATTAGGTCTGGATTTGCCCAGTTATTACAAACAAATTATCATGATACAAGCGTGGAAGTGGTTTGCAAGTGCTCCCGTTCCGGCATCCGGCTCTTTCTACAGAAGGCACTCAAAGTTGGAGAGTGTTGCGCGCAAAGAAACGGCTGGGGAGGGTCAGAACGCGGGAGGGGCGGGCGTGCGAATGTCCCACCTGGTAGAACGCTGCTGGACATCGCCATCAAAGTTGCCCTCAACGTCAGCACCAGCGTTGGCGCGGCGGAAACGGAGCATGCGGCGACTGGGAATGTAAGCATAACTCAATAAAAAAGGGAACGAGACTCACGCAGCGGTAGGAACGTCAGTGGCGGAGGCCCCAGCAGCAGCATCAGTCGCAACGGCAGCATCGGTGGCAGCAGCAGCGTCAGTGGCAGTAGCGTCGGTGGCAGTAGCGACATCAGTGGCGGCCGGAATGGCGGCACAAGGGTCGGTGGCAGTGGCGGCGGCCGTATCGGTGGCAGAAGCGTCGGTCGCGGCGGCAGCCGAGTCGGTAGCAGCGGCGGCAGAAGAGTCGGTGGCAGTGACGTCGGTGGCAGTAGCGTCGGTGGCAGAGGCGACATCAGTAGCGGCCGCATTGGCGGGACAAGCAGCAGCGTCAGTGGCGACAGCAGTAGCGGCCGCGTCGGTTGCAGCAGCTGCGTCGGTTGCAGCTGCGTCGGTTGCAGTGGCGACATCAGTGGCAGCAGCGTCGGTGGCAGCGGCGGCGCCATTATCGACAGCCGTGGCGCCGGTATCGACAACACCAGCACCAGTATCAACGACACCGGAACCAGTATCGACAACACCAGCACCAGTATCGACAACACCAGTGCCAGAAGTGATAGCACCAGCCGCAGCCGCAGCGGCGGCAGCAGCAGCAGCGCCAGCATTGATTACGCCAGCAACCCCAGAGCCGGTGCTGACAGTTCCAGCGCCGGTATCAACTACGCCAGACCCGGTACCAACAGCCCCAGCACCAGTGTCAACAACCCCAGATCCGGTGCTCACTGCTCCAGCACCGGTATCGACCACGCCGGAACCAGTACCAACAGCGCCAGCACCGGTGTCGACAACTCCGGATCCAGTACCAACAGCTCCGGCGCCAGTGTCGACAACTCCAGATCCAGTGCTAACAGCTCCGGCCCCGGTATCAACAACACCAGAGCCAGTACCAACAGCTCCAGCACCGGTATCAACAACGCCGGAGCCGGTACCAACAGCTCCAGCACCGGTGTCGACCACCCCACTGCCAGCACCAGTATCCACAACACCAGTACCCGCACCAACAGCTCCAGCGCCAGTGTCGATGACGCCAGTACCGGCATCGGTCGCGGCGGGAGCGGCTGCGGCTGCGGTGTCAGTGACGGCGGCAGCAGTGTCGGTAACAGCAGCGGTGGCAGCGGCGGTGTCGGTAACAGCGGCGGCCGAATCAGTCACGGCAGCGGCACTAGCAGACGCGGAGGCGGCAGTGGCAGAACGGGAGGCGGCCGCCGCAGAACGAGAGGCCGCTGCTGCAGAGCGGGAAGCGGCGGCTGCAGAGCGCGTTGCGGCGGCGACGGCAGAACGGGAAGCAATAGCGGCCGACCGTGAAGCGGCAGCACCCGTGCGGGTGGCGGCCGCAGCAGAACGAGAGGCGGCCGCGGCCGAACGGGAAGCTGCAGCTCCAGAGCGGTTCGCTGCCGCAGCAGAGCGAGTTGCGGCGGCAGAACCAGTGGCAGCAGCCTTAGCGGCGCTCTGTGAACTGCATTAGTCGCGTAGACATGCAAGGCAAACGCGCGTACCTTGCCAGCGGCCGAAGCGGCAGCGCCCTTCTTTCCGGCTACGCTCTTGCTGGACGCTGTGCTCGCCTTGCCGGCGGTCTTGCTGGCTGCCGCACTGGCCTTCGCTCCCTTGCCGACCTGAGAAGCCACGGTGGGTTTCGCAGCATTGGAAGTCTTGACGACGTTGGTCGTTTTGGCGGTCTGGGTTGCCGGGACTGCTTTGCTTGTTTTGGCTGCGTTGGCTGCGCTAACGGCCTTGGTTGTTTTGGCCGCTGCCGTAGTCTTAGCCACATTGGTGGCCTTGACTGGCGCAGATGCCTTGACCGGCGCGGGGGCCTTCACCGGTGCAGCAGGAGCCTTCACCGGTGCAGCAGGAGCCTTCACCGGTGCAGCAGGAGCCTTCACCGGTGCAGCAGGAGCCTTCACCGGTGCAGCAGGAGCCTTCACCGGTGCAGCAGCCTTGACCGGCGCAGCTTTGACCGGCGCAGGGGCCTTGACCGGCGCGGCTTTGACTGGGGCGGCTTTGACCGGAGCCTTGACTGCCGGCCTCGCTGCTTTCCTAGCAGCCCTGTTCACGAGGTCCTGATCCTCGGCAGTGCTTTCGGCATCAGCGGCTTCTCCGGTCGCTCGTGGAGAGTGGACAGTGATGGTGATGGAGGCATCTGCAGCGGGGACAGCAGCAGCGTTGGGACTTCCACCCGAGCTAGTCAAACCCCGGCCCTAAATGAAAGGTCAATCACATTGAGGAACAAACAAAAACCAACATACCAGGTGCAGGCCCACAGGCGCCGCGACGACAGATCCGGCCAGAGAGGCAATGAGAGGAAGCGTTGCGACGGAAAAACGCATGGCGAACGCGAACGAAGGAAGGTGTTCGGTAAAGTTTCAATGAAAAAATGCGAAAATGTGCGCTGCACTGGAGGGCTGGAAAAAGCAGTAAAAAGCCTGTGGCAAAAGCGAAGAAAACGAAGATGAAGAAAATCCAACAACCACAGGCTGGAGGGAAAAGTTGTAATGAAAGGGCAAAAGAGCAGACCACAATACGGTTAGGTCGGTTCGCCTCGCCTTATATACCCGAGCAAACCCGAACGCGGAGCGTAACCCATGATGTTCGATGATCGGTCCTTGGCACACACCGTCTGGCCATGAATGATGGTTTCAACCCTCTCCGCACGACACCGGACGTCTCTAGAGTGAAAAATTTGTTGCCAACCACTGCCGATGGGAAACTGGATGAGAACCACGCATTCAGCAGATCTTCGTCTCGGTGCAGAGCGAAGCTCGGACCACGAGTTAAGGCAGCAACACGCTCAGTGGCACGTTGCGAGTTGCAGCCCACACAGTCCTTGCGGTCATTTCGTTTCGGAGAAGTCTTGGATTTCAGTCGAATTTGCAACGGCAACGACGCATTGAACGTCGCGGGTCTTCGCGTAACCGTGTCCAAATTAGGCTGTGTTCCGGTGCACCCACGAAAGCTGTCGAGAGAATCTTGGGTCCCCGCCAGCCATCAGTGCCACTCGTTCTCGGACTGCTTGGGTGTGATCAGAAGTTCACCAGCCAGAGTACGCTGTGAGACAAAGCCAGCTTGCAGTCGCAAGCCTACAGCAACAAATCGCCTCTTCCGCCAGGTTTTAGGGTCTAACCGTTACTGGGGCTTCAATATAGGCTCAAAGATATCATCAGATTTACTGCAAAAGAATCAGCGAAGGGATGCTCGCTAGAAACCAGGGCCGCACCTGCACAGAGGTATCTACATTCGGTCGTCCTAGATATCCACATGGTCGGCTGCAAGCGATTGGGCAGAAAGGGGGTGGATCACAGATTTACCATGCAGGTGCGATGAGCCGGGGATCAGCGGGGTGGACGGCGATTACAGTGTCCCCGAGCATCGTCTCGCGTCGGGTCATAGCGACGGTGATAGTTTCATATGGGTCTTCGATTGTTGTGCGGCAAGGAGACCAGTCAATCTTCGCACGCAAGTGGGCACGTCGGCTGGCGAGGTAGATCACACCCTCTTCGTGTAGGCGACAGCAAATGTCAATCACAGATTTGTTGCCTGTGCACAATTTGCAGTGGGTTGTGCCACGAACAGTGGAGTGCCGATAGGATGGACCCGAACTTCGTCCACGGTCAATACTACGCGTCCGTGATCATAACTGCCACAGCGTCTCTGCAGTTGGCGTGTGATTTGGTTCTGGTCACTCGAGTAAAATGGTGAACAGGACGACGAAGTAGACGTCCAGACCTTTGCGCGTGAACTCAATCCTGCACACGCCCGTTTTCACCCCGGATGGCGCCTTGTTCACAAGAGATGGTTCGACATCCTCCTTGTCCTTCTTCTCTTTCTCCGTCTTTTTCCGGCCAGCGGGTGCAAAGGATGATGCAGCAGCAACAACCTTGACAGGATTATTTGCTGAAGATTCCGCGCCGTTTTCAATCTTTCCTGCTCGTTCTTCGCTGAGTATTGGTTCGAGCTGTCGTCTGCCGCTAAATCGAAACGCACGGGGAGCCAGCGTTCTCACAATCAGACACATCGCGAGAGGGCACAGAAGACGACCGCATATGGCGCAGAAGAACCTTGTCGGTTCGCTAAGAGAATCGAGGATACCGGTACTTGGCGGTCGTGACCAGTTGACAGCGCCTGTATGTGACGGACGCGGGCCTGTGACTGTCGAAGCTGCCACAATCTAATCTAATCTATTGAGGATCCCTCAATTTCCGTGTTGGCTTGGGATCAAGTTTTACGGGCGACATGTCAGTGAGTTGCTCCCTGCACATGTAGATAAGGTAGGCATCAATTCGAACGGATACGGGAGTCGGCATGTACAAACACCGTCTTCCGCGTCATCGTCCTCGATCAGTCTTGTTCAAAAGAAATGTCCGGGCAAAACTACAGCTCCAATTGAACATGGCGAATCGACGTGACATCCATGCATCTGAGGCCCAGAGAATCGAGTTGGGGAGATTCACAGCAGCAAGTGCGCCAGTGCAGGAAACAACATCAGCCAAGAAAGGTCACCCAACACCCAAATCAGGCGAGCGATAGGGTAGGCCTCTCCCGACTGAGTTTACCTAGCGAGCAGGCAGCTTCACACGTTTGATAATTGGGTCTGAATTTGTCCAGTGATTACAAGCCAACTGTCATAATACAGGCGTCGAAGTGGCTAGCAAATGGTCCATGTGAAAGCCAATCCAGGATCTCGTCCTTTCTACGAGGAAAACACTCAAAGTTGGAGACGGTTGCGCGCGATGAAACGGCTATAGAAGTGTTCAGAACAACTATCATGCCGCAGCAGGGGCGACACTCACCTGGAGGAGCGCTGCTGGACATCACCGTCGAAGTTGCCCTCGACGTTGGCACCGGAGTCGGCCCGCTGCTGGACATCGCCGTCGAAGTTGCCTTCAACGTCGGCACCGGAGTTGGCGCGCTGCTGGACATCGCCGTCGAAGTTGCCCTCAACGTCGGCACCAGCGTTGGTGCGGCGGAAACGGAGCATGCGGCGGCTGGAACTATGAGCATGACGAAGTGCCGATCAGACACGAGACTCACGAAGTAGCACCGGACAAAGCTGCGGCAGTGGCAGCATCGGCGGCGGAAGCATCAGCCGCGTCGGTCGAGGCAGCGGCGGCAGCAGAATCGGTGGCAGCTGCCGCGGAAGAGTCGGTGGCAGCAGCAGCAGATGAATCGGTGGCAGCAGCCGCTGCAGCAGAGTCAGTGGCGGCGGCAGCGGCAGCAGAGTCAGTGGCAGCGGCGGCGGCAGCAGAGTCGGTGGCAGCGGCAGCGGAAGAATCCGTGGCGGCAGCAGCAGAAGCTGAGTCGGTCGCGGCCGCCGCAGCAGAGTCGGTGGCAGCTGCTGCGGAAGAGTCGGTGGCAGCGGCAGCGGCAGCCGAGTCGGTGGCAGCAGCAGTGGCGTTGGAGGCGGCGGCCGTGGCGCTAGAGGCAGCCGCGGCGGTGGCGTTGGACGCAGCGGCGGCCGCAGAGTCCGTGGCAGCAGCGGCAGCAGCAGTGTTCTAAACAAAAGTAATGAGCAATGGGCACCACTCGTGCTAGAGAACTGCAACATACGTTGGAAGAAGCAGCAGCCGCGGCACCGCCATTGTTGTTGTTGTTGTTGGCGCCCTTGTTCTTGTTGGCTGCCTTACCACCCTTCTTGTTAGCCATCTTGCCCTTCTTGCCACCCTTGTTCTTCTTGGCGCCCTTGGTCTTCTTGGTGCCTTTCGCCTTCGCGCCTTTGGCCTTGGCTTTGCCTTCAGCAGCTTCACCCTTTGCGTTGCCCTTGGCCTTGGCCTTGCCCGCTGCAGCGGTAGCCTGGGTGTTGTTGCCGGAAACAGCGACGGTAGCGGTGGCCGCAGAGGAGTCGGTCGCTGCGGCAGCTGCAGCAGAGTCTGTAGCCGCAGCAGCAGTCGAGTTGGAGGCCGAGTTATCGACAGCTGAGGTCGTGGCGTTGGAGGCAGACACAGTCGAGTTGGCGGCAGAGGCAGCGGCGGCAGTGGAGTTGTCCGCAGCAGAAGCAGCAGCGGTGGAGTTGTCAGCAGCTGCAGCAGTGCTGTTGCTGCCGACGGTGGCCCCGGTAAGGGTTCCGACGGCGGCGGTAGAACTATCCTTAGCAGCCTGGTCGAATGTTGTCGAGCTAGTCAGAGCCCGGCCCTTGAGTGAAAGTTTAGTGAAGGGCCGCCAAGGAGAGATCGAAAACATACAAAGTGTAGGCTCACAGGCGCCGCAATGACGGATCCCGCCAGGGAAGCAATAAGAGGAAGCGCTGCGACAGAGAAACGCATGGCGAACGCGAACGAAGGAGAGTGTTGGGTAAAGTGTCGATGAAAGGATGCGAATGTGTGCGCTGCACAGGAAAGTCGGTGAAGGCAGTTACAGAACGCGGCACAAGCGACGATGAAGATGAAGAAAGTCCGACAACCACAGGCTGAAGGAAAAGGATGTAATGAAAGGGCAAAAGACCAGACCACAATGCTATCACTCCCGTGTCGTCGCACTTTATATACACCCAACGCACCCCAGAATCCATCATGATCGGAGATCGTTGATTCCTCATTGGCAAACATCGGCCGACTTGGCTGATGGTTTCTCTACTTCCCAGGCAACCCCAAATCTAGAAAGAAAATCTGTTAGCAACCACTTCGCCGGTGAGAAGTCCGTTCCGCAGCCTTCTGCAGTCCCCGAATAATTCATCTTATTGTGCGCCGCGGGAAGTCTGAAGGCACAGTGCGCGAGTCGAGGTGCGTGACCTCGAGCAAACCCAGAGCAGTGGATTCTCGCCTGACGACGCGTTGCCAAGTCTCACCACCAAGAGTTGTAGCAAGCCGAAGCTGTCACCGCCTGTGCCCGTGCTTCGACCCAAACAGGGTTCTTAGGGCCTGGCAACAACTCCCCCTGCAACGCTCCAAGGACTCCACGGATGACGAATTCACCCAGCTGGGGCGCTGATTCCCGCGTTGGAGAGTGGAGCACGATGTCTTCTTCGATCCACCGTGAACATTGGCATCGGTGCAACACGCGAAAACTCGCACTCCAAAGTTGGTCGTTACGTCTAATCTCAAGGTGATCTGCCAATTGATGTGCACAGAATCAAACGCGGGGAAGCAGATCATACCGATGGACACCCTCGCTGAAGTAATCTGCTTGGCCTAGGCCCTAGATCGGAAATCAGGCATTTGACCACCATCTTTGCCGAGTATTCAGTATGTGTGAAGTAGTAAGTCAGACAATTATCAATGATTTTGGGTGTTCTTGTTATCCTCCCTGTATCCATTGAAATTTCCAAGCATTCCCTTGCAGCAAAGCGCTAATTTGGCGTGGACGAAGACACCACTGTGTGGACGAAGAGTGATCGGACATCACAGACTTCGCCGTTGATCGGGAATGTTCATCCGGCGAAGTGACACTGACAGGTCGGCGACTGCCGGTAGAATCAGTCGATACCAATGCCATGGTTTGAGTCGCAACAACCGAAACCACGCGGTCTTCTAAATGGCCTTCGAGAAGAATCACATCACGGAACCGTCTATTAATGGACCTCACCAACCAGAGTGCTCCTGATGTGAAGTGCAATCCAAACCCACGTCTTTTAAGTAAGAGCAGAAACAGATAATGGCCTAACCTGTAGACAAGAACGCACCTTCTTCAAGTTCAAAATAATTTCAAACCAGGATCGCGTCCAGCCGAACAAGAATAGAATTCAGAATCCAGATCCGAGACCCCGCGCTTAGGGTCTGAATCGAACGGTAAGCATCCGGAGTACGACCACGAGGCTCAAGCTGCCTGTCTTGGTAACTAGAACTAGAGTTTGATCGCTGCAGTGATTACAGGAAACGCTAAACTTCCAAGATTCTGCCGTCGTCGTCAGAGTCCTCGTCGTCGTCCGCGTTACCCAACGCCAGTCGACCGACGGATCCTGACAGCTGTTGCCCCATCCCTGCGCCAGCATCCTCGATCTCGATGCCCTCTGACGGGTCGACTTCTGGTTCTTCTCCCTTGATCAAAGTGACTAGCCGCTCGATGTGCTCTGAGATCTGCACATCCTTATCGTGAGCAGCCGGCGCAAACACGCCTCCAGAGACGCACCTTGTCCACCTTCTCGGCCTCATGGGCGGCTCGAACAATCTGGTAGACCCCGTGCTCTCTCTGATAATCACGCCCCCAACGGGTGTGACACAGCAGCAGCAGCGTCTCGACGAAGATCAGCCGAATTGCCTCATCCGGCTCGCGTGTTTTCGTTGGCGGCAAAAACTGCACTGCATCTGGAAGTGATTCCTGGTCTTCCAAGTCCAGCTCTTCTGGGCCGGCGAGCGGAAGAAGCAGATACGGGAGCGCGTCAATCCCGGGTGCTTCGTCCGTCGACGGTGGTACGCAGATCGTGGCTGAGTCGGGACTGAGAATCGCTTGATGCCCAGCGCTGTTGAAGGCACAATTTCTGGGTAATTTAGATTCGCGAAACCTTCAGCATGCGATCGGCTCACTTCAACAGGGACGCCACGCCGCCCCTGCGAATAGTATCCCCATGCCCCGTGAACACCACGAGTTTCGCCAGAGGGTACTCCAGCTGACCACCAGTCTTCTCCTGAACCCCGAATGTCCGCGGTTGGAGAAAAAACGTGCGCCCTGCAGACGACTGATTGAATTATTTTGAGCATGGCAGTAACATCATGATCATCAGCACTCACCATCGACAGATTCGCAAACACACTGGCCAGGAAATGCACATAGCCTTTCCGGGCTCGTTTCGACACATCAGTCTCTTCATCAGCCCCCTGCACGAATGCGTCCACTAGCAGCGGTAGCGCAAGGACGGACTTCGCCGGCTCGTCCGGGTATGGGACGGGTGCTGGTGCCGTTGCGCAGCGCGACTGCACCGGGTAGAATCCATTCGGCAAAGATGGCGCCAAGACGACATCGACCGACATCGTGAGTACAGCGGCGCACGCAGAGGAAGAAGCGGTGAGATTGGATAGCAGCATTGATGCGAGGTCTGCGAGCACCGACTGAGGGTTCTGCAATATGAGATTAGACAAGAAGACGGTGTAAAAGATGCAAGCGCACGATGATATAAGATACTATGAACGAGAGGAACGATGGCTCGGACAGTGTCGAGGCCAGCATCGGAGAGTCGGAAAGGTTGACCAATGCGCGAAAGGCGTCATGGGAGACACTCTGCGGGTGCAAGATTAGATAGCCATTTAGACGCATAACAAGCATTTACAAGCTGATCCCGACACAGCAGTTTCAGGTCCCGCAGAATCTCATTATCCTGCTGTTTTTTCAGACCGCCAACCTGCGCGCCTTCGAAGAAGATGTTTCGGTGCGGGGATCCCTTGGGCGTCTGTGGCAGGAGATTGGACAGTGCGATTTGCCGCACTTGCGGGTTGCGATCACGGAGGAAGGGGATAAGCTGGAAACTTGCGGACGTTAATTAGGAGGGACACCGAATTCGATCTACGACTGACTGACTTCTCGTAGTTGGGCCTCCATGCTGGTCGAAAAAGAGAAATCGATATGATGGGACGTGGGACATCTGATTGCCGACATGATTGGCATTTTGACAGGCGGCGCCAAGTCTCATCTTGGACCAGAGTCTGACTTGCCTCGCACCGTTCCACTCCATACCAAACGATGCCATAAAGCACCAGCCTCTCTTTGCTATCCCTCATCCACGCCTTGCACACGATGGCACATCGCCCTACAGTATCTTTCTCCTCAAGCCTCAAACTCTCGATCAATCCACCACACTCGACAGTTCGGTGATCCGACTCTCTGAGGGCTATGTCTAGGCAACTGGCATCGACGTTGGCCTGGTGAACCACTGCCACCGCTCCCCTATATATGCGGCTTTCCCCTGTCAGAGCAAAGGTTTCCAGCTGAGCTCGCCGGCCTTCGTGCCCCCTTCTTCTTTTCTACATTTCCAAACTTCCAGTCACTCGTTCACTCCGTTCCATATTCTCGCTCATCATGGTCCGAGTTTGCTTGCATTCCCAGTCCATCTTCTTGTTTTTCTTCCTCTTGCTTTCAATTATCCCCTTTTCGATGGCTTTTCCGGTGCTCGGCCGAGAATCCCCGGGCTCTGTTGCGCTCAGACGGGTGGGTGCGAATCAGAAACGACTCGCCGAATACGGGTGCGTGACTCATCCGTTTTACCCCTTTCTAATATGTGCTGACAAACAAGCCCTTCGCTAGAGATTTCCGCGAACAGCGTATACGCGCGCAGGCTGTTCCGGAACCCGTTGCCCCCATCCGAAAACCCGTGATCCGGCGAGGGACTGGTCCCAAGGGGCGTGCCTCTGCGATTATCGCTATGGGCTCTGATTCGTGAGCTTTCCTGGCCCTCGGGCATGCCTGTCTATCTAATTTGGGACAACTGCAGCCTATGATCCTAGTGCTTTGACGATCTCGTCTGCAGGCATTCCACGCTCCGGTCTTCTTCGAAGTTGCAGATGCACTTAGACCGTGATGAGATAGGCAATGTACATTCATCTGTCAAGGATCCCTTCCCGGCGGTTGACCGGTCGGATGCCAACATCTAGACCGTTCTTGCAGGCTCCAAACATTGATACCCTTGATATAAATAGCGGACAGTGTGGTCTCAGTAATTCTTTGACATGTCCGTCATTGATAGTCCCTGTTGAATTCCTCGTCCCGCCGGGTCCTGAAGCCTTCCTGCATCTTCGAACGTTCCAAGTCTGATTCCTGCGTCGCAAGTCTCCTATCATGTGACTTGTCCCAGTCTTTCAAGGAGCCAGGGACGGATACTAAAACCCAAATCAGCTGCAGAGAGAGATAAGCTACCGTACATGTGTGTGTTTCAAAAAACAGTTATTCCGAAGAAATGCAAGGGTAATCTGAAGTTCAACAAGCACCGCGGGCTCAGAGTTATGGAACAGTGACATTTCCAACCTGCCATGAAGATCACGAATGCTGTGATCGAATTCGATTGAGAGTGGACATGGATAAGGTCCGACGGGTCTTACCCGTATTGGACCCTCGAAGGTCTTTTTCGAGGCTTAAAAGGCCGTTCTGTCTGTGTTGAACAGCACAGAGACTCTCTACCGCTCAGACTCAAAAATACCCAATGCTTTCTTGGCTATTTCCCGTTTGGGCATCCCCATCATCTGCCTCTTCTGCACCGCAGCTCGTGTCCGAGCCCAAGCCGGACGCGTCAGTACCGACTCCCTCACCCTGCGAAGACATCCTCAGCGACCCTCTCGAGCACCCCGTCCTCGACCGCTTGCGCGCGCTCATCGCGTCCGGCGGCGGCGAGTCCTGGCCCCCGCGCGCGTCCTCGCACGACACCTGGCCCACCCCACTCCGCGCATACGACACAGTGTATCGCGCCGTCGCGCCCTATTTCCCCACCCCCGAATCCTCCACGGACGATGCGCACAACCGCGCGCTGATTGACGCGTACCGGGCGCGCATGCGTGCGCAGCTGGCGGAGCACGTCGACCTCGCAGACGTGCGCGCCGCACTCGACCGGGCGGCGGGGCCTGACCCTGAGTCCTGCACACAGTCGGCTTGGCTTGGGATCTGGCTCGTGCTCTCTTTTCTGCGGCATTCGTACCGGTCTGTCCGATCACTCGTCTTCTCCGCCGTAAATTGAATCTTGGTTAGCTGGGGTGTGACTCCGATCGTGAGTGAAGCCCAGAACGAAAAGTCTGTCGAGTTCCCGGTAGAACTCGACGTCTCGTGGAGCTATATGCAACAGCATTTCGGCACGACGTCGCCCGGGGGATGCATGACCTCGCTCATGTACGCGAACTTGCGGGCCGACGACACGTTGGAGTACAGCGTCACTGCTGGGCTCTCCCCAGAGCACCGAAGCACGGAGCTATGGAACACCAGGCTTCTCTGTGGGATGGACGAAAGGGTTTGTTTTCTCGGCATGTTTTCTATTCCCCTCGCTGATCGGAGGTGAACAGCTGCTGCCCATGTACCACCTATTCGCGCACTCGATTGTATATCTTGAAGGCGGTGATCTTCTTGCTGCTCATTCAGCCTTGCAAGCTGCCAACCAGGTGCTGCGAAATGCGTTCAAGTTTTTCTTCGGCTCGATGGTAAATGCGAAACTGAACCAACAACTATGGCTCGCCTACGTCCAGGGCTACCAAGGCTGGACGCTGGACGGCATCGACGGCATCTCCGGTGGCCAGAGCCTCGCATTCCGCACCCTCGACTCGTTCTTGGGCGTCCGACCGTTTCCGGAACCGCACAAAGAGTCGCTCCACCTCCCAACCGCCCAGCGGGACTGGCTGAATTCCCTGAGAGACTACGATATACGCGACCGCGTCAGGGAGATGGGGGACGAAGCGGCCGGACTGAAGGAGGAGCTGGACGCGCTGGTTAAACAACTACGGGTGCGCTTTCTCACCTTTCGGGGCGGCAGAGAAATGCTTGCTGATACGAATGTCGTAGTTGTGGCGAATGGGGCATATGAAACGCATGGAGGTCTACGAGTCTGTGCGCAGGCCTGAACGGAAAACAATGACGGCTGGAATCTCTGTCGTCGATGCGGCCAGTGAGGATCTCATGATCCGACACCTCAAGCAGCAGTTGGGACAGCGATTGGCGCAGACGGTTTAGTTGATGATAATTGAATGTACATACACTGACATCCCTCACATACTTATACCGATCTAGACTAGCATAAATAGACATTTGTATCTTTGGCACTGACTCGCATCGGATTTTCAGATTATCATGAATCGGGATTCTGACGTTTTAAGCTTCCAGTTCAATTGCATCTCAAGGTTTATTGTTTGGTTTCCCGTGATAACAAGTGACTAGTAGGCAGCCCACCCTCCATCGACAGGAACGCAAGCGCCATTCAGCGGGCCATCCTCACTCAGCGTGAGAACAAATTTGGCGACATCCTCGAGTTTGTTAAGTGGCGGCTCCATCGCCATCGTGGAGCGCAAGACGGCCATGAACTCCATATTCAATCCACCATTCGGGTCGACAATGCTCGTAGCCATACCGCCCGGCAGGATTGCATTGCAGCGGATACCCTTCTTGCCTAGAAACGCGGCCGTGTTCTTCGTCAACCCGATTACGCCGTGTTTGCTCGCCGTGTATGCTGCGCCGGCGGCCCCGCCTCGAACTGAGGCTGCGGATGCCACATTGAGAATGGCACCGCCGGCGGGGGACTGCGCCAGCATAGCTTTGACCGCCTCGTCCAGGCAGATGAATGTGCCGGTGAGGTTGATGCCGACGACGCGGTCCCATGTCTCGCGCGCGACGCTGCCCACGGGCTCGAAGCGATCCATGACTCCCGCGTTGTTGATCCAGACGTCCAGTCGTCCAGTCTTGGAGACAGCGAGATCGACGACGGCCTTCACTTGCTGCGTGTTTGTAATGTCCGCGACGATGGAGTGGGCGCTGGGGCCCAGCGCAGCGACCGCGTCCTGCAGCAGAGACGCATTGAAATCGCAGATGACCACTGTGGCACCCTCGTCGACGAACGCCTTGGCGATAGCTCTTCCCAGTCCCTGGGCTCCCCCGGTGACGACCACGGATTTGTTAGCGAATCGAGACATGAGTGCTAGCGGAAGGTCGGCTGAGTATAAGTAGGCAACCTTCGACGACTGCGAAAGCAATAGATTGCCGGATAGGTGCTTGATAAAACAATAACAGCTCGTCGGATTGTGCTTCTGTTCCGGATAGGGTGGCCATGCCGGATGGGCCAGGTCCAATTACCCTCTACAAATGACGAATGCCAGGCCTGGTGGGGTAGGCAGTTGTGATGCGTTTAACGAGAGTGAATAGATGCCAGTGACATGTGTCTATTCTGATCCGGGTTCGTCACATGCCCTTACTCCATGTGCCCCGATTTTCAATGGCGAGGCAGGTGGTGAATAACGGTCATGTGCCCAAAGAATGTGGCGTACCCTGACATATCCTACTGAACACTGCTAATTATTCCTTGGGATTCAACAGTCTTTAATGGTCAGGTAAGTTGTGTCTGCTCCTGAACCTCTGAGACCTTTCATGAGATACAGAAATTTACCATTGCTGTAGGAAATTGGGATCTATTTTCCTCGAGTTAATGTCATTTGAAGTGTTCTGAAGCATGGAGGTCTAATGAGGAAGCATACACCTGACGCATATAATGGAGTATGGATCCAAGCTGTTTCTCATTGGGACTGTGCCTTTGAATCAACTTATCTACCTACTGCATCTACTACTTCGATGGATATGACAAGACAGCAAAATGGCTAGTAGGCAGACCATCCTCCGTCCACCGGAACGCAAGCGCCGTTCAGCGGGCCATCCTCGCTCAGCGAGAGAGCGACTTTGGCGACATCTTCAAGTTTGTTCAGTGGGGGTTCCATTGCCATCGTAGATTGCAGGACGGCCATGAACTCCGTATCCAAGGCACTTGGGTCGGCGATGTTCGTGGCCATGCCCCCAGGCAAAATAGCGTTGCAGCGGATGCCTTTCTTGCCTAGAAACGCGGCTGTGTTTTTCGTCAACCCGATTACTCCGTGTTTGCTCGCCGTGTAAGCTGCGCCGGCTGACCCGCCCCGAGCTGACGCCACCGACGCCACATTGAGAATGGCACCGCCGGCGGGGGACTGCGCCAGCATAGCTTTGACCGCCTCGTCCAGGCAGATGAACGTGCCCGTGAGATTGATGCCAATGACGCGGTCCCATGTCTCGCGTGCGACCGTTCCCACAGGCTCGAGGCGATCCATGACCCCCGCGTTGTTGATCCAGACATCCAGCCGTCCTGTCTTGGAGACAGCGAGATCGACGACGGCCTTCACTTGCTGTGTATTTCTGATGTCCGCAACAATGGAATGGGCGCTGGGGCCCAGCGCGGCGACTGTGTCATGCAGCAGAGACGCATTGAAATCGCAGATGACCACTGTGGCACCCTCGTCGACGAACGCCTTGGCGATAGCTCTTCCCAGTCCCTGGGCTCCCCCGGTGACGACCACGGATTTGTGAGCAAATCGAGACATGAGCGTAGTGGGCAGGTCTGCTGGGTACAAGTGGACAGCCTGAGACTGCGAAAGTCATATGTTGCGGGAAGGACAATTGATAAAACAATGATAGCTTGTCACATTGCGCTTCTCTTCCGGTTAGGAGGGCCAGGCCGGTTGGATAAGGTTCAACGAACGCCGGGCCTAGCGAATAGTCCGGTGAACAAATGGATCGGAGTAGATGAGCGGTTACTAGGAATGATTGATCATGCACTGGCGGCATCAGGTGAAGGTTTCCGCAGTTGGCTATACCAGGAGATTCGCAGCATTTACAAGCCGACGCGCAGTCCAATGGATGTGAAGTCGAAGTCGAACCCGAAGTCGAAGGGACGAGCCAAGGGGCTGGAGAAGAGTCACGATGTCGTGATTAATAGGAAAACGTGACCTGGACGGACCCTAGAGCAGATTGGAACAGTCAAGATACCAAGTTGCTACATTATTCGAAGCAAGTCCAACAAAGAGGAAATAGATCATAAGGTATGGGTCGTAAAAGTCATCATTGAAACACACCCAAAAACGATCGGTACACAGAAATCCAAAAATACAAAAGGGTGACTTGAACGCGGATTAGAGATGTGTGCAAAGCAAACAAGGATGTTTTGTTCAGCAGTGGTATATATGCGACAACACAGATCGGGTCTAGAAGGGCGACTCGTCCCAAGATTCTGAGCAGCGGGTCAGAGAGCGATCATAAATCGTCATTACCACTCACCCTCAGTGATACTCTTCCACGCCAAGTACAAGACGCTGACAGCAGCAGTTTCAAGGATCGTGGCAACAAAAGAGCCATCGACTTTGGCCGAGGAGCCCTAAATGACATGTGAGTCGATGCTGGCGTAGATGTCACAAGATCACAAACCTTGCATATCACCTTACTCAGGAGAAAGAACGCAAGCTGGCTCAATACGAAGAGCACCGCGGACAACACGTAGAACCACATGGGCCGCAACTCATTTAGCACCGCCAGGACGATGTACGTCATGATAATGAAGTAGATAATCACGGCGCTGATCAAAAAAAGTCAGCAGATATCTACGATTAGCTCACAAGAGTACGCACGCAGCAGGCCATATGCTTGTTAGGACGAACAAGGGGATGCTGTGGAGTGAGGACAGAGGATTCGAGGGCCCGAATGCGGAAGTGATGTGCAACGCAACATCGAAGGATATGTATGTCGTCGCAGCGAAGAAGAGGAAAGATATGAAGTAGAAGGGGATAAGACTACTGGGCGTCCCGTCCTCGACGACCTGCGTCGCTACTAGACCATTGGCCAGCAGCATCCAGAAAACAGTGGCAACGACTCCAGCGTGTATGGCCGTAAGAACAATCAAAGCTGTGGAGCCCTGCTCAAGAAAAGAACCCGTGGTAACGAGCTGGAAGGGCAAAGATATGAAGTAAAGCGAAAGTAAAGCCCGCAGCTCGAGGCGACCTGCAAGTAGCGATCAGCTGATTGGCAAGTTTGGATTGCAATCGGGCGTGAGACTCACCGACGGCGGCTTTCCTCCGGCTGGTTTCCCAGATGAGAACGGCGGTGAGAATCATGCTGAGGGCACACACGACAATATTTGCGATATTGCCCAGAGATCCTGCGTGGCCCATACGCGGTATCGCGCATGTCGGATTCACACCCAGACCTGCGGACGACACAGGGAGTGAAGCGTTGGTGAGCACGGTCGGGTCCTCATGTAGGATCTTTCGTGGACGTGCATGAGCATTGGATATGAGTGCTCAATGGTGCTGCGTACCTGGCGGTAGAACAAGTTACACCATGGGTATGACCCTGTGTTACGACAGAGGGTCGAAAAATCACCGAAACGCATTGCGCGTTAGACCGAGAGCGAGTTGCCTGAAGACGGGGAGTGGAGTCCTACGGACAGAGATGGGCCCTGGAAGCCAGGTGGACGAGGGGGTAGCGGCGGGCGAAGGCTGGTGAAGGTCTCCAAGGAAGGGCGGTGGGAGATAATTCACAACAATAGTCAACAATACTGGCGATTTGATCTGGAACGCGTGGGTCTACCCTTCAATGATACCGTGATCGAGGGCCGAGACCGACAAACCGTTCGTTGCCTTCGTGAGGTCCGTGAAGGTTTAGCAAGAGGTCGTGCGTATACAGAAAGTCGTGAGGGTGCTGAGAGCGTTCGGGGAGACGTGTGTAACAAATGTGAGCTCAATGTGCATGCCTAAATCTGTCCGACTTCCCGTCCCGGGCCGTATCCACTGGTCATAACGGGGAACTCAAGCGCGTCCTGTAGCGAGGTGATCGCATTGTGCTGGCTCTCCCCTTCCCCCTTTCAATAAACCTGTCTTACATGATTCAAGCATATCGACTGCGTCCAAGTCACTTACTCCAGGCCTTTGGACCTGTGCCCTTGACTCTGCTGTTCTTCCTCCTCATAGGCATTGTTGTACACGAGCGAAGGGTTGCCAGCTCTGTCGTTCACTTATGATGCCACCTGTGGGCTTTGTCTCTACAGCAAATGTACAGTTGGCAAGGCAGATTCAGAAGGTGGATACATCTCCGAGAGCAAGATCCGACTCGCGCGTATTCATGGTCCTGTGGCCATCGCTACTGACTCGTAGTCCGACTCTGTCTCCGGCATACTTCATTCGGGTTTCGACATATGCCTTCGCCTGCCTACTTCATTTCAAGCTTCCTCTCCGGAGCTCAACGGAAAATCTGAGCATTCTTCGGTGTGCGTCGTCCGGATAAAGGCTGGTGTTGTCTAGAATTGTGGAGGGGGCGCCTTCGGGTTCGTACCTCCTTCGATCTCGTGCCACAAATGTTACAGGCCTCTGGACTGTCGGGAATCTTTTCTGCCACCGTCTTTCGGGGTCGACTCTCTTGATGATACTTCGCATTGTTCTAGTAGAATGACATGTAGATTATGTGTGCGCCAATGAAGCCCAAAGGACAAAGCCATCGCATCCGCCTTGGAGATTTGTGATCGGTGTTTGCCGACACTATTTGCTGCGTCAGACATCAGAGCCACGCCAGTGTGGCCATAATCTACTTCGTCTCTACACCCCGTTCCAAAACACACGAGAGTTCTGCGTTAACGTCGAATCTTGTAGACGCTCAAAAATACTGTGCGATGACTTCTGTCGCTTTCTACCGTTTAGTTTTGACCTTGCTCTCTTTCGCATCCCCACGCAGGCCCATTTTTAGGGCTGCCAGACGATGAATCGTGGTCCATCGCCGATATTCGATGCACCCGAGTTCCCAACCCTTCGAAGAGTGAAGCCGCTGCCGAAGCGGAGGCGCACGGGCCCAGCATCCCACACGGACGGTGACGATCAAGGCGGCCTCCCATCGTTAAGCACCCTTGGCCTTCCCTTTCCTCTGCCAGGCCCCGATGCAACCGCCGAAGAACTCATCGCGCATGCCGAATCCCTGTCCGCTCACATGGCCCTCCAGTCATACTACATGCCGGGCTTGCAGGATATTTTTAACCGGAGTGAGCTCAGTGGCACAGGAAATGGGCATGTGGGCTACTCGGAGGCGGAGGAGGGGGATGACGGGGAGGAGGATATGTCGGATCACTTGCAACAGCCTGGAAACACAAAGAAGCGGAAAGTACCCGCGAACACGTCGGCGATGCCAGGTCATGATCCAGGAGATACCCCATCAGGTGGTGAGGAGGAGGTCTCTGAGCGAGGGATGCCGCCAAATAGGTCGGAAGAGCCCCTCCAGACAATCCCGACGCCCTCGTCACCCTATGCTGGGTTAGGGATCCGCAAGGGTCAGCCGCCACGCATCACGCAAGCGGGGCTGCAACACAAAGAGACACTGAAGAGTCGGAAGCGGCAACTCGCCGCTGTTCTGGGTGCTTTGAGCCACGGAGACACTCTTGCACTCGACCAGGCGCTTTCCAGCAGCTACCAATTCCCTGGCGCTGGGTTTGAGCCTGCGGATCTGCGGGTCCGCATCTCACATCGTTTCGGACCACGTCTGGCTCGTGCTGCTCGATTTTCAGAAAAGTTCAGGCATCCGGACAAAAGTGCGTTCATGGAGTCTGAATTCACGTTTGCGTGTCCCAGCACAAGTGAGTGATTGCTCTCGGGTCTACTTTCAATTTTATCTATCTCTGATCTGTAGCGGCGGAACGGCTTGTCTCCACAAAGGAAGAGGTCGCGGCTTTGCGGTCGCGATTTGAAGCTGAGCTGGCCAGACAAGCCGCCAAGGCTGCGAAGATGGCTGCTGCCAACAAGCTCATGTCCAACCTGCCCTCCAGTAAGTCAAGTAAACAGAAACGAGGCAGCAAGACGCAAACCCGAGCTCGACCGACAAATATCAATCAACCAACCTCGACTACGGCCTCCACGACCACTAATTCGCCGACGACAGAGAACGTTGATCCCGCAACGATGATGGGAATCAAGACCCGCGGGAAGAAGAAGAAACGGTCTGCGTTGGCTAACGCGTCGAACCCCCATCATTTGCGGAATTATGTCCCATCACGGTTGCCTCAATCGGGAGCGACCAACGGGGCGAGCAGCCATCCATACAATGGGCTCGGGCCGCTTGCCCTGCGATTCTTGTCTGCTGACATTCCTCCTCGGCGACGCAGAAATGGGAAACCGGTTCCCATGGGCGATCCGTCTGCGCTCACTAATCCGGCAGACGAGTGGATCTGCCCGTTCTGTGAACACGATCTGTTCTATGGAGATGAGCGAGAGATGAAGCGGGCTGTCAGGAGTCGGAAAAAGATCTTGAAGAGGCGGAGGAGAGCTAGAGAACGGGCCGCTGCTGCTGCAAGCGGAACCAGCACAGCCAAAGCGCCTCCCGAGAAGACGCAAGAAGAATACGAGATGCACCCAGGATATGCGCCCGGCGTCGAGGATATCGAGAACTTGCCGACGCACACCAAGTGGCGGGGTGATCCAGGAAAAGAGCTCCAGCGCGCTGGCGATATAGGATCGGGCGCGCCTGGATGAAACGGCCCATCGTGTTTGGGTGTTAGAATCTCATCCCATTTATAAGTCATTTCAATGTCTCCATGCATACGCATGTATCGTATCTCACACTCGTTTTATCCATCCCTGCATCACGCATCGGTCGACTTGTTGCGTGATTACGGAGGATGCGCGGCATCTTTCTCATCGCTGTCCGATGACGTCAGCGTCCAGAATCTAACATACTCAGACTGTAAGCACTCTCTGTCCGAAAATGTGCAGGAGAATGGGCTCGGCGGAACCGTAGGAAAGCTACTATAAGGTAGGGCACTTTAACATTAGCCTAACTCTTCGCTCCGCCGTGGGACAACACCAGTTCTGAGAAGGAATCGTCTGATCCTTCTTTTTCCATGAGTGTTTCGCTTCATCCCTTCTCTAACGAACGCTCTTCGTATATATGTATGTGTACGTATGTACTATGTAAGAGTCGCAGTGTGCTTCGCCTGTTGAGTTGAAAGCATAACATTTTCCACTGCGTATCAATCAGGTGATCATAGTCCAGCCTGTCAGGCCAACACTGGCCGCTTACCCAAAGGTTACCACTCTCCACCATGTCGACGCCTGCGATGGCTTCCGGCGACCTGCTGGACCTCGTCTCGTCGTCAGGTGCGGCCACTATCTATCCTAATGACGACGCCATTCTCGCCGTCCTACAAGCCCGTTTTCGCGCAGACCTGCCGTACACCCGTATCGGCTCCACCCATCTGCTTGTCGTCAATCCCCTCAAAGCACTGTCCAGCGTTAGCGATGCCAGTGCCCGCGAGTACGAGGAACGATGCTACAAGGACACCAATCTCCCCGCCATCGACTCCCCAAAGCCGCTCCAGCCGCACATGTACGAGACGGCTTGCAGGATATATCTGCTCATGCGCCGTCGGGCAGAGCCGCAGATGATTATTCCTCGTGGAATCACGGCGTCAGGCAAGTCCGCCTCATTGCGTCTTCTCTCGAGTCAACTCTTGCGGCTGTCCACGCACTCACGAAAAGAGGCCAAGCTTGCCGACCAGCTCCGCGCTCTGACGACACTGGTCGATTCTTTCGCAAACGCTAAGACGCAAGCGAATCCTGACGCCTCTCGGCATTCCAAACTCGTCGAGATGCACTTCAACGAACGCGGTCGGTTTGCTGGTGCCAAATGTCTGCTATTCGGTCTCGACAAGTCGCGTCTGGTCAAGCTGGGTCACGAGGAGCGGACGTATCACGTCTTCTACCAACTCCTCGCTGGTGCCACAACAGCTGAGCGGGACCAGCTGTTGCTCGAGGATATGTCTGAATATGCGTTGCTGGCGTCGTCCGGCACGTATCGCCTTCCGGCCGGCCCTTTTTCGGATGACACCACCGGCATGGCGGACCTACGCGCGGCACTGCGCACACTTTCCTTCAAACACACGCCCGCCGTCCTCTCCCTCCTTTCCGCCATCCTTGCTTCCACTAACATTACCTTCGTGGCCGCGGACAACAACACCGAATCGTCGACGGTTGCCCCGGATTCCATCCAAGCTTTGCAGGTGACAGCCCGCTTGCTGGGTGTCCCTTCGGACGAATTGGAGAGTGCACTCACGAATCGGAGTGCCTATGTTAGGAAGGAGCTGTACACTGTGCTCTTGAACGAGCACAATGCCGTCAACCAGCGAACTGCGCTTTCCCGGGATCTCTATGCGATCTTAGTTGCGTTCGTCATGGAATCGGCAAATCGGCGCATTGAGCCGCCCAGCGGGACGAACGTGATTGCGATGCTGGATACCCCCGGTTTCTCGGCACCTGCAGCAGCCCTTGGCCCCGCGTCCTTCGAATTGTTCGCCAACAACTTTGCGGACGAACTGGTCCAGGGATGGGTGACGCAGGCTGTGTTTGCGAATGCGGAGGATGTTGTAGGCAATGAAGCGTGCCTAGAGCTGTTCCGCGGTGTGCCTGTGACAGAACCCGCTGTTATCCCCAGCAGAAAAGGAGACAAGGAAGCTCGTGGTATCCTCGGTGTCATCGGCCGAGCTAGCATTGCCTTCAAGACCGGGAAAGGCGCTGACCGGGACCGCGATGAGGAGCTTCTTGCGGAGATGGTCGGCCGTTTTTCGAGCCACGCGTCCTTCGAAACAACACCCCTGCCCCCATCTGCGGGCGGTGTTGGGACCGGCAATCTCACCGCCCGGCCACGAGCATTTGGAATCAATCATTACGCAGGGCAGTGTGCGTATGATGTGCGGGGCTTCGTGGCCGCTGATGCTGATCTGCTCGATGCCGCGCTCGTGACTCTGCTACGGGCATCAACGGTTCCGTTCGTGGCCAAGTTATTCTCGGGCCCCTCTCTTGCCGCCGAAAGCCATGCACGGGATGTCAACACCATTGTCCAGGCGCAGGTTTCTTCTCGTCCATTGCGGGGGCCCTCGCTCGGTGGAGCAGAGGAGCTTGCTCGATTCGACGCCTCCAAGACGCATCCTGCCATGGCCCAGCTCGATGGTACTCTATCCGCGCTCCTTCACGGCTCCAGGGACGGCCAAGCTCAAATGTGGACTGTCACATGTCTCCGTCCTAACGATTCCGGATCGCCCAACTCGTTCGACAAGCGGCGCATCCGAGCCCAACTCCGATCTCTTCTCGTTCCCGCTTTGGTTCAACATGTAAGCGGCGGTGATTACGTGGCAGAGATGGACGCGGATGAGTTCTGTGCTCGGTACGTTCCAACCATGCAAGGGGGCACGGAGGAGCGCATCGAGCAATGTGCGCGGGCCAACGGCTGGCGCGAAGGTTCGGACTACCGCTTCGCTGCGGGTCGGATCATGCTCGAGTATGGCGCCTGGAAGATGGTCGAGGACGTGCTAAGAGGGCAGGAGAAACGGGGAGCAGATGACCAAGAGCCTATCGACGAGCCAGATGTCGACGAGACCACCGAATACACCCACGGCCATGCCTATGAGGCAAGCACCGAGAACTTTGGCTACGGCTCTGGCGGTCTGCAGACCCCCGCTGATCCATTTGCTGGCGGCATGCCTGCACCTCCACCGGGAAGCGGAAGCGGCTGGGCTGGCTCTGACTACAAGGGCAGTCCCATGGGAACGATGGAGGGATACCCCGATTCGCCTCTTCCAATGTCCAAGGACGACCACTCGGAGGTCACTGGTGCTGGCGCCCCTGCGACCGGGTTCGTGCAGAAAGATGCTCTGCTTGCCAACAACGAAATGGAAGAGATCCCGTCTAGTCGGGCGCGGCGATTCTGGCTCGGTGTTGTCTGGACCATGACGTGGTTCATCCCAACATTCCTGCTGTCTTCCGTGGGTCGCATGAAACGTCCTGATATCCGACTGGCCTGGCGAGAGAAGGTTGCTATCTTCCTGCTCATCTTCCTGCTCAATGGGATCGTCGTGTTCTACATCGTCGTGTTCGGTCGCTTACTCTGTCCTGAATTTGCCAAGGCCTGGGGAGTGAACGAGGTTGCTCAGCACACGACGACGCAGAACTACTGGGTCGCCATCCAAGGCACTGTGTACGATGTGACCAATTTCGTGCAAGGCGACCACAGTGATATCAATTCGGAGGCGAGCAACGGCCAGGATGTGCTCACTGTTCTTGCCGGTCAGGATCTCACGTACTATTTCCCGGTCCCCCTTGTCCTGGGTGCGTTGCTTTATTTCATTGGATGATCATATTGCTAACGAGCAATCGTTGGGTTAGGTTGTCCTACATTGGTGACTGACGGGTCCATGTTCTTGACGCCGAAGAACTTCACTCAAGACGAGCCTACTGCGATGCACACCAGCGGCCAGCTGCAGAGTGTGCCAAACTCAGCGTTGCACAACAACGATTGGTACACCGCCACATTCTTGCCCAAGATGGCCAATTACAGGAAGGGTCCTGTGGTCATCACAACGGGCACCTTGAGATCGCAGGCTGCTGATACAGGCATCGCCAAGTACGTCTCTTCGATTTCTTGTTAAATTGTGGGCTGAACCGTTCGCGTAGGATTTGGGGTCGATACGGCAACAACATCTACGACTTGACGGACTACGTCAACACGCTTTCGATCAACGTGAACAACAACGCCTATGCGTTCCTCGACAACAACATCGTCTCTGTTTTCAAGCAGCAGTCTGGCCAGGATATCACCAAGCCTCTGAATGCCGTCCTGGACGCCATGAGCGCCGATCAACGTGGATTGAATATGCAGTGTCTCAACAATGCATTCTATATCGGACAGTACGACTTCCGAAAGGATGCCCGATGCACCGTCCAGAACTATCTGCTTCTTGTCGCCTCTGGAATTCTGATGGGTTCGATGGGTCTGAAATGTGAGCCGGCTCTAAGTGATTGATCAGTGCGCCTTGCTGACGCGGCTTCTTCAGTCTTGGCTGCCTTGCAACTCTCCCCGAAGCGCAACCCTGAGCTCCAAGACAAATTCGTCCTGTGCCAGGTCCCGTGTTATACCGAAGGCGAAGACTCGCTCCGACGAACCATCGATTCTCTCTCCGCACTCAATTACGATGATAAGCGTAAGCTGATATTCATCATATGTGATGGGAATATTATCGGAAGTGGGAACGATCGTACGACACCTCGTATCGTTCTGGACATCTTGGGTGTCGACCCTCAGCTCGACCCAGAGCCGCTTCTGTTCAAGTCTGTCGGCGAAGGTTCAAAAGCGCTGAACTACGGGAAAGTCTACTCTGGCTTGTATGAGTACGAGGGCCATGTCGTTCCGTGCGTACCTGTTCTCGCTGGACACTGGATTGCGCTGAGAGTTTCTTCAGGTATATGGTCGTGGTCAAAGTTGGAAAGCCTACCGAGCGGGCGAAACCCGGCAATCGAGGAAAGCGAGACTCTCAGATTCTGCTCATGCACTATCTCAACCGAGTGCATTTCGATGCTGCCATGTCACCACTGGAGCTGGAGATCTATCATCAAATGCGGAATGTGATTGGTATCGACCCGGCATTCTACGAGTACATCTTCACGATCGACGCTGATACTGTGCGTGTCTGTTTCACCCTGCGATTCGCTGTGCTAACTTGGAGGCAGTCCGTGACACCCGATTCTCTCAACCGACTCGTGGCCAGCTCATCAGACGACTCTGCGATCATCGGCATCTGTGGCGAAACGAAGCTGCAGAACGAAGAGGATTCGTGGTGGACGATGATCCAGGTCTATGAGTACTACATCTCGCACCACCTTTCCAAGGCTTTCGAGAGTTTGTTCGGCTCAGTGACGTGTCTTCCCGGTTGTTTCTCGCTCTATCGCATCCGGACAGCAGATAAGGGCCGGCCCATCATCATCTCAAACCGGATCATCGACGAATATTCGGAGCCTAATGTCGATACTCTGCACAAGAAGAACTTGTTTTCGCTCGGAGAAGATCGGTTCTTGACGACGTTGCTGATGAAACATTTCCCGACCTACAAAACCAAGTTCACGCCGGATGCGATAGCTCACACCGTTGCGCCCGAGTCGTGGAAGGTGTTGTTCTCTCAGCGACGTCGTTGGATCAACTCGACCGTGCACAACTTGTGTGAGCTTGTGCTGCTGCCTGAGCTGTTCGGGTTCTGCTGCTTCTCGATGCGTTTCTTCGTGTTCATTGATCTCCTGGGAACCCTGGTGAGTGGCCTTGCCTCATTATGGCTAGTTTTGGCTGAACTTCCCGGCTAGATCTTGCCTGCCACTGTCGTTTATCTATTTTACCTGATCATCGAAGTGGCCCTTGGGAAGCAGGCCGTCCCCATTATTGCCTTGGCTATGATTGCTGCGACGTACGGTCTACAAGTAAGTGTCTGCGGTATTTCTTTGTATGACATATTGATCTCGCGCAGGCCATGATCTTCATCCTGAAGCGCGAGTTCATGCTGGTTGGATGGATGATCGTCTATATCCTTTCGTGCGTCGACTTCTGCTCGATTGTGTGTTCATATCTTGACGACTCGTGCAGATACCCTGTTTACAGTTTCTTCCTGCCGGTGTACTCTTTCTGGTGCATGGACGAATTCGGTTGGGGTAACACGCGTTTGGTGATTGGAGAAGGCAAAGACAAGAAGGTCATCATCAATGAGGACGAGAAGTTTGACGACTCGATGATTCCGCTCAAGAAGTTCAGTGGTAAGTGCATTGGTGGATTCGATGCATTTCCTCCTGCTCACTAGTCGCGGCAGAATACGAGGCAGAAGCTTGGGAGACGGCAGATCGACACTCGGACGGCAACCACTCGGAATACAGCGGCAAGCCTCGATCGCGGTCGCGAGGGCCGTCTCCACGGCCGTATCAGGAAGCTTCTCAGGCGGGCGACTACTACCGGGACACGAATCTGACTGCTCCCCGATCTCGAAACCATGGTTCCCAGCAATCTGTGATGTCAGTTCCCCAACTGCCGTACATGCCCTTCAACGGTGGCCCTGGGTCGGTGACGGGTTCAGACCACGGGATGATGGCGCCAATGGGCTACCAGAACACAGGCAGCATGTACGGGATGATGCCCCCGATGATGACTGGCATGCCGATGTACAGCACGCCGAGCCTCAATGGGTCGCAAATCTTTGCGCCCCCTGTGATGCCTGCGGCGGGTGGGATCCCGCGGCCGATGTCGACGCTGTCTATGGCGACGACAGCGAATCTGTTTGCGTCTGGGCCGAGCCAGAACCCGAACCCATCGGACGACGATCTGTTCAATGCGCTGAGGAATTATCTGAGCACACAGGATCTCATGACTGTTACGAAAAAGTGTGTGGTTGTGTTGTTGGCTGTGTATCGAGGCTGACCGGATGCGCAGAACTGCACGCGAAGCTATCGCTGCCAAGTTCCCGAACGCAGATCTTACTTCTCGCAAAGAGTTTTTGAACCGTTCGATCGACACGATCCTTTCAGAGTCATAGATTATCTCTCCTTCAGCATTATGGACTAGCACAATACACAACTTAGCGTACACTACATTACTTAGTCAGACTTGCTTTGCATTTGGACGCGGTACTTATGGACTGGTAAATCTCATGTACATTGTTTTAACTTGACAATCGTGAAGTAAGTTCAGCCAAATGACACGGGTATTGAATGAATGCCCAGCTCATTCAATCATTTACGTGTTCTGGCCTTCACAGGCGTCGCCGCTACCAGAGTGACACCCTCTCTGCGCTCCTGTTCCCTCGCCGCAGCCAAGCGCGCCGACTCGTCAGCCCTCTTCTTCTCCTCTGCAGCCTTTTCTTTGTCCTTTCCCCGCCGCTGCGCCTCCGCAGTGTCCCGTTCCCGCGGCTTGAATGCGCGTTTCATGCTCACCTCGCGCGTCAGTACGCGCTTGCGGGCCCCGACGCTGCCTTCGCGCTGTTGCTGCTGCTCCCGCTCGCGTTCCTCCGCCAGGATGATCGAGTGTGAGCGTGATCGAGCCCGGGCAGGCGCCTCCAGTGTGGATCCCGACGACGACGACACCGGTTCTGGGATCGCGGACGAGCGGGCGCGTTTTGGCGCCTTTGATGGTTCCGGAGATGCTGAGCGCTCGTCGTCTTCGGTGTCTGAGTGATCCGAGAAGGGTGAGTGGGGGAAGATCTTGGATCGCAGCAGCGCGGTCTGCTCGGGCAGCAGGGATGAAAACCTGATGAATATAGTAGGAGAAAGTGAGTGCGCAAGTAGGCGGTGCGAGATTGGGAACGCACCGTTTCTCGACGACGTCTTCGCAGAAGACCTGCATCCAGTCGCGGTCTTCCGTCTTGTGCAGTAGCCCGGTATCGAGGGTGTTGACCAGCTGCCACATGGAAAGTTTGTCCATGAACGACTCGAGTTTGTCCTCCAGAGTCGGCGGCGGTGGCGGCGCCCGCTCCCCCGGCTTCCTAAGTTTCCGGTCCGGAGGCGGCTGAAATGCTGGTGGTGGAGGCGGCGGTGGCCCGGGCAGAGACATCTTGAGGAAATGAAGTAGGATTTGGATGAGAACTCTTCCCGGGGTCAGTCTCGGAGCATGCGGAGGGTGAAACTGGTTGGGTCTCACTCTCGCTGCTGCATTCGCTCCGTCCACTTCGTTCGCCATGCGTCGTTGAGCCACGGTTCCTGCCCATCGACCTCTTCCTCCTCGTACTTCTCGTGCGAAATCGCGTACCACATCATGGTCTCCTCCTCCTCACCCTCCCCACCGCCGTTCGCCAGGATGTGCGACAGGTCTACTTGATATTTGCTTGTCACTGCGCGCGGGGCGAGCAGTAACCGCTCGATCTTGGCGTGCAGGGGGTGATACGGGGTGCTCGGGTCGTCGGACTCGGGCTGCACGCGTAGCAGTGATGGGATAAGTAGGTCCAGCGGCATGACTGACTGCAGATCCAACCCTCAGAAAATCCAGGCGAGTCATGGTGGAGGATGCTACGACCCACCTCTGGTAGCCAGAGGAACTGGAAATACGTCCGCGCGACGTAATCATCGCACGACTCTTCGGCGGCGTTGAGTGGGTATTCGCGGGAGATTGATTTATCTTGAGACGCTGTCCATTGGATGCGCGGTGATGTAGGGAGAGTGAATTGTAGCGACTTGAGAGCCATTCGACGCGTCGTCAAGTTGTCACCGTCAAGTGAGAGGGGGTGGGTCACACGACATGTGAGGTGACAGAACGCTAACGTGACAAATGAGGCTTCCCCTCGAACCGCCACCGTGAAAGCAATGTTGTTTCCGCTCCGCTTCAGCACCGCATTGCTTGATAAACGAACTCATCCGATACGCACACGCAGCCTTCTCAGCTTCTGGGAAGCGACCTCGCTCACTGTCTCCTGATGTCGGAACATCTATCCCGAGTCTTTGAAAGCACTCCGCGTCTATCCCGGTCGACTCTGATGACGTTTGGATGATCAAGACGCCTTAAAACATGATTTCGAGACCTGTGTGCTTCCGTGGTTAAATATGAGCCTACAAGCCCTTAGTAACCAGCATGTCGTCCTCTTGCGCGTCTTTCTCTTTCCCCCCAAGCAGCGACCAGGTCTATTGGATGTCTGTCAAGCACACGCATGTATTGATTCATTCTCAGACGTCTCTCAAAGAGTCTGTGATGGGAGGCTCACCTATCCCGTCGAGCCCGGAAGGAAAGGAAAGTCGTGCATCGAAGCAGCGCTCAGTCTGTGTCTTGACGATCGTTCTAGCTGTGCTTTCAAGTGGAAGACCCTCAGGACCCACGGAACTTCTCAAGTTTGAAGAAATGGAGCATCATTCTACCTCCAATACTCATGGTCATCTTCCTCTGTAATCGGATCTCATTTAACGATGCGTTCGCACCGACTCTGACCCCATCCCCAACAGCCTCATCGGCGTCCAGCTTCGCTCTCGGTCTCCCGAGCATGACGGCTGATCTGGGATGCTCGCAGTTCGAGGCGTATCTCGCGCTGGGAATGTTTCCGCTCGGCTTTGGCGTCGTTCCGTTCTTCGCGTCCCCGCTGAGCGAGAGCTGGGGAAGACGCCCCGTCTTCCTGCTTTCCGGACTCCTTTTGGTCCTCACGCATATCATGGCTGGACTGTGCGTAGCATCATGGTCTTTACTTCAAATCTCTGACCAGCCCGACAGAGCCCGGAATACAGCCACGGTGGTTGTCGCCCGCTTCTTGCAAGGATCCTCCGCTATTCTGGTCAACGTCGTCGGCGGGGCGATTGCCGGTGAGTGCCATAGTAGCGAAGGACCCCCAGCTGTCTCACGAAGGGCTTAGATATGTGGCTTCCGATAGACCGTGGACTGCCCATGGCCGTGTTCTCCGCTACTGCAATGGGCGCGAACGGTGTTGGCCCCATCTTCTCTGGCTGGATAGAACAGAGCCCTTTGCTCGGTTGGCGCTGGATTCAATGGGTTCATCTGATGTAGGTCTTTCACCGTCTTTGTAAATCCACTGATGCAGACCAGCATGCTGCAGCTGCCTGACAGTCTTTGGGGCAGCGATGTTTTTGACCACACGCGAGACACGATCCGCGGTTCTAATTGGACGTAAATCGGAATATGGAGCTCCCGCCGATAGGCAGAGCTTACGACACGCGATTTTGGTATCGTGCACCCGGCCATTCTGTCTGTCGCTCGCTACTTTCCCGCGCAACATAATTTACTCCTGAGGCAGATTTCCTGATCAGGGAACCTGTCGTGACGAGCTTCAGCGTAAGTTTCGCCTATTCCTTTTGCATTGCGTCACATTCGTCGCAGATCTGGATCTCATTTGTCTGGGGAGTTTATTACGGCATTCTTGCATCTCTCCCAGCTATTCTCCGCACTGTGCATGGGTTTTCCGCGAGTTCCGTAGGGCTTGCATACATTGCCATCATGTTCGTCCGCTCCCCTGGTCCTGTCAATGTGACAGCGGCGACTGACCGATCATGCACAGTCTGGGAGCGGCGCTCGGATTCTGCACGAACCTCTGTTTAGAGCGATATCAGTCCACGCGAAGCATCGATCCGACGCCCGAGAGCCGGCTCGCCTATGCATGTGTTTCGGCGGTCGTGTTCCCCCTGGCAATGGTCTTCTTCGCAGTATGTTCGATTCCTTCGGTGCATTGGGCTGCGCTGGAAGTCGCTCTTGTGGTACGTGCGATCTTCGGGACAATTCGATCCAGAACTAATCGTGGTAGCTCTGCGTATGGTCAATATTCGGAGTCTATGGCGCCGTCTTTGCATATTTGACAGACTGGTGAGCACATTTTTATTACGTCTGTTGTTGCCGTTCTCGAACAAGTCTAAAATAGCTATGGCCCATACGCATCATCCGCTTTGGCAACGCAGTCGCTTCTGAGTGAGATACTTTCCGATCTCACAAATCAATCGAGGATCGACCTGCTTCAGGAAACATCGCAGGCGCCGGTTTTCCTCTATTCATTAACAAGATGTTCCAGGCGTGGTCGTTTCGTTCATGCAACCTGTTCTTCGCTGGAATGGCTGTGTTATTGATTCCGATCCCATTCGTGAGTTGCGTTTTCTATCTCCGGTCTATTGACGAGCCTCGCTTTGGCAGATTCTCGTCAGATTCGGACCCAATCTCCGGGCAAAGAGCCCGTTTTCCGATGAAATCATGAATCCGAGAATGGAGAGGTGATACAATGCAGTAATAATGACTTCATGTCCGGCCCGGAACGGACACTTTCACAGTTGGCCGCAGATGTAGGAGATGATACGCACCAGTCCTCCGGCTACTCGTTCAGTAGAGAGACTCTCGTCGACCGGAGGACAATGAATGAAGAGCACCGGGGTCTTGCGACCCGCTCTTTGGGACTCGGCGAGCGAGCAGTAGTAGATGAAGTCGCATAAAAAACGACCCGCGTCATTGGAAGTCACGATCTCCTGCGAAGGAAGTCAGCACAAGCTGAAAGCATGATTAGCACGTGCAAACCACCCACCAACGGATCAGCATCCGTCGTCAAATGCGCCGTGAGGCCATCCACGTCCACCGCCGTCCGCAGCTCGTCCGCGAACTCCACGCCGTACCTCGCCCCGCCGAACCCGCGCCTGCCTAGCCCGATCTCCGGCGCGAACGCACCCTCGTGGTCGGGCGAGCGGTAGCCCGATTTATGCCCCAGGCGCTCGGCGCGCAGGATGCCTGGTCCTGCCACGCCCACGTGCACGATGAGAGAGTAGCCGTCTTCTGGCGGGGCGAGCGATGTCCCCTCTGGGGGGAGATCGGAGGCCGGGAGCACCGGGGGCGCGGCGTGCAGCCCCGGGACGGTGCGCAGGACGGCGGAGTAGACGACCGGCATATAGAGAGAGGTGATGTGGACAAGTTCCGGTTTGCCGCCCTTCGGAGGCTGCCCGCGTGGAGGGGTGGTGTTGATGACGAGGTCGTGGAGCGTCTGCACCGCGAGCCAAGACGGATTGTTCACAATCGTGTGGAAAGGCTGTGAATGGATGCATAGATGGGAGGGAGAGAACGATAAGCGCGTTGGAATGATGAGACCCGTGCACAAACGGACGTACGCCGAAGCCGGTGATGAGAACGCGGTGCTTGATAGAACCATCCGCCATTGCCTTGATTTCAGCGGTTGCGCTTAGAGTGGATAAGGGGGACTGTAGTATCGGGAGACGAGTAAGCTCGCGCTGATATATATACTGTGTGAAGCAGGACAATCGGCCATCGCCGGGGTCAGATGGGATGATGAGATCAGGTTCCGTGTCCGGTCACAAGATCGCGATTTCAACCTTGCCAACTGCGTTCATGTCGGTCTTCACCCTACCCAACGAGCTTCTTCTGCATATCTGCTCTCAATTCCTGCCTCCTCCAGACATCCTGACGCTCCGACAGGTCTGATCGCCCACTCTTAAACCCGCCAGTCGATTGATCTGAACATCGCGGCAGACTTGTCGCAAGTTTGCCAACGTGAGCCGGGACCGAAGCCTCTGGCTGCACTTCCTCCGCGGATTGCGGCGCAGAGGGGATGTACCACTTCCAGAGGCGGCGGATCGCAGTGCCGCCTTCTCAGGAGACCTTGAACGCATCGTCATCGCAGCATCGAGGACGGCGGATACTTGGCAGCTCCCACGCGCCCCGATCCACGTCTTTACTCCTTATCGGGGAGAAACGATTCTCGGCCTCGAGATATTTGAAGATTTGTGGATCCTCATTTTGTACACCAATGGTCTCGTGTATCTGCACAGAACAAACTCGCCGGAGAGCCCGCCGGCGGCAGAGATATTGCTCCCAGCGGACACACGTTGGCGCTCGTATTCCGCACGCATGCGCGACCATACCATATTTTTCGCGATCTCAGACTGGTCAGTTTCATTTTCCTGACCGCGTCCTAATCTTCAACGCTACGTAGGTCCGACTCGTGTGAAACTCGCCTGTATGCGATTGACACGCGAGCTCCCGGGGTTGACCGAGGTTTTGAGCTGATTGACAAGTTCTTTACGGCGGAGAGGACGGTCTGCGCGCTTGACCTGATCAGAGAACTGCTTTTCATGAACACGGCTGACGAAGTCCTGGATATCATCCAGTGGAGGCAAAATCCGAGTACTGTGACACAGTTATCAGTGGAGAACGAGGTGGATGAGTTTGTGCGATCTCCCCTATCGATGCAATTCTTCTGGCTGAATTTGACCAGTATAATGGTGTGTTGGCACTACGGTGCTTCACAAATGGCTTTCTCCTCGTTCGGATGCACACGATCGAGCTGCGGAAAACAAAGCCATCATCCTTCGAACGAGACGGTGATGCCATCACACACCACCTTCCGCACTCTCTGCGGGAGAAAAACATATCGATGTCCGAAACCCAACTCGACGCAAAGACCAGCACCGCTCGAATCCATCTTCTGGTGCACGACTCTCACGACCTGAACTACTACACGATCACCGTGGGCACGGCGGACGGCGGAGCGTTTTCTCTGGAGGTGGCGCACACGCGGACGACCCAGCCGGCGCAGACACAGGTCCCCCATTACCAGCGCCCGTTTGTGAGTACCCATGCGCTCGGCGCGCAGGGGATCCGCGCGGTGTGGATCGAGCGCGAGAGCCTGCGGATGAGCCGGTGTGTGCGTCTGTGCGCTATCGCGAACACCCGCGCCCGCGAGGACATGCAGATGGAAAGCGCCGCCACCGTGTTCGAATCGTCCTCGTACGATTTACGAGGTGCGGTTGATTCTATTTTTTTTTTATCTCGTTTCCAGTCTGATATCGTGATCTCGATAGACGATTGGACGCACTGTGCGATCGGGGAGATGAACGGGGTCGTGGTGCTGGGTAATAGAGCCGGACAGGTTTTTGTGCTACCAATTGGCTGTGGCAGGGTGAGACAGGTGAAAACCAAGCTTGACAGGCATTCGAGTACCATCGAGATTCTCAAACATTGATCAAGGGTTGTGGAGAAACGATCGCCGGGTCACACCGAGCAGCAGATGCTCATGAGACACGTGCCGTGTGATTGTGAGTGAGAGGATAGAGTGTTTCTGAATTGCCGATTCGAGTGCTTTGCTGACTTTCTGTTTCGCAAAGCCGAGGATTTGCAAGATTAGATTTGAAGCCGGGCCGTTTTCTTCGCCGCTTTCGCAACACCGCTCTTGATATTACCAATGGCATAAGTTGAACCTCAGCATTTGCGCGAGATCATCCATGCCAAACAGTGAGATAGTCTACGCCCAAGGACCAGACAAAGATTTTGTGTCAGATTCCAATCAGTTTGGCCTTCCACCTGGGTTGCTCTGAACTTGTAATACATACATAATATGGAACACTAATGTTCGCATCGGTTCCGTGGAGTAGGAAAAACCATTGCTTGATCATCGACGTCGTCATGCGGACTTGGTGAGCAGTGCGCTCTCGATTATATTCGGCATCCTAATCTTGTCTTGAACCAGACACGCGAAATTATTTAAGGCGCCAGAAAGCATGACCCTCCTCAACTCATCCGGCACACTACTATGAAGCTCATCATCACAGGCGCGACGGGCTACGTCGGAACAGAGACCGTGTCTCAAGCTTGCAAGGATCCCAGAATAACTTCAGTGGTCGCTGTCTCGCGTAAACCGATTCCAGCTCCCGAAGGCACGCCTGCAGGCAAATTCAAGAGCGTCGTCGTCAGCGACTACGACCAGTATCCCGACGAGGTGAAGAGGGAGTTTGCGGGCGCCGCTGCGTGTATCTGGTGCGTGAATCGCTCATGGATAAATCCCCATTGTCAATTGGAATCAGGACGGTGGGCATCACGCCGCCCTAGTCGGTGGAAGTTGGCCCAGCAGAAGCCAAGCGCATTTCCCGCATATCGACGCTCGTCGGCATCCAAGCGCTCGCAGATTCGTCTCCTGCCAAGCCGTTCCGATTCTGCTATATGAGCGGGTCCGGAGCCATCCGAGACCAAACCGCGAAGGTTGAAGGAGAATTTGCGGAGTTTTATCTGATGCGCGTGAGCTTCCGGACGCACTCCACTTGTCGGATATGAGTATCACTCACCGATGGCGCAGGGTGATGTGGAAAATGCCGTCTTTGATTTGGCGGGCGAGCTTGACGGATTCGAGGCGTGTGCGGTGAGACCGGGAGTGATCACCGAGCGTGCTAAGATAGAAGACTCGCGCGACTTCGCGAACAAGAACGGCTGGCCCATTATCGCCACGGAGGATTGCGTCGCGTTGATGCTGCATCTGGTCGTCAACGGTTTCGAGAAGGATATACTGTCGAATGACGAGATGGTGGCTGCTGCAAAGCAAATCTAGGTAACCTACTGTACAACGCACCTTCCTTTGAGCATCTAGCACCGCACGCCCCAAACAATTTTGTAGCCTTGACCGAAATACTTTCATTGCCATTGATGATGCAAATCTTGGATCTGTGACTTACCCGCTGAGAGATGTTCTTGAGATTCATCACTCACCAGGGCTTATGGTGGAGTCCCCATGGTCTGATCTTACGCGGGTCGGGCATCAATGCATCGACGTCTAACCCCTTTGGGTAATCGCATCACTCCTTTTGTCGCCTTCCATCAGCTTGTTACGCTCTCATTGGCTCCTGACGCCTATCTCCGAGATAATCTTACTTCTAGGACTGAAATTTGAGCCATTCTAATCATAGGACCTGAAGTAAGCCTAGGCACGGCATCCTTGAAGCTATTTTCCTCGAGAGACGCGCGGAAGGTCGACTGTTAAGTACAGGTTGGGGGCGAGGCATTCACATCTTCACTCCTTATTGGGGAGAAACGGTTCTTGGCCTCGAGATGTTTGAAGATTTGTGGATCCTCATTTTGTACACCAATGGGCTGGTGTACCTGCACAGAACAGACTCGCGGAGAGCCCGCCGGTGGCGGGAACAAATTCGTGAGATCCCGGTGTGACTGAAAGAGTGAGGATGATTTACACGCTTTGGGTGTCCGACTAGGATTCTCGAACAATGATGAACGACCGCGGCGGCCGGATGGATTAGAAACGAGTATCCTCGAAGGCACGTCTAGGCACGTCCGATGATGAGGAATACATTCCTGCGCTGATACACAGCGAGCAATGAATTGCTCTCCAATTATCGAAGTCCTTGGTGGCATTTTGTCTAGCGAAGTCCAGGATTTTCAACAATAGATTTGAAGTCTGTTTGTCATTGTGCACCAACGGGTGCTTGGTGGGATTCTTGAATCAGCACAATGATTACTGCTATCGAACTAGTAGTAGTGTCTTGGCGGTGGGCCTTGTCGCGGAATTCTTAAAACATAAGACAATTTTTGGCCCTCTGTCTGAAGCAAGGACTGAGCTTGTTACTCACCGTGGAACATGAATTCTTGGTTCGCTTCCGAGCTTTGATTGACAGGATGTGATCAACCTTGGTCATGCCCACCTTGTGAACAAGGCTCCAGTGACGAACACCCGGCATCCCACTGGAGGGTATTTAAAGCGGCCTCAGCAAAGGCGACCCCAACCCATCTGACAGCACAACCATGAAGCTCATCATCACAGGCGCGACGGGCTACGTCGGCAAAGAGACTGTGTCTCAAGCGTGCAAGCATCCGGGAATCACCACGGTTGTCGCGGTCTCCCGAGCGCCGATTGCGGCTCCCGAAGGCACACCGGCGGGCAAGTTCAAGAGCGTCATCGTGAGCGATTACGACCAGTATCCCGACGAGGTGAAGAAGGAGTTCGCCGGCGCCGGCGCGTGCATCTGGTGCGTCACTTCATCCTTGATCGATGAACGAACCGCCGCTGATGTCTCGAATCAGGACAGTGGGCATCACACCCCCGAGATCCATCGTCGTTGGCCCGGAGGAGGCGAAGCGCATCTCCCGCACATCGACGCTCGTCGGCATGCAAGCGCTCGCAGACGCGTCCCCCGCCAACCCGTTCCGATTCCTCTACATGAGCGGGTCCGCGGCCGTCCGGGACCAGACCGCGAAGGTCGACGGGGAGTTCGCGGACTTCTTCCTCATGCGTGTGAGCTTCCCCCTCCGGCCGCACGCGACTGCGCGGCAATCCGCATGACTGACTGACCCACACGTTGCCCAGGGCGACGTCGAGAATGCGGTCTTCGATTTGGCGGGCACGCTCGCTGGCTTCGAGGTGTGTGTGGTGCGGCCGGGGATGATCGTTGAGCGCGTCAAGGTTGAGGAGTCGCGCGAATTCGCGACGAAGAATGGCTGGCCGATTATCGCCGTGGAGGATTGTGTTGGATCGATGCTGCATCTCGTCATCAACGGATTCGAGCAGGAGTCGGTGTCGAATGACGAGATGGTGGCGGTTGCAGAGCGAATCTAGGTGGTCTACTTGCTCCTGTCTCCCTTTAAGCATCCCGTAATGCATGCCCAACCAACTTGGTTGGTCTGAGCGAGATATTTCAATTCTATTGAATATGTAGATCTCTGCTCTGTGTCCACAAGCTATACTTAAAATATTGCTGAGACACATGTCCAATCTCATCTCCTGATCGACGGCCTGATCTTTAGCCGACCAGACAATCAAGGCATCAGATTCAACCCCTTTGGGCAGATGCATTACTCGTTTTGTCACCTTACATAACCGATTTGCACCTAATCAACGGATGAACGGGTGAACGGGTGAATGACCTGAGAATCGAGCAGCCCTAATATGCCTTGTGTGATATGTTTATGGGTGATATCGGCAGAGCATAAATTGATGTTCGAGAATTCAACTCAAATAGCCACACTGGCTACCAATAAATGCCTTTTTCTCATTGCTCTGGGATGCATTAAAAGGCTGAGAATATGCCTTTTGTAACATTACATGAGGTTCTATTGAATTCAAAAGCTCCTCAGAGGACCCTCAAGGACTGGTAATTTGCACGGGGCCCCTCTATTTTATAAAGTGTTGGGAAATACGTTGAGTAAAACTTGAATGAACCAAGTGCGCAACATGTGCCCGGCTTGCGCGTGCCGCCATCAGCCGAGTTACATGCCGTGGAACGTGATCGGGTGAATAGGACTCAGCACGAAGAACCGTGAACTTATTACATAAAGTAGAACATGGATTTTTGCGTCGCTTGCGAGCGTTGATTGACAAAATGTAATCGACTCGGTCATGGCCACGGTGAGCCGGGCTCAAGTGACGAATACTCGGCATCCCTGCAGGGTATATAAGACCGCCTCAGTCGAGAGGTGACCATCGAATCACCCAGCACAACCATGAAACTCATCATCACAGGCGCAACTGGCTACGTCGGAAAAGAGATCGTGTCTCAAGCTTGCAAGCATCCGGGATTTACGAAAGTAGTCGCAGTCTCCCGCAAACTGATCCCCCCTCCCGATGGCACGCCGGCGGGCAAGTTCCAGAGCGTCGTCGTCAGCGACTACGACCAGTACACAGACGAGGCCAAGAAGGAGCTCGGCGGCGCCGGCGCGTGTATCTGGTGCGTGCATCGCTGCTTCTGGAAGAATTCCCCGGGCCGCTGACACGCTAAATTAGGACGGTGGGGATCATACCCACGAAATACATCGAAGTCGGCCCGGAAGAAGCGAAGCGCATCTCCCGCACATCGACGCTCGTCGGCATGCAAGCGCTCGCGGACGCGTCCCCCTCCAACCCGTTCCGGTTCCTCTACATGAGCGGGTCCGGGGCCGTCCGGGACCAAACCATCAAAGTCGAAGGCGAATTCGCAGACTTCTTTCTCATGCGCGTGAGCTGCCTCCAGACGCTCGACTCACCGGCAATTATTCTGACTCGTACCTTGCGCAGGGCGACGTCGAGAACGCGGTCTTCGATTTGGCGGGCAAAGTCGCTGGATTTGAGGCGTGTGCGGTGAGACCGGGATTGATCACCGAACGCGCCAAGGTAGAAGAGTCGCGGGAGCTCGCGATCAAGAACGGCTGGGAGATTATCGCCGTAGAGGATTGTGCGGCGTCGATGCTGCATCTCGTCATCAACGGATTCGAGAAGGACTTGTTGTCAAATGACGAGATGGCGGCTATTGCGGAGCAGATCTAGGTGGCTTTGCCTGCTCCTTCCTCTGAGCAACAATTACCGCATGCCCCAAACAATTTCATGACCTAGCAAGACATTCTGATATTCATCAATTACGCAGACCTAGACTCGAACACTCAAAGAACATGGAATTTTGCTGATTTTCCCCACTCGTTAGTCTCATGAACTGACCTTACCGGTTTCATCTTGCGCGGAGGAGACATCAAGGCATCAACCTCCAACCCCTTTGGGCAAGTATATTACTCGTTTTGTCACCTTACATCAGCCCGTGGCATTTCATTAGCTCACTCCTACCATCCCTATAAACTCGCAGATCGTGGAATCTCTACAACTTGCGCGAAAATTTGGAAAACATCAAGATAATGAGGGCTCGTATAGGCTTCCTGACACCTGCTACCGAGTTATTCTCACTTTCGGTGGCGGTATTCAGGCAATCTTTGTCATGGGACCCGAAGCAAGTGAGATCACGATATCTCTGCAGGCTGCCTCGGATAAGTACGCAAAAATTTGGCCAGTATAGATTGGGGTACACGGGAAGTTCCCGGAATGAGAGAGCACGACTGACACGATACGTCTCCGAGCAAATCCAACCTAATTTACCAGGAGTGGGGTCGGGCCGCAGAGAGATCGCCGCCGGTTTAGTTGGAGAAGTTTCGAGATCGGCAAACAGCCGGCGTTAGGCACATGCTGTGTGATTCTCAGAATTTGAAACACAATCCGACACGGGTGGGGCACTGCGTCACGAGCTGCTTCCCACTTACCAAGCAGAGAGTCTCGGTGGCTTCTTTCCTTGCGAAGTCCATGATTCGTAAGACCAGATTTGTAGACGGCCCGTTTTCCTCAGCTGGTTTCGCAGAGTTGTGGCAAAACGGAACGTTCCCGTTTGATGGGTACCGATTAGACAGGTGCCAAGAGCAGTCAGCACAGCCATCGATTTCGTCTCCATTTCTCCATGCCGCGGAGGGAAAACGCGCCATTTATGGGCATCTAGAAGCAGTCGCGCTAGGTTATTTAAGCGCCAGTGGACATAGCTTGTAAATCATCCAACACACACACACCATGAAGCTCATTATTACCGGCGCGACTGGCTACGTGGGCAAAGAGACCGTGTCTCAAGCGTGCAAGCACTCCGGAATCAGCACCGTGGTTGCTGTCACGCGCAAACCGATCGCAGCTCCCGAAGGCACGCCTGCGGGCAAGTTCAAGAACGTCGTCGTGAGCGACTACGACCAATACACAGACGAGGCCAAGAAGGAGTTCGCCGGGGCAAATGGATGTATTTGGTGCATCACAGCATCGCTGATCGACTAGACGAATCGCCACTGACCAGACAAAACAGGACGGTCGGGATCACGCCTCCCAAATACCTCGAAGTAGGCGCGGCAGAGGCCAAGCGCATCTCGCACACATCTACGATCGTCGGGCTGCAAGCGATCGCGGATTCAGCCCCGTCGAGGCCGTTCCGATTCTGCTACATGAGCGGGGGAATGTCCGTTCGGGACCAGACCGCCACGGTCGAAGGAGAATTCGGCGAATTCTCGCTCATGCGCGTGAGCTCTTGTCCACCGTCGACGTGGGAATCACCATTCGCTCATATAGCGCACAGGGCGATGTCGAGAACGCCATTCTTGTATTCGCAGCCGGGCATGCAGGCTTCGAGGCGTGCTCGGTGAAACCGGCATGGATCGTCGAGCGCGCGAAGGTGGCAGAGTCGCTGGAGTCCGCGCAGGAGAAGGGCTGGGAGATGATCGTGCTCGAGGATTGCGCCAGCGCGATGCTGCATGTCGCGATGAATGGGTTCGAGAAGGAACCGTTGTCGAACGATGACCTGATAGATATTGCCAAGCGCATTCAGGCGGTGTAAGAGTCGTCCATGCTGTGAGTAGTCAGTCTCTGGAATTGTACGACGCAAAATGTTCAGAGAATGGGTGGCTACATCGCCGCCGACAATGCAGCAGTTTTAGTGTGTGTCGAGCGGCATTATTTGGTTGGTTTCGGATACTTCTATCGAGCACAGGGTGTGTGAAGTTGGGGTTAGATCCCAAAATGCGGCTTCTAGTCACCTCGATAAAGATACAGTCCATTAGCGATAGAGTTCACCCTATATAAGGTCCAGCTGTTCTCATTATGACACGGAGAAAAACATGCTCTTGTCAGGACGGATTCGATTGAGTTGCCGCGATCAAGGCCGGGATCGTGCTCAGTCATGGGCTTGGTCAAGCGATATGACTCCTGAGAGTTTTACCGAGAGGCTGTCATGATCACAAACCGGACATCAACCCTCTTATGGCTACTACTTACATTACTTGTTTCGTTAGCTTAACACCCAACCGTTTTTCTCTGATCATACCTGACCGAGATCTTTTCAACCTTCCGCTCGTCTGAGATTTGAATCGATTGACTGGTCCGAAACAGTAGTCACTTATCGAAAACCAATTGTTGACCTCGGGTATTCAAGCCATCTTCACAAGCTGCTTCAGTCAAATTCAGGTTCCAAATAGTCCAGGTACCTGTAAAACTCAGGGACTAGTACTATTCGTAGAAATTGAATCTCTTCTCCAAAGCTATCGCTTTTTGTAATGGTTAACCAAACAAATGCCACAGCGCCCTGAGAGAAAAAAAAAACTGCTGTAGAACAGTTTCATCTCTACAATTTAACATGAATGAGCGTGATGCTGGGTGCTATTTTCAAGGCTGGCTAATGCAAATTGGGCCACTTGTGACATAGATATGATGCCATCCATCCATCCTAAGAGTGGAGTGATCAGAAGCCAATTGACAGCTGATTGAAAAACGATAGACAGAGCCAGAAAACGACGATGTGATCGCGGAAACTGCCGTAGCACAGCATTTTTCCTAATTCGGTAAAGTTTCACTCCACTACTCCACGTCGACACGTCGACTCGTTGCACATTTGGGGGATCGATGCCGGGGAGTTCTGTGATGGTAAATGTCGTCTATTGCCACGGCGCATGGTAGTGTGTGTGTAAGGTGCAGTATTCTGAGTCTCGACACATGGGTGGAGCGGTGGAGCGAAACTTTACCAAATTAGAAAAAATGCTGTGCTACGGCAGTTTCCGCGATCACATCGTCGTTTTCTGGCTCTGTCTATCGTTTTTCAATCAGCTGGAATCACGCTGATTGCCTTGCTTGTCAAGGCTTCTCCACCCTCATAATTCGTTTGATCCGGTTGCACGCGGTTTGATCCGATGTTCCGTATCATTCCGCATGTATTTGTGCAGTCTCTCGTTTGACCCTCATTCCATCGTTTATGCTTTGTTCCTTCACGTGTATGTATCGTCACGAAGGCTATACGTGCTGCGGTGGCAGAGGGGTTAGAGTCTGACGCCGAGACAGGTTATGACTTTGGATTGTGGCCAACGAAACACGAAGCGGCGTGAGCCGCCCTCGAGGAGATCGAGACCACCGGGAAATTGGTCATCAATAGACTGCCTGCGTACACGTTTGATGGGCAATTGATGGAGCCAGAAGAGTACATGAGCCTGTTGCCGGGTGCCACCGTTGCGCTGACGTTTGAATTGACGCACTGGGCGTTCAAAGAACACAAGCGCGACCACTTCACAGCGAACATCGTCAAAATACGTGTCATTGAAGAACGACGCCAGCTCGCTGTGTCTCCGAAAAAGCGCCGCTGGGCTGTGAAAGTCGACTTGGGTTCCAGCCCTGCCAAGAAGACCCGCTCAAAATGAGGGGTTGCATACAAATCATTGTAATTGTATCGTTTCTATTGTAACTTGTGACTGCTATTGAGTTGGTGCTTGTAAAAAAAAAATGCAAGAGCAAGCAAGGCTTCTGCCGGCGGAGGCGGCGCTCTAGTGGAAATATGTTGCTCAAGGACCATTGAAGTTCGAGCCGTCGAGCAGAAGCCCCTGATCGAAAGTTGTGATGGCGAATGTCATTCCTGGTATGCATCCATTCAGACACATGCCAAAGTGCGCTAGTGCAGGCTTAGTCATCTAATCACCTTCCTTACTCATCCATTGGCCTTGTTGGTTTTGTGACCCCCATGCCACGCTCAGGATTCGCCAGGCTTGATTGGAAGACGAGCCGTTTAACCGTAGCTGCTCTGGCTTACTAATGGGGATGTTGGAGCTCTCGTGGATTCATGGGGGACACTGGGGGTGCAGCTTTCACCAGCCATCAATTTCGCGTCAATCTAACCGGATAAGCAAGCATACAGGGCGACGCTGACTGAGGTTCAGTTCACATCGGCATCTCGAAGGGGGCGTCCCACTCTAAGTTATTTAAGCGCTAGGTGAATGGCAGAGCTGGCAACTCATCCTGCACATTACCACTATGAAGCTCATCATCGTCGGCGCGACTGGTTTCGTTGGCAAAGAGATTCTGTCTCAAGCATCGAAGCATCCGAAGATCACCAGCATAGTCACAGTCTCGCGCAGCGCGATCGCAGCTCCCGAAGGCGTGGCGGCGGGCAAGTTCGAGAGCGTCGTCGTGAGTGACTACGACCAGTACACCGAAGAGGCGAAGAAAGCGTTTGCCGGGGCCGACGGATGCATCTGGTGCGTCATTACAATCGCTGATCGATGAACGAATCGCCGCTGACGACTCTACTCAGGACGGTGGGCCTCACGCCTCCCAAGTACATGGCACTCGGTCCGGAGGAGGGCAAGCGCGTGTCTTACACAGCGACGCTAGCTGGGTTGCAGGCGATCGCAGACTCGTCCCCCGCCAAGCCGTTCCGGTTCTGCTACATGAGCGGCGACGCGGCCGTCCGCGACCAAAGTGCCAAGCTTGAAGGCGAGCTCGCTGGGTTCCGCCTCATGCGCGTGAGTCTCCCGCCGTTATCGATTTGCGCGTATCGGTATTGATGGCCTTACTTGCGCGTTTAGGGCGACGTCGAGAATGCCGTCCTCGCATTTGCGGCTAAGCACGCAGGCTTCGAGGCGGCCTCAGTTCGACCGGGACTGATCACTGAGCGCGCGAAACTCGAGGCGTCGCGCGAGTTTGCGAAGGGCCATGGCTGGCCGACTATTGTTCTCGAGGACTGCGTCAGCGCGATGTTGCACATGGTCGTCAATGGATTTGAGAAGGATCCGGTGTCGAATGACGAACTGACGACTCTTGCGGGACGAATCTAGGCGGTGGTGTACAAGCTCGCATTTGTAATACAAAGACACAAACAATTCTATGATTTGAGCTTGAACACACTTTTGCAATGAGCTGCCCAGGTCAGATCTTGGATGTCGGTGACAAATATCCTGGACGAATACAGTTTCGGAAAATCCTTGATCGTGTTGCTAGACCATCTATAAAGTCGATCCTGGCAAAAGCTACAACGATAAGAGAAGCTATCTGACAAAGCGGCTGGAAAGGATGCACAGACTAACAACAAAGACCGCAGCGCTTCTGAATCATACGACGCGAAGAGAGCGTTGTTTCGCTGCGAGAGGCAATCTGGCCGATGACTAGCCTTCACTACCGATTTTGGACTCAAGATCACGCCAAAGCTAACGCGGATGGTGTGATTACTTGAGAGTGCATATATTTTATGTCACTCATATGGATAGCCTATCATCCTACGGCCATTGCACTTTGTCGAGTCCGACGGAAAATTTTGTAGAAGGAAAATTGCACGCAAATCACTTCCTGAATCAGCGTTAACAAGCTCAGAATCAACGTGACCGCGTTCTGACACAATGGAATTCCAGACTTCACATACCGGCTTGCGTAAGTGGCTTGCCCCGCATGTCGGAGTTTGAATTTGGCTGATCGGGCTTGGCTTGCATGGCTTGGGCGTGGGCTTGGCTTGTGCATCACTTTCCCTGTCGGAAATGTCATGCTGGTGCTTCGGCTTGTTTCCGCCGCTGCAGCTCACTTCGCATCCTGGCGCTCAATCAAAGTCAACGTCACTGGTGCCAGTGCTCAACGACTGTCTCCTCAATCTCTTACACCACCCACTGCGGTGCTGTCGATCAAGTCGGGGCTGACGCGCTACATCTCCCTTTGTCATCGCGCATGCGCTGTAGTACGTAGTCATCAACTAGACCCTCTTTTTCCTCCCGCAGTCACTCGAGCCTTCTTTTGAGGCGGCGCTGGCGTCTTGCTGGCCGGCACGGCAGCCCTCTTGCGCTGCTGCCGCTGTGGTCGATTCTGAGCTGAGGGATTCTCATCTTGTGAATCCTCGCCGCGTGAGCGCTTGCGGACGCTGGCCACAGTCACAACCTTCTTGCGCGGCTTCGGCTTCGGCCGCTCCGGCGGTGCGGGCTCCTGTTCCTCCCAGCTCCGCAGGTGCTCTGGAATCACTGTCAGGATTGCATCGAGCGGCGCGGCACCCAAACTGTGCTTACTCTGAGCACCCATCGTATCGAAGCTAACTATCCTCTTCCAATGCGGCTTTCCCCGAATCCATTTCCAACTCCGAGTCGCTCGAGTCCGAATCAGCTTCATCTGCTCCAGATAGAGTGGCGATCGCTCGCGGTGGGGAAGGCGATTTGTCCGTACTACTCGGCAGGTGTTTAACAATGTGAGTTGGCGACGCCTGTATGCTCTTGAACGATAAACAATTGAATTTTGTTCAACAAAATCACTGACGCAAAAACTTGAACACAGTGTTGCGCACCGCTGCCGTGAATAATTCAGCGGCGGAAACATTCTCTGACTTGATCTCAGCAAAAAAGCCCACCGGCTTACGGTCCCATAATACCGTAGCAACCCAAGTTGAGACCAGGATCTTCAAAACTGATCATTCACAAACTGTATGGCAAACTGTAGCTCATCCATGCTGCAATAAGCCTTACGTATCTTAAGCGACGCCCCGAAACACTTGTAGAGCCGCGAAAAGTGCTAGAGTGTAGAAATATTCATATTTTATTTGGCCGGACACAAGCCTGATGGCATCACTCACAGGCCAAATCCCATCACAAGCCAAAAAGAGCCACTTGGCGCGGGCACAAGCCACTCACACCGAGGGATTGCGAATATCACGGCCCATAAAGAATCAATTATATTCTATATATTGGGGCATAAAAAATGAAGGGATCTGATATGTGACATATTGAGCACCCGGATCATACCCGGCACCCGATATCCGTGGTATCAGGTCGTTTTTGCGCTGATATGTGACATATCGGGTCAGCTTCTTTTTGGGGTCACGATATATGGAATATAATTTATTCTTTATGGGCCGTGTTATGTGTGATCCCCCGGTGTGACTTCGGCAAGCCAAAAATGTCGGTGTCATGGAATTCTGACCGGATCACATCCGTGCTGTCAGCTTGAACACGGCGTGGGGTCATCGCGAATTCGTCAGGTCCGGTCTGCTTCCGCCGTTCATCCAAGATAAAATCGACACCTACTGAACGATTATGTCCAAGCCACTAGGACCAGCTGTTCACCTCGCCTACATCTATACACCATGAAACTCATCGTCACCGGCGCAACCGGATTCGTCGCCACCGAGCTGCTGCGCCAGGCGGCCAAGCACGCCGCGATCACCAGCGTGGTCACGGTTTCGCGATCTCCAGTCAGTATTCCGGAGGGCGCATCCACGGACAAGTTCACGAGCGTGATCGTGCGCGACTACGACCAGTACACCGAGGAGGCGAAGCGCGCGTTCGCCGGCGCCGACGCGTGCATCTGGTGCGTGCATCGCGGCAGGCGCGTGCAAAATGGACCTCAGATGGAAACGCACACAGGACGGTGGGGCTCACCTCGCGCAGGTACGCCGAAATGGACCACGCGGAGGCCACGCGCATCTGCCACACGGCCACGCGCGTGGGGCTGCAGACGATCGCGGCGGCGGCCCCTGCGACGCCCTTCCAGTTCCTCTACATGAGCGGGGGCTCGGCCGTCCGGGACCAAAGCACGAAGCTGGAAGGACCCCTTGCCCGTTTTTACCTCATGCGCGTGAGCATGCTTCCTAGCGCGTTTTCTTTACCACTCACACTCAAATAAATGCGTAGGGCGACGTCGAGAATCTCGTACTTGCCTTCGCTACGGAGCACGAAGGCTTCAAGGCGGGCTCGGTGAGGCCGGGACTGATGAAGATGCGCGCCCAGTTGCCGGAGATACTGCCCATGGCGGAGAAGAATGGATTGCCGACTATCGCCCTCGAGGACTGCTGCAGCGCGATGCTGGACGTGGTTATCAATGGATTCGAGAAGGAACCGCTGAACAACGACGATATTCAAGCTATCGCGGACCGGGTTGCCGCCGCGTGAACCGAAATGTAACCTTGTACTTGACCTGTAATCTGCTCAATCGAATCAAATCAAATCACAATGCACCTCAGTTGCTACCACCATCACGCGGTGCGGAGCCCGTGGGGTCGCGGGGGTAGCTGGCCATTCTGGGGCAGGCAAATGCGCAGGGGATGGGGAAAGTATATATCATGTGACTTATCCTCAAGAACGGTGGAAAAATAGGGTCACGTGAGGCCCTAAATGGGCTGGATGGCGGATGCACTGCAAGGGGACTTGATTCTTTTCTGCGGAAAATATGGGACTTTCCAGAAGTCTGATTCGCACTGTTCTGTTTTCAGACGACAAAAAGACATTGAAAATAGATATCAATTTACACAACGGTTTGTACAGTGCAACTGGTCACCTTTGTTAGCCGAGTTGGCTGTGACAAGCTTCCAAATTTGGAAAGCTTTCTACATTTTCCCAGAATGACTTGAGGCATTGTTTTATGCATTTCTAGGCTCATTTAGATGTCCTCTATCCATCTTGTGAAGCATGAAGCTCTGCATCAAAGTTGACCATTTCGGGGCCTGGTGTCAGGGGAACCCCCGTTTCGGACCGCTCTGCCTTCGATCAGGCATGCGATTGCGCTCGCATGACCTGTCAGCTGTCACGCGCCGCGGCCCGGACTGCCGCGCCGAGCGCTTCTCCTTGATGGGCACATGGCCAGGTGCCCCATTGTTCCTATTGTCCCCGCTCCCATTGTTCTGTCATGGCCGTTGTACTTATTGTCCCCATTGTTCTTTGTTTGTCGCTGCGTGCTCCATTGTTCTTGTATCATATAAATAGTGGCGCCTGGCAAGGAGAATCCCCAACACGGTTTCTCTTTGGATTCTCCCTTGCCAGGTATGCCGGTCTTGTACCTAGCTACCACTATTAATCACCTTTGGATTCTCCCTTGCCAGAACTCTGAGATCGGGTCTCGAGGTTGCCCTTACAGCAGAAACCGTGTTCCTAGGGATAACCGGACAAGATTGCGAGGTTCGACGCTGACGCCAGTGGAGAAGAGTCGACGAGCGACCAAGACCACCACTCCCTCACCTCCTATCTTGCCCCCTCCTCCCCTCCACGAGCAGACCCGATGAGCATGGATGACAACGAACAGCAGCGGCTGTCTGCTCTGGAGACCAGCATACAGAACATCGAGGCCGTACTCACCCGCCTCATCTCTCAACAACAACAACCCCCTGCCCCTGCCCCTGCTCCAGCTCCGGCAGCGGGTCCAGGTGTTTCTACTGGCGCCAGCCCTGCGCGCCCCCTTATCCGTCCGAATCCTCCCTTCTCCTTCGATGGGGATCGCACCCTGGGCAAGAGCTTCTTGCATTCAGTGAAGCAGTACTGGCGTCTGCTTCCTGAGGCGTTCTTCGTGAATGGGGCAGTCTCGGAAGAAAAGGTAGTCCGCTTCGCCCTGTCCTACATGTCCAAGGACTCCGCGGCCTCCTGGTCCGAGCGCATGTCCGAGCGCACCCCATTCCCGTTCCCTACTTGGGCTCTCTTCGTCACCGAGTTCAAGCTTCGATTCGTCGAGGAGAACGAGCAAGACCACGCCCTGGCGCGACTGGAGACCCATCTGTACTATATGGGCTCCCGTGATGTGTTCAAGTACACGGACGAATACGACGACCTCCTTGATCTCGCCGGCTATACCGATGATCTGGTCAAGGTGACCAAATATAGGACGGGCCTGGATCCGAAGATCAACCAGGCTATCACCACCTCTGGCAACCCTCCCAGGCTTACTGACTACGCCGAGTGGCGTGTCCGTGCGTTCCGGCAGTACAATGCGGAACAAGCTGCCAAGGCGTCTCGAGGCCACGTCCCTCCCCCCCGAGCGCCTCCTATCGTCCCTCGTCCTCGTGCCCCGGTGCTCCCTGCTGTAGCGCCGGCAATTGCTGCTCGCCCGGCACCGGCTCCTGTTGCCCACCCCATCCCCATGGAGTTGGATCGGACTCGGCTCCGCGGTGACGTTCGCCGCACATGCTTCCGCTGCGGCAGTCCGGGCCATCTTGCCCGTGACTGCCCCACCCCAGCTGACATACGTCACGCTGATGTCCTTGATGAGGTCATCAATCAGCTGGGGAGTGATCTGCTTTCCGAGTTGGTTGCTCGGGTCGCGACCACTGCAGCCGTTGCGGATCATGCGTCCAACGTCGCAGCCGAGGAGGAGCAGGGTTTTCTCCCCAGCGACGAGTGAGTAGTACGCCCTCGTTCACTTCACGTAATCGTTTCTCCTGTTTGTATGATGAATTCAATTCCCTCCACTCTGCAACAGTCAAAGCGATAGACGTACACCCTGCTCCCCCTCTAAACCCACGAGTCCGTAAGGAGAAGTGGGAACGCAAGCTCCCTTCCTGCTACGTCGCTGCCGCCTCTCCCGGGGCCAATTCTCTCCACCTCCCCCTCGAGATCGAGTCCACCGACAACGCAGTGAAGTTATCTCTCAAAGGCCTGGTCGATTGTGGTGCCACATCCGACTTCATCGACTCGGCCTACGTCCTGGAAAATCACCTCCCCGTTTGTCGCCTCACCCAGCCTATCCCTGTTTACAACGTGGACGGCACGCCAAACGAGGCCGGTTCCATTCGCGAAGTTGCTGATGTGGTTCTCCGTTACCAGGGCCACAGTGAACGCGTGCAGCTTGCTGTCACCCGTTTAGGCAAGCAGCAGCTCATTCTAGGGTACTCCTGGCTCCGGAAGCACAACCCGGAGATCAACTGGGATACCCAGGAGGTAAAGATGAGCCGTTGCCCTTCCGGTTGCTCCACCTGCCGGGAGGAACTTCGCGAAGAACGTCGATCTGCCAGAACTGCGGCCTGGGTGCTTCGCACCATCAGACAAGGTCCGGTTCCATCCATCTGCGCTGTCGACGTTGAGGACCACGAGGACGAAGAGATGCCGGAGCTTTCGCCAGACTCGGACGATTACGACCCTGAAGATGTCAAAGAAGATGACGACTCCTTGGAAGCCGGTGACCGTATCTTTTACACCCGCTTCAACCCTTCTGAAAACATCCGAGCCACCAGCACTGTCTCTCAGCGACTCGCCGAGGCGTTTGCCAAGAATTCTGCACCTCCTCGGGATTCCATCCCCGAGTGGGCCCGCGAGTTCGAGGATGTTTTCAGCAAGGAGTCCTTCGACAACCTGCCAGAGCGACGCCCCTGGGATCACGCCATTGAACTGGTTCCCGACGCGAAGCCGACCAACTGTAAGGTCTACCCCATCTCCCCTCTCGAACAGAAGCAGCTCGACAGCTTCATCGAGGAGGGCATGGCTACTGGCAGGATTCGGCCGTCAAAATCGCCCATGGCATCTCCCGTCTTCTTCGTGAAGAAGAAAGACGGCAGCTTACGGTTTGTCCAAGATTACCGAGCACTAAACGCGATGACAGTGAAGAACCGCTACCCGCTTCCCCTGATCAATGATCTCATCAACAAGCTCAAGGGAGCTCGGTTCTTCACCAAACTCGACGTTCGCTGGGGCTTCAACAACGTACGCATTCGTCAAGGCGACGAGTGGAAGGCAGCGTTTCGGACAAACCGCGGGCTCTTTGAGCCGTTGGTGATGTATTTCGGCCTGACCAATTCCCCCGCAACGTTCCAGACGATGATGAATGACATACTTCAGGACCTCATCCTCTCTGGCGACGTTATGGTGTACCTCGACGACATTCTCATTGCACATTCCGATATCCACCGTCACCGGGAAATTGTGAACGAAGTCCTCCGACGTCTCCGCGAGAACAAGCTCTACCTTCGCGCGGAGAAATGCGAGTTCGAGATGCCGTCAATCGAATACCTTGGGGTGATCATTTCCCACAACCATGTGGAGATGGACCCGGTCAAGGTTGCAGGTGTGGCGGAGTGGCCAGCTCCGGCTAACAAGAAGGAAGTGCAGCAGTTCCTCGGCTTCACTAACTTCTACCGGAGGTTCATCCGGGATTTTTCGCACGTTGCCCGTCCTCTCTTTGACCTCACCAAGAAGGACGTGGCATGGACTTGGGGCTCCAACGAGGCAGCTGCGTTTCTTGCGCTGAAGAACGCTGTTACCTCTACCCCAGTCCTGCAGCTCCCGGATGCTTCCAGGTCTTACCGCCTCGAAGCAGACAGTTCGGACTTCGCGACCGGTGCTGTCATCTCGCAGCAGTCCCCCGTGGATGACAAGTGGCATCCGGTTGCCTTCTTCTCGAAGAGTCTTAATGAGGTCCAGCGGAACTACGAAATCCACAACAAGGAGATGCTCGCCATCGTCCGCGCCTTGGAGGAATGGCGACACTTCCTCGAGGGCGCCGAGCACCCCGTTGAGATCTGGACCGACCACAAAAATCTGGAGTACTTCCGGAAGGCCCAGAATCTCAACCGTCGTCAAGCCCGCTGGTCCCTCTATCTGTCTCGCTTCGACTTCACCCTGCACCACCAACCTGGCCGCCTCATGGGCCGCCCGGATGCTCTCTCGCGCCGCCCCGACCACGGAGTTGCTTCGGACAACGCAGACGTCACACTGCTGCGTCCGGAGCTGTTCCATGTCCGGGCCTTGGAGGGTCTCACTGTCTCCGGACCTGAAGCCCCTGTCCTGCGCGACATCCGGGAAGCCCTCGCCGGTACCCCCGACATGGAGGAGCCCATTGTGTTGGCAGCACGTGAGCTCCTCAAGGAACGCGGAGTTCGCTCTGCTCGGGCTGCGGAGTGGCGAAAAGAAGGCGGCCTGCTCTACTTCCGTGGCAAGCTGGTGGTTCCACGCAACAACGACCTCCGCCGACGCATCCTCGAGCAGCACCACGACACCCGCGTCGCAGGGCATGCCGGCCGCTTCAAGACGTTGGAGCTGATCTCTCGGAACTACTGGTGGCCCCAGTTGTCTCGACATGTCGGCCGGTATGTGGCCACCTGCGACCTGTGCTGCCGAACCAAAGCGCTCCGCCAACTCCCAATCGGGGAACTCCATCCCACGGAGGTCCCTTCGGAGTGCTGGGAAGCAGTGTCGGTTGACTTCATTGTGCATCTGCCAGACGCTCACGGGTATGATGCTATCATGGACGTTGTTGACATGCTTGGGAAGCGCAGCCACTTTATAGAGTGCCACACCCGGCTCTCCGGTGAAGGTGCCGCCAGGCTTTTCTACAAGAACGTCTGGCGCCACCATGGGCTGCCATCTAAGTATGTCTCTGACCGTGGCTCCCAGTTCATAGCAGAGTTCACGCAGGAGCTGTGGAAACTGGTCGGGGTCTCATCGGCAATGTCCACGGCTTGGCATCCACAGACGGACGGCCAGACCGAGCGTGTGAACCAGGAGCTCGAGCAGTTCCTCCGGATCTTCACCAGCTACAACCAGGACGACTGGGACAAGCTGCTTCCCGCTGCAGAGTTTGCCTACAACAACCATATTCACTCATCCACGCAGCAGGTCCCGTTCATGACAGATACCGGTCGACTCCCTCGTATGGGCTTCGAACCGAATGGACTACGCTCAGCTGTGAACGAGTCAGCAAACAACTTCTGCGACCGCATCGCCTCCGGAGTGGCAGAAGCCAAGTCGGCACTGGTGAAGGCAAAGGATGAGTACAAGCAGTACTACGACCGCCGGAGGGTCTCGGCTCCAGACATCAAGGTCGGAGATCGAGTCTGGCTTGACGCTTCTGACATAGCAACAACGCGCCCGTCCCTCAAACTCTCTCACCGACGGCTGGGTCCCTTCAAAGTCACCCAGGTTGTTGGGCGCGGCGCTTACAAGCTTGACCTCCCTCGCCGCCTCTCTGGTCTTCACCCGGTCTTCCCTGTCGTCAAGCTGCAGCTCGTTGAGGACGACCCGTTCCCAACACGCCCGGCTCGCGAGGAGCCGCCACCTGTCATGGGCCAAGGAGCTGGCGAGGAGTGGGAAGTCGAAGAGGTTCTGGATGCCAAGATGCGCTATCGGAGCATTTGGTACTTCATGCGGTGGAAGGGCTACGATTCGTCGCACGACCAATGGGTTAAGCACTCTGATATCTTCGCAGAGGATGCTATAGCGGCATTCTACCGCAAGCACCCCAACAAGCCACGCGTCATTGCCGCCGCCATCTTCGACTCCCTTCCGTTCCAGCACCCCTCTGCCACCATCCGCACGTTGCGTCGAGGCGCCGCAATCCAAGGGGGGGGGTGATGTCAGGGGAACCCCCGTTTCGGACCGCTCTGCCTTCGATCAGGCATGCGATTGTGCTTGCATGACCTGTCAGCTGTCACGCGCCGCGGCCCGGACTGCCGCGCCGAGCGCTTCTCCTTGATGGGCACATGGCCAGGTGCCCCATTGTTCCTATTGTCCCCGCTCCCATTGTTCTGTCATGGCCGTTGTACTTATTGTCCCCATTGTTCTTTGTTTGTCGCTGCGTGCTCCATTGTTCTTGTATCATATAAATAGTGGCGCCTGGCAAGGAGAATCCCCAACACGGTTTCTCTTTGGATTCTCCCTTGCCAGGTATGCCGGTCTTGTACCTAGCTACCACTATTAATCACCTTTGGATTCTCCCTTGCCAGAACTCTGAGATCGGGTCTCGAGGTTGCCCTTACACCTGGAAAAGTGATACAAGACCTAAGCTAGGGTTACCAATTAGGAAATTTCCATTTTTGGAAGCCCCTATTGGGTCCTCAGGCGACTCGGTTGACAAGCTGACACATCAGAAGCAGTTTTCTGTAGGCATCTCCTACGTCCTTTTTCAATTGCCAGACATTTCCAGGCATTCTGGGGCCCAAAATGTCAACTTTTATTTTTCCGAGGCCGAAAAAAGTGAAACACCGTGGGAAAATTTGAGTTCTTGTGATAAAACACATTCTTTTGGTGGGTTTCTTACCATAGAAAAAGGGAAATAAATTGCAAAAATTTTCCTGATACCAATCCATGCGTCAAGAGAGGTGACCATTTGCACTGTACCATTGTTGGAGAACAATTGGGGAGATCATGTGGCATGCATCGGATCACGTCATGATGGCAGATCAGAAACTCATCATATATTGTTTTTCGTTCAATTTGCGTCCCTCAGTCTTACTACTATCATCGGATTCGACTGAGGGTGCGTAAAGATATGTATTGTTCCACTACAGCAGCTAACTGTGTTTTATATTTGTAGACTTACGTGTACTCATTGTCTACAGGTGAAACTATAGTCTTACTGTCAGTGGACGCTGCGCTCCTTGGGCACGTGACCATGCACGTGACCCAGTGCCCGCTCTCTGCCAACCTGTGCCTGCTCACCTGTTGATCACCTGGCCTCCTCCTCCTCCTCTGATCCTCATCTCCATCCATGCCAACATCCACCCTCTTCCTCCTTCTCCCAGCCATCTCCTTCAAATCCCCGCAAGCGGTCTAGCCAAGCCCGATTCCTTGCACCAGAGAGTGCTACTGCTGTATGCACTTCTCCCCCTCTACTTCGGCCTTCTCCCTGTGGATGTGGCCTACTGCCATATAGGCTCGTACCAGATGCCTTTGCGCTCATCCGCACCACTGTGACAATCAACAAGAAATAATGTCGAAAAGAGAAGTCAATTCAAAGACTGGAGAATACAACCAAGTAGCTACAGTATTTATACCCAAGTCCAGTCTGAGTCATATCTACAACTAATGAGTCATAAGGCTATGTACTGCATGGAGCGCTGGTCATGGGTTGTAGTAGAACCTTCTGGAGCATATGTCGCGCAGCATTGAATTGATAAACATAATCTCTAGACTCCTAGCCCGGACCGTCAGATGCCATGATCCGTGATAAGATAATCCGTTGATAGGCTGGCTACCAGACGCGCTCTGCACCAGCTCTATGAGGGCATATTTTTGCGCTTTTACAGAGTTTACTCTCGAACCACTCGGTGTATCGTGTCGCGGATGACAGTGTTGCGCTCAGTAGGACTTAAGGGTCTACTGCCCAGTCGACGACTGTGGATAGTGTCAATGATAGCAAGGCAGTCAGACCACTACTGTGAAATTGGTCTTATGAGTCTGCACCAGACTCAGGGCTATTAGTGACAGACACTTGGACCACAACAATTCCCCAAAAGGGATCTTTTGTTGCAGCAGCTTCTCAAAAGGGGTCATTCTCTGCAGATGGGAACTCGGGCTGAAGGGCTTAGCAATGCGCTGTTGACGGAGATATTGGTCCAGGTCTGGGACTCAGATCAACTCCTATTTAGGTCACTATATTTCCCATTCCGGTCACAGCCGCACCTCAGTCGTCTTTTCCATTGACCGACTGAGGTGCAAACATTCCTTTGCCAAGTTTACCCAGATACTTACTTACGTACCTTAGACTCATTATTTGTCTCGTCTACAGGTACTAAATACATTGAGTCGTCTTTTCCATTGACCAACTGAGACTCATTATTTGTCTCGTCTACATGTGCAACGTTCTCAACATTACAACTACTACTAGACAGGACTTAGCGTTACAAGATTGAACTAATCTTGTTGCGGCAACTCCCGGCTTTGGGTTAGACGTTTCCTTAAGATTGTGCCACAGTGATGACTTGTCACATGTCAGGACCCACTCGATCACGGGACATTGTGGACGCGTCGCGGTGACACTTCCAAGTGTCACGGCGAGTCGTGCCCATACCCAAACACATCAAAAGCGACACGGGTTAGATCTGTGAACCAAACTATGTGAGGAACGTCTGGCGTGCCTAGGGCCATATGGCTTTGTGGGGCACCCACGTTGGACTCACTTGCCAAGACATACCCGTTGGCCAATCCAGCACGTCGTATTCCAAAAGTATGACACGGTGGGTTGACCCACATCAAAAGTACCATATGGACAATGGGGCGGGGTCCTGATCAGTCAGGACCTGTCTGATTGTTCAACTTTTTCATTACCATAAAAAGCAACCAATCTTAGATAGCGTAGCTACTATGCAGTTGTGCAGGACTTTACTAAGCATTGTTGTAGACAGTATAAGTAGCGCGTTGTTTCTTTGTATTGGGGAGCTTTCCCCTGGACTGTGAATCATACCCATATCAGACTGTTTTGTGCAATTTGCGTGTCGCGTGATTCCGCCCTAAGAAGTTCTGTTACCCCTGCCTGGTCGCGACAAGTTGCTCCCTGAGCACTTGTAGCTACTGTGATTTGAGTTTGAGTTGAGATATCAGAAAGTCGGATTCGCCGCTTCTGGTTTAGTCGCGGCATTTAGTGTTGTTGTCTTTGGGCTTTGTTGAGATTGTTTCCACACCTCTAGTTTGACAGTGCGTCGACTAGTTGTGCTCGGGTAGTTTTGGTCAGTTGGCAGTGCGTTGACTTGAGAACTTAGGTTCCACACTTCTTGCTTGGCAGTGCGTCAACAAGTTGTGCTTGGGTTTTGGACATTTGGGTATTGGCTGTTAGTTGGCAGTGCATCAACACAGCATTTTGGTTTTACTAGTTGGCAGTGCGTCAACTCAGTACTTTGGTTGTCTCAGTTGGCAGTGCGTCAACTTGATATTTAGGCTTTGCGTCACCATCTGGACGCTGTTGCTGCAAGGGATCTCAATACTTTGTATTAAGCTCTGACTTGTGATATTGTTGGTTGTGGTTGGATTAGTGTTGGTTTCGGTTGTATAGAAGATATTGGTTGAGACACCACTGTTTGCTATATATAAATTCTTGTCGTCGACTTACTCCATGCAGTACATAGCCTTATGACTCATTAGTTGTAGATATGACTCAGACTGGATTTTGGTATAAATACTGTAGCTACTTGGTTGTATTCTCCAGTCTTCAAATTGACTTCTCTTTTCGACATTATTTCTTGTTGATTGTCACATAATTTGAAGACTCCCCTCATACCCTCCTACCTCATACCTCTTACCTCTGCATCCCTCACCGCTACGCCCGCTATATCCTCTTAACCCTTATCAACGAACTCACCCTTTTACCAAATCATCTAGTTGTTCTCTGCAATCACAGTGGAGGGTTCATCTCGAGCAAACAGCACCAGGCCACGGTGAAATGCTGAGGGCGTGCTCACAAGTGAATCTACTATGAAAGTAAACCCAAATATAAACACGTTCACACTCCTCGTAATCAGCTTCTCAGTGTGTGAAAGATGCGAGGGCTTCAGGGTGGACAGAACACCAGTATCACAACTCTCAATAGACGCAGGTCCAATAGTCGCAGAGACGAAGTCGACGACAAGAATTTATATATAGCAGACAGTGGTATCTCAACCAATATCTTCTATACGAACACAACCAACACTAATCCAATCCACAACCAACAATATCACAAGTCAGAACTTAATACGAAGTATTAAGATCCCTTGTAGCGACAGCGTCTAGATGGTGACACAGAGCCCAAATATCAAGTCGACGCACTGCCAACCGACACAACCAATATACTGAGTCGACGCACTGCCAACTAGTAAACCAAAATGTCAAGTCGATGCACTGCCAACTGACACAACCAAAAGTACTGAGTCGACGCACTGCCAACTAGTAAACCAAAATGCCGCGTTGACGCACTGCCAACTAACAGCCAATATCCAATGTCCAAAACCCGAGCACAACTTGTCGACGCACTGCCAAGCAAGAAGTGTGGAACCTAAGTTCTCAAGTCGACGCACTGCCAACTGACCAAAACAACCCAAGCACAACTAGTCGACGCACTGCCAAGCTAGAGGTGTGGAAACGATCTCAACAAAGCCCGAAGGTGACGACACTAAATGCCGCGACTAAACCAGAAGCGGCGAATCCGACTTTCTGATATCTTAAACTCAAAACTCAAATCACAGTAGCTACAAGTGCTCAGGGAGCAACTTGTCGCGACCAGGCAGGGGTAGCAGAACTCCTTAGGGTGGAATCACACGGCACGCAAATTGTACAAAACAATCTGAAATGAGAGTGATTCACAGTCCGGGGGAAAGCTTCTTAATACAAAGAAACAACGCGCTACTTATACTGTCTACAACAATGCTTAGTAAAGTCCTGTACAACTGCATAGTAGCTACGCTATCTAAGATCGGTTGCCTTTTAGGGTAATTGAAAAGTTTGAACGATCGGACAGGACCTGAGTGATCAGGACCCCGCCCCATAGTCCATATGATACTTTTGATGTGGGTTAACCCACCGCGTCATACTTTTGGAATACGACGTGCTGGATTGGCCAACGGGTATGTCTTGGCAGGTGAGTCCAACGTGGGCGCCCCACA